GACTGAAAGGAGAAAAAGCCAAGTAGAGCAGGGGTTGCTATACTACTATCAGACAGACAAGCCTACCTTAAATACAGACGATTCCAAGACACACAGAGGGGGGTCACGTAACAACGGAACAGTCACAGGAGTCCACGCACGGAACAGTGCTCGCTGCCCCCAGCAAGAGCAGAACACAGACGCTGCCTGGCACAGCTGCCAGCGCTTCCCACAGGCCTCCCTGACCCAGCACCAGCAGGGAGTCCCCACGCACTGCCCCCCAGTGTCACGGGAGGGTGCTGCACGGCCTAGCAGCAGCACAAAGATCCAGTTTCTGGAGCCGATGCAGGGGTGGCTGACTGCGTTTTGCTTTCGAGCCCTCAGAAGTCAAGTCGTAAGTTAAGCCGCTATGAGCTGGGGGCCATCTGTGCACACGGGACATTCTCCAGAATCCAATGGCCTACGTGGTAAGCTGCAAACCAAGTATTACTAAATCTAAGAGGAGCAGCATCTTGGCGCAGTAGGTTAAGCCTCCACCTGCGACGCCCAAATCCCATGTGGGCGTAGATATGAGTCCCGCCTGCTCCATTTTCGATCCAGCTCCCTGCCAACGCGCCTGGGCAAACAGCAGAGGATGGCCCAAGTCCTTAGGCCCCCGCACCCATGTGGAAGAAGCTCCTGGCTCCGGCTTGGCCCATTGGCAGCCATCTGTGGCGTGAGCCAGTGGGACAGAAGATAGCGCTCCTTCTCTCCAACTCTGACGTTCAAATAAATAAAATGAAACGTCTTTTAAAAAAAGATTCTTAAAATGTTAAAAAAAAATAAAAGGGTTGAAATCATACAAAGCATCTTTTCCAACCACAGCAGAAACACTAGAAACCAATCAACAGGAGGAAAATTGGAAGGCCTACCACTATGTGAACATTAATCTAAACACAAATATCCCCAAACAACCAGCAAGCGGTCAAACGAGATGGCTCAAGGGAAGTTAGGACAGATACGGAAACATAAACGGGAACTCTCCTAAGACCATGGACAGTCTGATGAGGACCAGGCGGAGCCAGTGGTGAGGACGAGTCTGTAACTAAACACCTCCCAGCGACGAAAGCTCGGGGCCAGATGGCTTCCCTGGTGAACGCGACCAAACACAGCCTGTCCCGAACTCCTCCTAGATACAGGCAGGAAGGAAACGAGGCTCGCCGGCCCACGCGGTCCTGATGCACAGCCGGGTGAGCGCATCTAAGCCAGCCCCAGGCGGGCAGCGTTTGTGAGTCCTGGAGCAAACGCGCCCTCGGAACCCCAGCAAGCCACCGCACAGCACACAAGAAAAGGGTTCTTGCCCTCGGCAAGCCGGTGTCACTCCTGGAACGCACCGGGATGGCTCACCAAGCGCAAGTGTGGCCACAGACAGGAGAGGAGACAGCTCAGCACCCTCTCGCCAGCTGCGGGAACACACCGGACAAAGCTAACTCCGCTTTTCGACATCAACACGTGCAGCAAACCCGGAGCAGGGGATGGCGTCACGTAAAACCCACAGCAGCTGACCCAAGGTCCAGACTCCACAGCGAGCCGAGGCGAAACTAAAACAAAAGCCAGGTCCCCCCTGCAAGGGGAGGAGGAGAATCAGGTGTTGGCAGACGGCCTGGGTGTGACGGCGGCGCAGCTGTGGAATACAAGATCCGCCCGGGACAGCCGTGCTCCTAACGCAGAGGATAATCCCACCTACAGCGCCGTGGAAGAGTAAAACACTTCGGCAGAACCTCAGCCAACGGGAGCTCAAAGACTTGTTACCTCAAAACCACAAACACTCCCCCTGCTGGCCCAGACTGGAAGAGTCAGCAGAGATCCGACGGCCTTGACTATCCAGACGGCTACAGACTCGACAGTCGCCAGCAAAAATCCCAGTGCTTCTTGTAGAGACAGAAAAATGCATCCTAAAATTCAGCTGGAATCGGGAGGGGTCCCAAAATAGCCCCAAAAACCCTGGAGAAGAACACAGGTGGGGGTCTCCTACTCCTTGACTTTTCTAAAAGCCACAGGAAGCCACACAGGGCGGAAGTGGCGCTGAGGCCAACACAGGCGCCAGCCAGCAGTCCGGAAACGAGCCATCCCGTACGCGCACGGGGCTTTGGACGACACTACCGAAGCAGGCGCGCCCACACGCGGAGGAACTGGACCCCCACCTCATGCTCCACGCAGAAACCCAACGTGGATCAAAGGCCGACACAACCAGCACTAACTGTAGGACTGTTAGCGGGAAGCCTCATGACACCGCACACGACACCGTACTCATCAGTTGTTTCTTAGACAGTAATCAGAAGCATAGGCAACAAAAAATGACTACATCGAAGTTAACTTAGGTATCAAAATACACTATCAGTTAAGTGAGGAACTGTCACTGTAACTGAGAAATAATTTGTAAACAATTTATCCGTAGGGCAGCTGGCCCTGTGGCATAGTGGGTAAAGCTGCTGCCTGCAGTACCGGCATCCCATATGGGCGCCAGTTCAAGTCCTGGCTGCTCCACTTCTGATCTGGCTCTCTGCTGTGGCCTGGGAAAGCAGTGAAGGATGGCCCAAGAGCTTGGGCCCCTGCACCCGTGTGGGAGACCGGGAAAAAGCTCCTGGCTCCTGGCATTGGATCGGCACAGCTCCAGCCATTGCGGCCACCTGGGGAGTGAACCAACGGATAGAAGACCTCTCTCTCTCTGCCTCTCTGTAACTCTGCCTTTAAAATAAATAAATAAATCTTAAAAAAAAATTATCTGTAAAAGATTAGTATCAGACTATAGTAAGAACTAAACTCAGGCCAGCTTCATGGCACAGTGGGTTAAGTCACTGCTTGCAACGCCAGCATCCCAAGAGTGCTGGTTGGAGTCTCAGCCACTCCACTTCGGATCCAGCTCCCTGCTAATGAGCCAGGGAAAGCGGCAGACGGCGGCCTGGGTCCCAAATCTATGTGGGGCACCATGACGGAACTCCATGCTCCTGGCTTTGCACTGGCCTAGCCTTGGCCGTTGTGGCTATCTGGGCAGTGAACCAGCAGATGCAAGATCTCTCTGTCTCTCCTAACTGCTGGTTCACTCCCCAAATGGCCACAACAGCTGGAGCTGAGCCTATCAGAAGCTAAGAGTCAGGAGCTTCTTCGGGTCTCCCACATGCGTACGGGGACCCAAGCGCTTGGACCATCTTCAGCTGCTTTCTCAAGTGCATTAGCAGGGAGCTGGATCAGAAATGGAATAGCCGGGACTTGAACCAGTGCCCATATGGGATGCCAGCACTGCAGGCCGGGGCTTTAACCTGTTGTACCACAGCTCTGGCCCCAAAATAAAAAAAATAAATAAAAACAAACTCAAAGGTGAGCAAAGAACTAGAATAGACATTTCTCCAAAGAAGAAATACAAGTAGCCCACAGGCACATGAAAAGTTCTTCAAAATCACAAAGTTAAAAGAAACACAAATCCTCACCACAAGGCACCATTTTGCACCCATTAGGATGGTTGCTACTAAAACACAAACAACAAGAGTTACAAGGATGTGGAGAACTGGAAACCCCATGTGTTGCAGTTCCTGTACGGTGGGTGCAGCACCCCACTTCTGGCCGAGTACCCAGAGCTGGGAGCAGCGACTGTGTACTTAGAACCACGTCGCCTTGGCCCTCCCAGTGGCCCGAGGAGGGAAACGACCCAGGTGCCCGCCGACAGCCGAGGGCACAACGTGCGACACATACACCCCCGGGAGTATTGTTCAGCCTTAGAAAAGGAAGAAGATTCTGACACCTGCCCCCACAAGGCCAGCCCGTGGGGACAACCGTTACAGTGAAACCAGCGGGGTACCAGGACCCACGGCAGAACCCACGGCAACCAGGCGCCAGAGCCGTCATCCAGGACGCACCAAGCAGGATGCAGGCTGGAGGGAGGACTTGTGCATGACAGGCAGGGTGGGCGTGGGACGAGCCAAGTTCCGGGGAGACGGGTTGTGGTGGCACTGGGGGTGTCCAACACCCCCAGGCCGTTCCTGCAGCAGGGCTCAGGATGGTAGATTTCACGGTACGGGTGTTTTACCACGATGCAAAAGCTGTCTCACCGCCCTTACCCTGAAATCGTGTTTGAGGCATCACGGGCATGATGATGATCACCCCGGGCAATAAGCCCACTCAGGCCTCTCGGCTCCGTGAGGCCCTGCCCCTGGCCACGTCTCCCGGTCCCCCGTCCACATGCAGGTCGTGGCCAGCCCGAGGTGGGAGCTGCAGCGTCCAGGGGCAGCGGGGGCTGCCTCTCCAGCAACACAGGCTCCGCCCTGCCTCATGCCCCCCAGCCCCACACCCTCCCCACCCCCGCCTCACGCCCCCCCAGCCTCTCACAGGCACTCCAGGAGCTTGGGGCAGCTCCAACAGTGGCTGCTCCACCCCGTCAGGCCCATGACACTGCCAGTCTGCCACCTCCTGTCCCCTTAGACTCATGGCTCCTCCGAGCATTCCAGAATCCGAGACGGCTCTGCCAGAAATGGGCGAGCAGCTTCCAGAGCTGCAAAGACAGAAGGAAAAGCCCAGTCAGCCATGCAAACTGGCCCCCAGCCCCCGCCCGCCACGCGGGGCCGAGCGGGGCGAGGTTCAACCCCCGTCTCCACGGGTGCCCCGGGACCTGGGACAAGCGACTCACCCTCTTGCTGGAAATCCTCTCTCAGTGCAGGCAAGTCCTTTGCAACTCAGGAGCCATCTCTCCCTGCCTGTGGGCTCTCGTCCTGCCGCCACGGGCTCGCCGCCTCCCCTGGAGGCACACGGGGCTGGCGGGTGGCAGGACCAAGTGCACACAGGGGGCTCCAGCCCGGGGCTCCGGGCCCACAGCCGCACACCAGCAGCCCTGGCAGCTGAAGCTCCAGGCGGAGGGGCTGCAGGGCCCGGAGCAGCCACACTGCTGAGGTCAGGATGAGCGGGCAGCCACACCGGACACTGCCCCGCGCCCCCAGCGGCTGAGGCCCCTCACACCAACAGTCACTTTAGCACAAATAAGCGATGACAAATCCTTTTATAAAATATTTATTCTAAAAAAATCACGCTGTACAAATTTAGATAGAACATTCTTGATGTTCAGATTTATAAAAACGTGAGCTTAACAGAAAGACCAGAGTTAACAAACTCCTGTTTCTTCTTTTTAAATTACGGAGGAGAGTGATCCATGAGGCACAATGTCTGTCAATGCCTACTAAACACGAGAGCTGGCGACAGGAAGCGGCCAGCCCGCTCACTCGGCTTCACCCAGCTCAACGCGGACCCCAGACGGCCAGGAAGGGGGTCCCGCGGGGTGGCGCGGCTTCGCCGACGCTCGCCGAGATCCCCAGGCCAGCTCCGTCTGGTCCAGTGCGGTCGTCCTGGGCGTCCTGCTGCTGACCTCACAGCGCAGCCCGTGCACTCAGGCCGGGCCGCTGTGGCGGTGACTTCTGGGAGGGTTACAATCACTCTCGTGCACGGCCTGTGCACACGCAGCGGGAGGGCACCATAAACAGAGCCATGAAGCAGTGGCTGACGGCGCCCTGCTTCCGTGAGACGTGAGAGCGCGCTGTGCTGGGCCCCCCACACCCTCGGGGAGCAACCGAGCCGGGTATGCAAGCCGGCGGGCAGAAGCCCGGGCGGTCACAGCCACGGGTGCCAGGCGGGGTCCATGCGGCACAGGTTGTCCAGGCTGTTGGCCGCAGCCACCAGCGTGTTCACTTTGCTCTCCCCGCCCTCGAACTGGGCCAGGTTGTGCAGGCGGGTCATGACGGCCGTGACGGCCTTCTGCACCAGGGAGACCAGCTGCTGGCTGTCCATGTTCTCGGGCTGCCCTGCGGCCGACAGCGGGGAGGACGTGTCCTCCTGCGTCTTCTTGTGCCAGGCGATGATCTCATCCCGGAGCACGGTTTTGAGAATGCCGTCCACCTGGGGCAGGGCAGGAGGCAAGGCCCACGTTAGCCGACATGAGCCCAGCCGAGCCGCACTGCTCCCGCCACTGGGGGGGTGTGACGGGCAGCTGAGCTCGTCATGCTGCCCGAGGGTACCAGCCCATGTGTCCGCCAGAGCCACCAGCTGCCCCCCGCCCCCGCCATGAGCTTAGCTTAAAGACGGCCACGAGATTCAGGCTGCTGAGAGACGTGGGGTCGGGTGTGCGGCAGGCCCGGCTCCTCCCCGCAGGTTCAGCCCCGTGTGCTGTGGGGACCTCACCAGACAAACCCAGCGCCCTCCTATGGGCTGCCCACCAGCCGCCTGCCCAGCAGAGGGCTACCTTCAGAGTTCACAGAGAATGCACGCAGGCTAAGTGCGCTCCGACGCATAGAGATAAGGCCATGGCGGGGCTCACACGGGCTGAGGCCCCGCGCCACCGAGCTTATCACGGCTCGAGGCTTCCATGGAGACTTTCTACACACAGTCCTGTAGCATTTGCACCTCAGCAGAACTTCCGCCTTCCACACTCAGGCCAGAGGAGGGCAGCAATGGCACTGGTGTCTGCTGCACTGAGACAAACCCTCACCACGGGAGACCCGGGGCCGGTCCTCACCACGGGAGACCCGGGGCCGGTCCTCGCCACGGGAGACCTGGGGCCGGTCCTCACCACGGGATGGAACACACAGACCCTGACCCGGCAAAGAGCCACCTGCTCATTTCAGCGCTGTCCTGAGTGAGGGTGGGCGTTCACCACCGTGTGGGATGCCCACTTCCTGTGCTGGAGCCCCCTGCTGGCGCACACTGGGGGGCAGTGGGCGAGGGCTCAGGCGGTCACTGCCACCCTCAAGGCGACCCAGACTGAGTTCTGGGTCCCGGCCACTGTGGGCACCTGTGCAGTGCACCAGCAGGCAGGAGCACTCTCTGCTGACACGAGGAGTAAGGAAAGCTTTCTTTAAAAGCCTTAAAAACTTTAAGAAAATGGTTTTGGGAAGCAACTGGTTTCAGAAGCCAACTGCTTCTCGGAGGAAATTGTATACAAAGAAAGAAAGGTGTGTTTGGCCCCCACTGTGAGGAACGATTTCGGAGGCGAGGAGACAGGCTCCGAGCAGAATGAACTGGACGTGAACCCCGGTCTGGGCCCGCCCCCTGCCCTAGGACCCCCAACACATCGCCCACCTCCCCGAGGGCTGCTGAGGACCCAGAAAGCACCCAGCGCAGTGCCAGGCACAGGCCGGCACCGGGGACACAGCGGCCACGGCTGCTGTCCGGCCACTTGTGGGCGGCTGTCAGATGCCACCCAGGGCACCCGGGGCACCTGGCCCTGTGCCTCCCACCTCACCTCCGTGCTGGCCTCTCCGCAACCCGCAGACAGCGGGAGGACATGAGAAATGGACAGAGGCTGCTGTGGGAACTGACGCGCAGTGCCAAGGGCTGGGGAGAGGCATCCGCTGGAAGCTTCTAGAGCCTCCCTGCGCCCTGGATTCTGGACAGTGAACATTTCCAAGCCTTTCCCCAAAGAGCAGACGCCTGGCGTCCAGCGACAGACCACGGGGTCCGCAGCTCCTGCAAGGCCTCAGCTACGCTGAGATGCCGCCCGGACGCACCTTGAAGTTCGGCTGGGCGAAGCACCGCGCCACGGCGATCATGGAGGCGGTGAGCGGGCCGGAGACGCCGATGGTGGTCAGGAACTCCGAGACGTTGGGCGTGAGGCGGAAAGGGACGGGGCGGTTGGCGTCCAGGTCCCCGGTCGCGTCGTTTATGTCAAACCGGAAGTAGGCGACGTTCAGCTTCCCGGTGTCCTGCGTTTCAGAGAGAGACGTTCAGGAGCGCCAGCCGGCAGCGGGAGGCGGCCATGGCAAGGGTGAGGCGGCCGTGCAGGCCGTTACCTGCGCGATCTGCAGCATCTCGGGGTTGAGCCTGTTGAGGTGCAGCACAAACTCCGCGAAGCCGATGAGCGCGAGCTGGATGGTGAACATCTTGCGGAAGGTCCAGTAGTCCGTGGCGTTGGGGAAGGTGTGCAGGGCCCACTCCTTGAGCATGCTGCGGGGCACCATGTTGCTCTGCACCTCCTTGAGAATGTCCCGGAGGACCTGCAACACACACGCACGCACGCCTCTGCCACCTGCGCCAGCCCGCAGACTGACCACGCAGTGCTGGCCAGGGCTGCACAAGACCGCCCAGTCCTCCTCAGCCCCCTCAGGCCTCAGCTGTGTGGAGTAAGTCCCTGAAAGCGATGCCCGTGGACTCTACGAGGCCGGCTAACAAAGCACACGGAAGAGCAGCCGGACACCAACAGCACGGCTTCTGGTCCCAGACTACGAAAGACAGATGCTCCACGAGGAGCTGGCTGAGACACTTGGCCCACCATGCCGCCCAGGGGCTCGCGCTGTCCAGCACCAGAGAGCGAGGGTGGGCCTCGACAGGAGCTGCCTGAGCGCATTGGGTCCTGGCAGACCAGGCGGCAAGGCTGTGTTCCACGCCACTCATCTGTTCCACGCGGTCGTCAGATCACAGGCCGCCAGCAACACTCACTTCCTTCTCCTTTCCTCATCTAAGGAACGGAACACAGCTCTCCCGGGACTGCAGAGGAGTGACTTCCAAAACCCACTGCCACAGCAGTAAGCGCACGGGCAAAAACCGACGCCAGCCACGCGTATGCCCACGATCGGCCTCAGGAGGCCCTGGGCTCGCACTCTGGCTGACTCCAAGGCTCCATGCTGCCCAGGCTGAAGCCCTGCCTCCCACACACAACAGCTGCACGTTAACTCTGTCAACCACTGCTGGCCCCTGAACTGACCGGGCAGGGCCTTCAGTGGCAAAGAATCCGGAATGCGTAGCATTCGTCCAGGAAGCCACTAAAGAAACAAACAGCAGCAGCAAGTCTGGGAGAAGGATCCGATTCCCAGATCCGCCAGATCCAGCTCGGTAAAGCACTGAGTTTTGTTTTTGTTTTTGTTTTTGTTTTCTTGACAGGCAGAGTTAGACAGTGAGAGAGAGAGAGAGACAGAGAGAAAGTTCTTCCTTCCGTTGGTTCAACCCCCAAATGGCTGCTATGGCCGGAGTGCTGCACTGATCTGAAGCCAGGAGCCAGGTGCTTCTCCTGGTCTCCCATGGGGTGCAGGGCCCAAGCACTTGGGCCATCCTCCACTGCACTCCCGGGCCACAGCAGAGAGCTGGCCTGGAAGAGGGGCAACCGGGACAGAATCCGGCGCCCCGACCGGGACTAGAACCGGTGTGCCGGCGCCGCAAGGCAGAGGATTAGCCTAGTGAGCCGCGGCACCTGCCAAAACACTTGGCTTTCAAGAAAGAATTGTGAGACACATAGCGATCAGGAAAACAAGGCCAACACACTGGTGTCCAGTTACTAATATTCAGACCGTCAAGAATTCCTGGAATCAACAGTAAAGACAAGTCACTCAAATTGAAGGCGGGCAAAGGGCTTGAGTCACGTTTTCCCAAAGACCACAGTCAGCCAGCCGACAAGCACAGGCAAGACTCACACACTCCTACTCAACCACGCTGACGGCGCCCCACCTCCCCAGAACGGCCGTCCTCAGAGACTCCGTGCTGATGGGGTGTGCACAAGTTGAACCCTCACACGCCACGGCAGCTCATGACAATGAACCAACGTGCACGTTCACGTCCCAGAATGTGAAGAGAAAGCAAGAAGGAACGCTATGAGCAGGTGAGCCTTGGAGACGCAGCGGCCCCGCCCCTGAGTGCGTCCACGCCGGTCTCAAGCAGGCAAACCCACAGAGGCAGGAAGAGCCGGGGCTGCCTGCAGTGGGCCGCGGAGGACGGGGCCCCTGGCTGCGGCATGATGCCGTCTGACGTCATGAAACTGCCAGACAGTGGTAAAGGCTGCACAGCTGTGGGTGCACTGACAACACGGGGTCACACCCTTCCTAAGACTGAACTTTACGGTGTGGGAATTCTAGCAAACAAGAGGTTACAGAAAGAGCAGGCCCGAGGCGTTGGCCTGGCTGGCGCCCCCTGCACACTTCGCAAGCAGGACCACCCCAAGCTGTGTCAGTTACAGAACAAGGGCCATGAAGGCAGCATGCACAAAACCACCTCATTCCACAACCTCGTCCATAACCCCCGGGCCACGACCTGTGCCCCCAGATCCCCGGGGGCCGAGTCCCTCTGCCCAGAGAGGCCCACCAGAAGACAGGGAGCCCCTCTGCCTGCACAAAGCTCACACTCCAACACCCAGGTAAAGGGAAGCAGAGCCCAGGATACGCCAGCTTTCACAGCTCCCCTCTGTGCTTGCCCCTCCTGGGGCTCCACACAACCCCAACCGTCTCATCCAAGGGCAGGCGCACAAAGGGAGGGGGCTCTCCACCCTCAGTGAGAGCCACCCAAGACTCCCATGGCCAGCCCTGGGCTCCTGCCCAAGGCAAGCCCAACAGCTGGGCCCCAAATGTTTCCATTCGTGGCCTTTTTTTTTTTTTAAAAGACTTTATTTATTTAAAAGGTAGAGTGAGAAAGAAAGAGATGGATAGATACATCCTCCATCCACTGATTCACCCTCTAAATGGCCACAACAGCCAGGACTGTGCCAGGCCAAAGCCAAGAGCTCGGTGACTCATCCGGGTCTCCCACGTGGGTGCGGGGCCCAAGGACTTGGGCCATCTTCTGCTGCTTTCCCAGGCGCATTAGCAGGAGCTGGACTGGAAGTGGAGCACCCAGGACTTGAGCCAGTGCTCATACAGGATCCCAGCATTGCATGCAGAGGGTTAGCCTGTTGCCCCACAATGCAGGCCCCCATTTGTAGTTTTATTTTAGCAAACAAACATGGTACAGAGACTGCACACTCCCTTGTGCCCAGCAGTGACCCGACCAGATGTGGACACTGAGGGGCCCATGGAGACCCTGAGGGTCCTCCTGTGTCCCCAGATGGCTCTGGCTGCCAGGCCAGGCGTCAGGAACTCAACCTTCAACTGCGCCCTGAGCATCTTTGTAAGCACAGGGAAAGACAATGGATGTGATGTGGGGCCGGCGCTGTGGCACAGCAGGTGAAGCCGCTGCCTGCAGTGCCGGCATCCCATATGGGCGCCAGTTCAAGTCCTGGCTACTCCTCTTCCGATCCAGCTCTCTGCTGTGGCCTGGGAAAGCAGTGGAGAATGGCCCAGGTGCTTGGGCCCCTCCGGCGTGGGAGACCCAGAGGAAGCTCCTGACTTCGGCTCAGCACAGTTCCGGCTGCTGTGGCCAATACGGGGAGTGAACCAGTGGATGGAAGACCTCTCTCTCTGCCTCTCCCTCTCCTTCTCTCTCTGTGTAACTCTGACTTTTAAATAAATAAATAAAAAATCTTTAAAAAGAAAAAAAAAAAGACAACGGATGTGGCCAAGGTTGAGGACTTCCTTGCGTCCTGTCCGAACAGCCGTCTGATTCCCAGCTGCTCACGGAGCGGGGGCGGCCGTGTAGACGAGGGAATGCCTGCCCCCTCCCGAGTGCGCCGAGCTAGCGCACTGGGCACCCGGGCCCTGCAGGCGCAGCTGAGCCCACCCGCCCGCGCGGTACCTGGTGGCTGGCCTGGGTGCCCCGGGCCTGCACTGTGGCCAGCCTGTCGTAGTAGCGGGAGATGGGGGTGTCGTGCTCGATGCCTTTCTTGGCACAGCGCTGCTTGTAGATCTCCACGAGGGACAGTGAGGAGGGGTTGTCCTCCACGAGGCGCATCTGCGGGGACACAGCCACCACGCGGGGCACTGCAGGGAGAGACCACAGTCAGCACCAGCCCAGCGCCAGGCCCGGTGTGCGGAGGAGGCAGCCGTGTGTGCTGTGCGTGCCGGGGCGAAGCTCACGGGGCCCTGGCCACGCCCCCTTTCCTCAGTACACGCCGGCGCCACCTGCCTTCAGACAAGCGTCTTTCCTCAGAGCGGTCGGAAAGTAAAATCAAAGAGCTGCCACCGCCCTCTCCCCCGGCCGAGGCCGAGCAAGTCCCGGTGTTCAGAAGAAACCAGGAATGTGCTATTCCTGCAGCGACATCCACGCCGCAGCCCACGCTGTGCCACGTTCAAATGCACACAGCTTTCTGACGCATGGCAGGCTTGCTTTAATTAGAGATGTTGACTTCAGCGTCAGAGACTTTAGGCCAACAGGCCGGGCCGCGGCTCAGCCGTCCGCAGAACCCACACGCAGGCAGTGCAGCAACCTCAGACGCCAGCTCCGCCTCCTGTCTGGCGTGGGGAGGGGATCTCAGGTCTCACCTATGCCCGGTACACGCGTAGCTGGGTCCCTGACCACCTAGCCACAAACAACTCCGCCCAGCGTGGCCACGAAGCAGCACCTGGTGCCACATGTCAACGACGCCTGTGGCCTCTCTTTCCTGAGTCTTGCACTCTGCCCCCTCGGCAAACTCAGGCAGCGCCCACCGTGGGTGTGGGTCCAGGAGGAGCAGGGCGAGGTCTCGCCCACAACCAGCCCAGCCAGGGGTTCTCCAGGGCAGCACAGGGCACAGCCCGTCCCCACGCTGAGAAGACCTCAGAGAGACAGGGGTGAGAGCCCGAGGGCCGGGAGCAGCGCCAACCCTGGAGCCAGCGCACAGGAGGTGCCGTCCGCGTACCTGTGAAAAACAGGTGCCTCTTGGTGGTCTCCTTCCGCTTCTCCAGGCAGGGGTTCAGCAGGCGGAGCAGCTGCAGCACGCGCTCCTCGCGCCGCGACTCCGTGAGGCAGGCGTCGTTCATGACCAGGTACGGGTAGATCTTGCCGTTGTGCCCGCGGATGTACAGCCTCCTGGCCGCCGTGTTGTGCTTCTGCACGATCTCCACCCTGGGCATAAACCTGCCAGAGCCGGGGAGCCGAGCGTGAAACCAAAGGTCGCGCTCAGCCTGGCGCGTCAGCAGTCGCCGACCGCCTCATCCGACAAGGTGGCCACAGGGCGGCCACCCTGTCTAAGTGAGTGGCTGCCGCCCAAGGCAGGGAGGGCAGCGATCGGCCCTCGACCCAGACTGGGAGGGAAGGGAAACACGGTGCTGGGTCGGAGCCAGAAACATCGGAAACACCACGGCCGACAGAGCCCCACGCAGGCACCGCGCCTGTCTGCAGCGGCATGGTAGTGCCCCGCGGCTTCCCAGCTGTCGTGGGAGAGTTTACCTTGTGCAAGGTTCTAGGGCGAGTCAGCAAGGGGTTTGGAACACAAACTCCAGCCCACTGGTGAGATCACACCCTTCCAGCGCAGCCCGATTCCGGCAACCAAGTCCGACGGGTGCACGGGGCTCACGTGCACACCGCCCCGCCCCCAGCTCTGCGTCCTGGCACGCCAGGCCAGGCTCACTCACCGTGCGATCTTGATGTAGTAATGCGTAGGCTTGGGCATCAGAAACTCCCCTGGGATTTCCACTTCAGCTGTTTGTGCCGAGAAGTTGCTTAGAAACCGGCACTTTTCTTCTATAAGGAAGAATTTTGGAAGCTGCTTGGTTTTGGCCTCCAGGATCTTGATCCACTTTTTCAATTTAGAAATAAGATTGTGAAGCTTCATGGACCCCGGAACGCTGAAGTCAAAATCTGCAAAGTGAAGCATGGTCACAAACAGTTTGATGGTCCAGGCCATGTCCACTTCCAGCCACAAACCAGGCCTGTTCCACACATGGGGGTGGGGCAAAACAGCTCAGCCGAAGCCGCGTGGGGGCGCTCTGGGGAGGAAGCGGAAGCAGCACGACCCCCCGCTGAACGCAGGATGCCGGGGTGAGCAGCACGGGGGCCCTGCTTGTCCACCTTGGCACCCTCGGGGCCGCACAGGGCTCAGGAGCTGCGCGCAGCCTGTGAATCCCGACAAACAGCAACAGCCTGGGAGCCCCGGCACCCTGGCCACGCCCCTCCCACCACATGGGAAATGCAGCCACGGGGGCCATCGTGGGAACACAGAGGCGCGACCCAGGCCAGCAGATCCCTCGGCCAACAGTGGGTTCATCAGGAGGGGGGCAAGACACAAAAATGACCCGAAGAGAAAACGTTCACTTGAGCCCTGGTTAGGAACAGGCATTCCGCCTGGATGCTGGATAGGAACACGCCTCTGTCCCATGGGAGAGTACTGGGCTCAGGGCCAGCGCTGCAGCAGAGCAAGTAAAGCCACTGCCTGCAAGGCTGGCAGCCCACATGGGTGCCACTTTTGAATCCCGGCTCCTCCACTTCCAATCCAGCTCCCTGTTAATGCACGTGGGAAAGCAGTGGAGAATGGCCCAAGTCCTTGGGCTCCTGCACACGCCTGGGCACGATTCCCAGTTCCAGCTGACTCCAGCTTCCCGCGGATGCACATCCGAGGAGGCAGTAGTGATGCGTGGGTGATCTGGTCCCTGGCCCTATGTCGGAGACCTGAGCTGGGCTCCGGGCCACTCTGGGCCCGGCCCTGGCCTAGGAGAGCACTGGGGAATAACCAGGGGAACAGAACCACGTCCAATTGCTCGTCTTTCAGCAGCCAACCCTGGTTCTCCTGCACCCTCACCTGCTCAGGCTCTGCTTCTGATGCGAGGCCCACGGGCCCAGGCCCTGCCTGAAGCCCTCTGCCCCTCTCCCTCCATTCACCCCTCCCTCCCGCAGGTGGCTGGGATTCTAACAGAAGATGTGGCACACATGAAGTCCCGTGTCCTTGCACGGCATCCCACGGACGAGGGCTTTTGGGGTCATTCTCTGGTCAGTGCCAACTCTGGAGCCCAGCCCTGAGGAACTCAAGTTAGCTGGTGGCTCTTCCTGCCAGGTCAGGGCTACCAAGCCCAGAGATGGCACTCAGCCTCGCCTGGCCTCATTTCTCTCCCTGTCAAACAGGAGCAGGGCCCTGCGAGGACCACGCTGGAGGAGCACACGACGCCCGGCATCATCATTGCCTAAGTGCAGGTGCAGGTGCACTGGGACACGTCAGCTTCAGGGAGCCCGTGGGCCTTCTCTGGTTCCACTGCATTTCAAACTCGCACCTTGTTCCTCGGTACTCCCCTGGGTGCACGGTCTCACGCTGAGTGACAGGCACTGCTGTCATGGGGACATGGACTCTAGCGGAGTTGTGCACAGGCCTGTTCCTCCGCTCTGGACCGAGACGGTGTAGGGAGCACAGGCCTCCTCTGCCTCTGAGGTCAGCACAGCCCTGGCAGAGCGCCCCACACCCACAACCTACACAGCTGCAGTCGCTGACAGCCCACAGGGCTGAGCCAGACGCCTCTGGGTGACACTGCTCCCTGTGTGTGGCTCTGCGTGGTCTCGCACCGCAGTCACCCAGACGCTCAGCAGACGTAACCAGACTCCCTCTGTCATCCTTCACAGCCCTGTGTACACCCGCTCTGGCCACCACTGCCCCCTCCCCCGCTCTACAGCAGCCCGCTTCATAAGAAAGAATCACTCCAGGAGCTAGCGCTATGGCGTAGCAGGTAAAGCATCTGTCTGTAGCCCAGCATCCCATATGGGCACCAGTTCGAGTCCCGGCTGCTCCATTTCTGATCCAGCTCCCTGCTAATGCGCCTGGGAAAGCAGTAGAAGATGGACCAAGTGCTTGGGCCCCTGCACCCATATGAGAGGCCCCGAAGACACTCCTGGCTCCTGGCTTTGGGCTGGCCTATCCCTGTGACCTTTTATGGGGAGTGAACCAGCAGATGGAATTCCTCTCTCCCTATCTCGGCCTCTGTCTCTCCCTCTATAATTCTGATTTTCAAATAAACAAATAAATAAATCTTTCAAGAAAAAAAAAAAGGGGCCGGCACTGTGGCATAGTGGGTAAAGCTGCTACCTGCAGCACCACCACCTCATATGGGTGCCAATTCAAGTTCCGTTTGCTCCACTTCCGACCCAGCTCTCTGCTGTAGCCTGGGAAAGCTGTGGAAGATGGCCCAAGTCCTTGGGCCCCTGCACCCATGTGGGAGACCTGGAAGAAGCTCCTGGCTTCAGATCGGCCCAGTACGTACTGGCCACCGCAGCCATCTGGGATGTGAACCAGCAGACAGAAGACCTCTCTCTCTGCCTCTCTATAAGTCTGCCTTTCAAATAAATAAATAAATGTTAAAAGACCCGGTGGTGGCTCCCGTGGAGGCTTAACTACTAAAGAGAGGCCATGAATTTCCACGCACAAGCACCTCTGGATGAACGAAGACCCCGTGCCTGCACGTCCTCCTGCCTCGACACAGACAGCTGGCCCTGGCCCTAAGACCACGAGCCAGGGGAGCAGCGTGGCCCACGGGGGTCGGCAGGAACGCTGGCAGCACGGCTCTGGAACCTGTCAAAGCCCACGCTCACTCTCAAGTTCCCATTTTTGTGATTTTCTTTTTCACATCAAACCCAGACACACTTTCCTGCTTCTAGTTCTCTAGCTCAGACTTCACTCGCGCTAAGATCTGGACGCAAGACAGACATCGAGGAGCTTCTCTCAAGCAGGAGCGCCGGGTTCTGCACAGCTTTCACCCCAGACGCTTCCGTCTTCAAAGGCTGACAGAGGACGGGGACCTCACAGGGACCTCAGAGAAGGCCACGATGATCAAAGGCCCTGGGCGCAGACCCGAGAGCTCGTGCCCACGCCTGACCGCGCGCCGGGCGGCTTGCTCACGTGGAAGCCCCAAGCCAGGCACGTCGTGCCACCCTCAGCGCCCACCTCACACCAGCGACAGCACACGTGGCGCCCAGGGCTCATGGGACAAGCGGCACAGCCTGTGTCCCTGACAGGCCAGAAGTCATGGCCATGACTGCGGCGCCCTGTACAAGTAATGGGACGCTTCATCCTGCACTACTCAAACTGCTTTACGTACAGATACTCATAACTGCACTGAGACAGTGAGTCTTTTAAAAGCATACTTCATCTGGGTCGGCACTGTGGCGTACCGGGTAGAACTGCCACCTGTGAGGCCGGCATTGCATAGGGGCATGGTGGGAGTCCTGGCTGCTCCACTTCAGATTCAGCTCCTTGCTAATGGATTGGGAAAAGCAGAGGAAGACGGCCCAAGTGCATGGCTTCCTGCACCCGGTATGTGGGAGAACCAGAAGAACCTTGTGGCTCCTGCCTTTGGCCTGGCCCAGACCCAGCCTTTGCAGACATCTGGGGAGTGAACAGTGGATGGGAGACCTCTCTGTAACTCTGACTTCCAAAGTAAATAAATAACTCTTACGAAAAAACAGATTATCTACAAATGAGAACCACCTATTCCAACCCATCAGTGAGAAAAGAATGCTTTGAAGAATGAGAGAAGTACTAATTAGACTCAAGAGTTTTCTTTTTTTTTTTTTTTGACAGGCAGAGTGGACAGTGAGAGAGAGAGACAGAGAGAAAGGTCTCCCTTTGCTGTTGGTTCACCCTCCAATGGCTGCCACGGCTGGCGCACTGCGGCCGGCGCACCACGCTGATCCGAAGGCAGGAGCCAGGTGCTTTTCCTGGTCTCCCATGGGGTACAGGGCCCAAGCACTTGGGCCATCCTCCACTGCACTCCCGGGCCACAGCAGAGAGCTGGCCTGGAAGAGGGGCAACCGGGACAGAATCCGGCGCCCCGACCGGGACTAGAACCCAGTGTGCCGGCGCCGCTAGGTGGAGGATTAGCCTAGTGAGCCGCGGCGCTAGCCTAGACTTGTGCCACACAGCTGTTTTCACAGGGTAATTCACATACTGATACCCAAACAGCCTGCAGAAGCCACGCAGGTGGCTGACATGACTCACCTAAGACCAGGCGCTCCAGGCAGAAGAGAGCCCACCCCAGTTCCCTGACAGACGGCCGCTCGGTGGGTGGTGGCAGAATAATGGGTGAGGGTATGCAGTGGTGGGTGTGAGGTGGCGGGCGTGTGCACCTGAACGCTGTGAGGGGTGAGGACCCCCGTGTGGCTAAGGGAAACAACCTCCCTCACACCATGCAGTAAGAGGCAGACCAGCACTCGTGTTCCCGTGGGTCTGGGGAAACTCAACCAGCAGCAAGGAAGGAAAACACTCCCTGTCAGGTGGCCACCGGGAGGCAGCGTTTAAATCCCAACACCTGACCTCTCAGTGCCGCCCCCACCACCCACCACAGGAACGGGAAGGGCGGGGAGGGCAGTCTGGCCCGAAGGCTTCCCCGTGCCTGAGCCCTGCCTTGGGGCTGGCAGCTCCTGCTCCAAACCTCCACCCCCCGTGGCAGAGGAGGAGGCAGCATCAGCGGGGATGGCCACGGGTGCCACAGGTGCCTTGGGTTCTGCCGCCTGCGCTGGGATCGGAGGCTAACGGTGCAGCCAACACAGAGATAAAGCAAAGGACTACAGCCCGCTTCACCCTCAAGACAAAGAATCCAGGTGCAGACGCCCGAGCGCTGGGAGAGCGGCGTGGGACTCACCAGTCGTGAACTGGCCTTTGAGCTTCTGGAAGACGGGGTCCTGGGCCGTGGCCTGCGCGCGCCTGGCCAGGGACTCGGAGGCAGCGCTGGAGAACATGGTGGACACGTTGGACACGTTCTCCAGGCCCACCCCGAACGTGCTCACCAGCTTCTTGACGAAGTTGAGCGTGTGCGGCGTGATTTTGGCATCTGACACGGCCCCGCTCTTCTCGAAGGCCACCGAGTAGCACTTCGCCAGGCCCTGCTGGAGCTGCCGCAGCACCTGGGGCAGAGGAAACAGAGCGGCGCTGAGACGGAGCCTCCGCCCCCGCCGGCCTCCCCACAGGACTGCCTCCAGCGTGCTCGGCACCGTGACTGGCATCCTTAACCAGGAGGGGGACGGATCCTGAACGTTTTTAAAGATACCCGAGGCGGGAAAGCCCCGTCTCCTGGGACCCACACGCCCTGGCGGCTACAGACACCTGACCTCCCCTTCAGGCTCTGGTGTCCACACTGCAGGGCTGCACAGTTCATAACCAAGGACACAAACGCCTGGATCGCAACATGCACACTACTCAGTCAGCAGCTCAGGCCAACACTGTCGCGGGGGCGGCCCAGCTGCTACCAAGACCCCTGAGGAACCAAGTCCCACCTCTGGGAACCACGCCGGGGCCACGGGCCCTGTGCATCGGCGACGGCTGCCCAGCGGCTCTTGCCGACTGCAGTCAGAGCAGCGGGCAGAGTTGGTGCCGGATCAGCAACTGCGCCCCCCGCTCCAGGCATTCCAGGCTACAATGGCATTTAGAGCCAAACGACTCGCCTGGTGAACAGCTACTTTCAACAACCAGGTGTCAATCCCAGAACACAGGGCCCCACGAGCACACAGGACCCATTCCCTAACACATACACAAAGGGACACATTCCCTGTACACAGAGCACACAGAGGGACCCATCCCTTGCACACAGAGGGACCCATTCCCTGCAAGCGTAGCACACAGAAGGACCCATCCCCTGCACACAGAGAAGGACCCATCCCCTCTACACAGAGGGACCCATCCCCTGCACACAGAGAAGGACCCATCCCCTGCACACACACACAGGATCCATCCCCTGCACACACAGGATCCATCCCCTGCAGAGGGACCCATTCCCCGCACACAGAGCACACAGAGGGACCCATTCCCTGCACACAGAGGGACCCATTCCCTGCACACAGAGGGACCCATTCCCTGCACACAGAGGGACCCATCCCCTGCACACAGAGGGACCCATCCCCTGCACACAGAGAAGGACCCATCCCCTCTACACAGAGGGACCCATCCCCTGCACACAGAGGGACCCATCCCCTGCACACAGAGAAGGACCCATCCCCTCTACACAGAGGGACCCATCCCCTGCACGTGTAGCACACAGAGGGACCCATCCCCTGCACGCACAGCAAACAGAGAAGGACCCATCCCCTCTATACAGAGAAGGACCCACGCCCTGCGCGCGCAGCCACAGTACCTCTTCGTGCCAGTTCTCTCTGAACCAGACCATCTGGTCGACGATGCCTTCCAGGGAAGACAGAAGGGTGGGGTGGAGCTCCCGCTGCATGTGCATGATTCGGCTGCAGCGCCACATGGGTGCTGTCGCTCTTATGGGCCCTGGATCTGATGCAGAATGGGACTGGTTACCCACTGAACTTGGCTGCTGCTGTCCAGAATCTGAGAGCAACACACACAATGCCAACGTCAGCGCAAAACCGACCCACGCTAGAGCTCCAAAGGAACGCCGGTTCCTGCCGGTGCGGGAATCACCACCAGACCCTCTCCCCAGGGGCGGTGTGGGAGACACCCTGGTTCTAGGGACGGGTGCACCGAGGGGCTCGGGGACGGTGAGCGTGCTGGTCTACGACCTGCCTGCAAAGGCTTGCGGGAAAACCCAGTGTGCGCGCGTGCTGCGTGCTGAGAGAGGAAGCAGACGAGGCACAGTGCTACCTGGCGGGTCCAGGGAGGGTGCACAGGTAGCTTTCTGCAAGTTTCAGCACTTTAAAAGGAAACGTTCGGAAAGTTACCTCACAATACACTCTGGGATGCTGACGCCCAGCAGCAGCTAGGTAAGGCTACACTTTTCATCCAGGAATGCCACACCACACTTGTAAAATGGTATTTTTGGGGAAAAAAAAGTCCTTTTCTCAATGAGAAATACATTATAAAACCCTAATTCAATTATGCTGGCGCAGGCTCGCTTAGTTTTAAAACTTAAAAAAAAAAATCCTACTTTTCAAATGCCCAAGACACTGATCTGCCAGGCACCCCCACGGCCGGGGCGGGGCCGCTGGCACGGGACACCTGTGGGCATCCCAACACTGTGCAGCGGCCAGTCCCTCAGCTGCTCACCGAGCACTGGGTTTAGTGCACAGGGGACTCTCCTGAACTAGTCATTTCCTGCACACAGGGCTACTCAATGCAGACTCAAAGTCTTGGGTCTGGAGTCAGGTTTCACGAACGGCTGGTTCTCCTGACACCTGTTGACCCTGAACACCACGCCCAGCACTTGGCACATCACCTTGCTTACGGGGACGCGCTGTGAGCACGGCGCGAGGCGAACCGTATCACCTTCTGTAGACCAAAATCCTCAATCTGTTCTAGCTACGGCTCACTCAGGCCAAGTCGGGGCAAAGGACACAGACCCACCAAGACACAGATCTGAGGTTCCCCGGAGGCCCCCAGTGTCCTGTCTGGGCTAAGAGCAGGCCAGCTGGGGCCGGGGTGCCCAGAGCAGCCCGGGATGGGAGCCCGGGGGACAGCGGCGCCCACTCCCAGACTCACCGCTCTTGTAGCGCTCCCGCTGCTCTATTTTCAGGGTCAGGTACAGGGTCCGGATCGGGAAGTAGACGGCTTGGGGGTACACGCGTCCAACCTGCTTGGAGAAAGGGGCTGTGAGCAGCAGTGCTCCCAACTGTGCGCCTGCGCAGACAATGCCCCTCCCAACATGTGAGCTACACGTAAGACGCCTGCCGGAGTTCAGGCCATGTGGGGTGCAGGTGGCGCCCCCGCAGTCAGGAGTCGGGTGATGCTCAGGAACGCTGCAGAGCTGAGCCCAACGGTGGGATCTGCAACCCGGTCTGAGCTGTACCTAAGCGTCTGCGGTCTCACCCACCAGGCTTTCCACAGACATTCTGGAAGCATTCTCAAATGACAGACAGGAAATGCCTTCTCCAGGACCTGGCCTGTCAACCCCCCGGCACCCGCCAGGTCCTGTGAGGACTGAGTGACGGCGCTGAAAGCTCCGCGGGGTGGGCCAGCCCCCACAGCACAGGACGGGAACCGGAAATAGACTCCCGAGTGACGCCTGTCACTCTCGCTGCTCTTGAAACACACATGCGAAGATGTTCATGCAAAGAAAAGCATGATGCTTTAAAACTTGATGCTTTATATTTCCTTTCAACCCTGACATACACTGGAAGAACTTGTAATTATGCTCGATATTAACAGATAGCTAAACGTGTTAAATCTTCCCATCTCCTAGCATTTAAACATGCTTTCTGGAAAACAGAAAGAATGCAAAGCAAAGATGCAGTTTGGATTTGGCCAACAAAGACACCTTGCTGTCCCCACCTGGCTAATAAGGTTCAGGAGCAGCTTCCCCTCGGAGCCGACCAGGCACGTGAGCAGCTGGGGGATCCAGGCCAGCCACTGGATGGGCGGCACCCCGATGCAGTACTTGTCCACGGCATCTGCCAAGGTGTTTTTGTCGTCATCAAAACTCAGAAGCCAAAGCACCTAGAAGAGAAGCAAAGCCCTACAGCTGAACAGCACTTCCGAGGGACCTGCCAGGGGCCTTCGTTCCCACACTGACACCCCATCCAGGGTGGCTTCACTGGCCGAGGTCACACCGGGCTGTGCTCTCCCTGCGGTGCAGGGGGTAAGCCGCCGCCTGCTACACTCCCAGACCTGGCTGCTCTGCATCTCATAGAGCTCTCTGCTGACGTGCCTGGGAGAGCATCAGAAGGCGACTCAACTGCTTGAGCGCCACCACCCGTGTGGGAGACCTGGAGGGAGCTCCCTGCTCCTGCCTTTGGCCCTGGCTGTTGTGTCCATCTGGGCAGTGAACCAATAGACGGAGGATCTCTTGTGTGTGTATCTCCCTATCACTCTACCTTTCAATAAGTGAGTAAATCTTTAAAAAATTATTTTTGGATAGTTTTTCCCTTGATATAGCTTTTTTAAATATAAATTTGATTTTTTTTAAAGATTTATTTAGTTATTTGAAAGGCAGAATTACAGAGAGGCAGACAGAGAGAGAGGTCTTCCATCCGCTGGTTCATTCCCCAGATGGCTACAATGGCCAGGGCTGCGCCGATCCAAAGCCAGGATCTTCCTCCAGGTCTCTCACGTGGGTGCAGGGGCCCAAGGGCATGGGCCATCTTCTACTGCTTTCCCAGGCCACAGCAGAGAGCTACATCAGAAATGGAGCAGCCGGGACTTGAACCAGTGCCCATATGGGATGCCGGCACTGCAGGCAGCGGCTTTACCCGCTTTGCCACAGCGTGGGCCGCTTGATTTAGCTTTAATGACCATTAGTGACAGCTCCAGTCTGCTGGTGAGCGACAGCCAGTGGGGCGGCAAGGAAGCAACAGGCAGGGGCTGGGGCTCACAACCTGCACATACACTTGTGTGCTCTCAACCAACAAAACCCACTTCCCCTAAGATCTGAGATGACCAGGACCCCACTATCAGGAAGGCCGCGTGCTGGCAGTCTGGTGCCTGCAGATGTCCCAGACAGCGACAGTGAGAGGCAGACAATACCCGAGTAGGGTGTTTAGGCAGTCCTTCCACGGTTGGCTCATATTTCCGTGGCTGGCCCTAACTACCATGTGCTAATGCACACTGCAGATTTTCCTGTTAAATCCCAAGCCTTTAAATGGGTAAAACAGCAAACACTGGAGGCCAGCGCTGTGGTGCAGTAGGGAAATCCTCCACCTGCAGTACTGGCACCCAATATGGGTGCCAGCTCTGGCTGTTGTGGCCATCTGGGAAGTGAACCAATGGATGGAAGACTTTTTTTTTATTATTATTATTTTTTTTTAATTTTTTTGACAGGCAGAGTGGACAGTGAGAGAGACAGAGAGAAAGGTCTTCCTTTTGCCGTTGGTTCACCCTCCAATGGCTGCTGCGGCAGGCGCGCTGCGCCCGGCGCACCGCGCTGATCCGATGGCAGAAGCCAAGTACTTATCCTGGTCTCCCATGGGGTGCAGGGCCCAAGCACTTGGGCCATCCTCCACTGCACTCCCGGGCCACAGCAGAGAGCTGGCCTGGAAGAGGGGCAACCGGGACAGAATCCAGCACCTCAACCGGGACTAGAACCCGGTATGCCGGCGCCACAAGGCAGAGGATTAGCCTAGTAAGCCGCGGCGCCGGCCCAGATGGAAGACTTTTGTCTGTCTCTTCCTCTCTCTGTAACTCTACCTCTCAACAAATACGTAAAATCTTAAAAAAAGTGAACAAGTGATTCTCAAGCATTCTGTAGAATCCTCCTGGGTTGTGTTTCTGCTTCCTGAGGGGAGGCAGAGAGCAGTGTGGAGGAGTCCACCTCAGGTGTGGGACACACAGGACCCCCACCACCCAGGCTACGCTGGGGCCACCTCGTGGAAGGAGACTCTCAGCCACTGCGCAAGGACCGCGGCTCTGACCGCAGGGCTGTCTGCCCAGACAGCTCCAGACTTGGTGCCTCAGACACGACCCCCAGGGGAGGCTTCACCACCTGCAAGACTGGGACACTGAGGATGTCCGGGCCTGAGCTTTCTCCGCCTGAACACGGATCAGCAAAGATGCCCTGGAGGAGGACGGACGGGGAGGCAGGGTGCGAATCTGGGCCTCACACCACGTGGACGGCTCAGCTGAGCGGTTTAGACACAGCTCCCTCCTCCGGCCTACCTTGGCTAAGTACTTCCTCGACTTGCTCTCGTTCTGATGGCGACAGGCGTGCAGGTAGCAGGTGATGGCGGACACGCCCAGGTGCAGCTGCCGCTCCTTCACAAAGATGTTCTCCAGGTAGTCGCCCCACATGGCCCAGGCCTTCACCAGCACGTCATGCATCTGCACAGCTGCGGAGAAGGCCTTGTTGGCCTCCTCGGACCTGCCGGGCACACGGCTTCACGTAACACAGACCATCTCGGCAAACGCTGTGAACTTCGTACATTCAGTAGTGTGTGTGCAGCTGTCCCCGACCACCACTGCCCCCAGCCCCCAGCCCCCAGCCCCTGGTGCCCGCCACCCTGCTCTGTCCCCACAGATGAACTGAACCCACACATCCTACACTCCGTGGACTCTGGCTTCTTTCACTGGTCGTAGCAGGGTCAGGCGCACCACTGCAGTGCCCCACTGTGTGCCGAAACCACACGTGCGTTCCTCACTCCTGTGCTGTTGGCACAGGGTACCTCCTGCGACCACAAGCATCCTGGCCTACCTTGACTTTGCTGTGGAACTGCCAAGCTGTTTTCCACAGCAGTTCCGCCACTTTACTATCCTGTCAACAATGTGACAAGCACAGACACTGGATCAAAGGATAGTGTAACAGAGGAGTATCATTGAGCAGCAGAGCACCACAGGCCCTTGAGAAAAACTAGCCGACACCACACCACCTGGGATTTAATCCCACCGGAAAGAAATCCAACCGCCTGAGATGACCACATGAATAAAGGGGAAAAATCCACTAACAGAAAGAAAAAGCTGACAAAACCTAACACCATCTCATGACACAACACACTCGGCACAGGAGGGAGGGAGCACCCTGAATCCGAGAAGGCACCCCTGCGAGGCACTCACGGCCACCACCACACTCACCAGAGGGACTAAACACCCCTCCCCACGACACAGCAAAGGGCCGGGTCGCCGCTGAGCCAACAGGAGAGGCTCAGGGCACCTGGGCCAGAAATGGAAACTAAACGCATCTGGCTGGAAAGAAGCTGTAAACCTGTGCATAGATGACAGGATCCTGCTACACAAAACCCTTCGGAACCCACCAAGAAACCTCTGGGAAAACACACGGGACAATGCTGAAAACCATTAACGATCTTTATACAACAATCAACTGCATTTCTGTATTTTACCAAAGAACTATCTGAAATTAAAATGAAGAGAACTCCATTTATAGTATCACTGAAGGGAATAAGTCTTTAGAAATAGCTTTTTTTTTTTTTTTTTAAATTTATTTCAAAGAGTTACAGAAATAGAGGGAGAGACAGAGATATTTTCCACCTGCTGGTTCACTCCCCAGATAGCTGCAACAGCTATTGCAGGCAGTGGCTTTACCTGCTATGCCACAATGCAGGCCCCAAGGAATAACAAACATGAAGAAGTACAGGACTTGTAGACTCAAAACTGCAAAACATTATGGAAAAAACTGAAGACCTAAAGTAATGGAAAGATGTTCTATCTTTCACAGACTGGAAGACATATCATTGAATGGAAAACCTCCCAAGATAATATACATTCAATGCAGTTTCTTTTTTTTTTTTTGACAGGCAGAGTGGACAGTGAGAAAGACAGACAGAGAGAAAGGTCTTCCTCTTGCCGTTGGTTCACCCTCCAATGGCCGCTGCGGCCGGCGCACCGCGCTGATCTGATGGCAGGAGCCAGGTACTTATCCTGGTCTCCCATGGGGTGCGGGGCCCAAGGACTTGGGCCATCCTTCACTGCACTCCTGGGCCACAGCAGAGAGCTGGCCTGGAAGAGGAGCAACCAGGACAGAATCCGGTGCCCCGACCAGGACTAGAACCCGGTGTGCCGGTGCCACAAGGCGGAGGATTAGCCCAGTGAGCCGCGGCGCCGGCCATCAATGCAGTTTCTATCACAACCCAAATGCCCCCGCCACGCCTTTTTGCAGAAACGGGTGACCTAAAATCTGTATGGAAACGGGCCAGATGTTTGGCACAGCTGTTGAGACCTTGCTCGAGAAGCCTAGACTGGAGTCCTGGCGCTGATCCAGCTCCCTGCTGTGCACCCTGGGAGGCAGCAGGTGACAGCTCTGGTACTCAGGTCCTTCCCACCCACACGGGGGCCAGCATTGAGATCCAGGCTTCCAACTTCAGCCTGGCCCAGCCCTCACTGGTGCAGTCATTTAGGGAGTGAATCAGTAGATGGACGATCTCTCTGCTCTTCAGCTCTTCAAATAAATAAAAAACTAATAGACATTTAAAGAAATATTTTTTTAAAAGTTAAGGGACTCCAAGGACCCCAACAGTAGATCAACAGGATACAGAGTCCAGAAATAAACCCTTACATGGTCAACTTTGTTTTTTTCATTTTAGAAATTTATTTTTGACAGAGCTCTAATCTATTAATCCATCTTGAAACGGCCACAATGGCCTCTATTTCAGGCTAAAGCTGGGAGCCAGGAACTCAATCCAGAAACCCAAAGGCTTGAGCCATCACCACTGCCCTCCAGTGTGTGTATCAGGAGGAAGCGGAGTCAGGGCTGGAGCTGGGAGTTAAACCCAGGCACTGTGATACGGGTGGGCATCTTCACAGCCAGGCTGAACTCCTGTCCCTGGTCAACTGATTTTACAAGGATGCCATTCCACAGAGAAGAATGGTGCTGAGACAACTGGATATTCACCTGCAAATCAAGGAATGTGGCCCTCCATCTCACACCATATACAAATTACTCAGAAAGGATCAAAGACCTAGACATAAGAGCTAAATCTATAAAGCTCTTTGAAGCAAACAATATGTGATCTTGGGTTAGACCATAGATTCTCTCTTTTAAAGATTTATTTATTTGGGCCGGCGCCGCGGCTCACTAGGCTAATCCTCTGCCTTGCGGCGCCGGCACACCGGGTTCTAGTCCCGGTTGGGGTGCCGGATTCTGTCCCGGTTGCCCCTCTTCCAGGCCAGTTATCTGCTGTGGCCAGGGAGTGCAGTGGAGGATGGCCCAAGTCCTTGGGCCCTGCACCCCATGGGAGACCAGGATAAGTACCTGGCTCCTGCCATCAGCGCGGTGCACAGGCCACAGTGCGCTGGCCGCGGTGGCCATTGGAGGGTGAACCAACGGCAAAGGAAGACCTTTCTCTCTGTCTCTCTCTCTCACTGTCCACTCTGCCTGTCAAAAAAAAAAAAAAAATTTATTTATTTGAAAGGCAGTTACACAGAGAGAGAGGGTGAGGCAGACAGAGAAGAGAGATCTTCCATCCGCTGATTCACTCTCCAAATGACCATTAACAGCCAGGCCGACCCCAGGCCAAAGCCAGGAGCTTCATCTGGGAGTCCCATGGGTGGACAGACCCAAGCACTTGGGTCATCTTCCCCTGCTCTCCCAGCTGCATTAGCAGGGAGCTGGATCGGGCATGGAGCAGCCAGGACACAAATAAGCACCCACATGGGATGCTGGCATCACAGGCAACGGCTTAACCTGCTGTCACAGCGCTGGCCCCAACCATGGACTCTTAGATGTCACCGAAAGTATGAGCAAGAAAACAAAAACCTATATAAGCTGGGCATCATCAGAATAAAGCTCTGTGCATTAGAGGACGAGTGTGAGACGATACACGCACACTGGGTAGTGCAGACTTGCACTCCGGACCGCACATGCAAAGATGCCGCACAAGCACAACCCGAAGCCACGAGGACACGCAACCGCACGCTCACTACAGTGCCCGCTAATCAAAACGTAAGAAAGTAGGTGCTGGTGAGGACGTGCAGACCAGAGAGCTCAACCAGTGCCGGTGGGAAGGTCAAGCGGTGCAGCCACGGCGGAAGACCGGCAGCCCCTCAAACCCATCAACAGAGGAGGACCTCCCGTGAGCCAGCAGCTCACACCACGCCAAGGCTGGGAATGCTCACGGCGGCACCGCTCCTCGCAGGAGGAACGTGGAAACGCCCCATCGTGCATCAGGTGCTGGACACACGGAGGCACGGTGCAGGTTACCCGGCCCTGAAATGCACAGGTCCTGTGCACGACACAGCCTGCAGGAGCCCCGCAGACACCAGGCACCAATGCCCTGAGCAGGCAAACCCAGAAGAAAGCAGGCCCAGTGCGTGTCCAGAACAAGAGGAGACGCTTCCAAAGGGAATGTTTTACAACACCTCAAGAAAAGCAAAACCCTTTCATCTTGACAATACCGCTTCCTTACTTAAACCCAAGCTGGGAACACGATCCCTGTACTGGGAACACGTGAACGGGGCTGCAGCACCGGTGCATGGCAACAGGCACGCCTGCGAGAACACCGCGTTGCCATACTGCTCCCCACATCCCACGTGACGTTCACTTCTCTCAACAGGACAGGGCAACCTTTTCCTGTGATGGGCTGGTGGGCGGTCAGGCTTTGCACATCACAGGACCTCTGCAATCCCCGTGCCAGCACGCCGTGCCGCATGGACAGCACAGGTGTCCCTGACCCGAGACCAATGACAGAGCCAGATGCTGGCTGGACGGCGCCCACGGGCCACAGCCTACTGACCCCTGTTCTAAAACAACGATCGCCTCCACGGAAGGAACCGACTGTTCCGAGATGCCGAGCTGAGAAAACGGGGACTGCACACGCTGGGACCAAGCCACGTGCGCCTGCACAGCTCTGAGTGACACGTCACAGCTCTGCAGAGGGCCCACGCCTCAGAACTGCCCCAAATCACGCCGACCCCTAGCTCGAGCCTCCCATGGGCTCCACTTGTAAGGAACTGCAGTGCTCTGACAGGCCTTTCTCTGCCAACCCTGCCAATGGGACACACATACTTGTTGATCTGAGCCAGAAACATCCCCTTCAGGGCATAGAACTCCGCTGTCATCTCTTTCGTGAAGTATTTTAAGTTTGTAGATTCAATGACTTCAAGGCCCTGTTTGGGAAAAAAAAGGAAGAAAGAAGTGAGCATGGAAAAATCTCTGCAATTGAGATAACAAAAACTTCACAGAAGTGCTTATCAACACAACAAATCCTGTGGGTCCTTGATACGTCCACCGCAAATCAACAATAGACTCGACTACCGCATCTGATGAGTGACTGAACCCGAGACACAGGTGTGACAGAGGCCCGACGTCCTCCAACGTGCCCCAGCCAGCTTCATTCTGCGCACAGGCTACATCTACCTTATGCTCTCATGGCTCAGCCGCTGCTTTCTTTCCTATGCTCATCACTAAGTGTGTGGCAGAGAGAGACCACAGGTGCACCAGGGACACTTGAGGCTTCCCAAGACTGCCTTCCCGGCGTGGCAAGGCCATGCTCATGCTGAGGCTGGGGGTGCGAAGCTGGCATGGCATGCCCCAGCTCTGGCTCTCTGCTCGCCGAGGGGCGTCCCCGTGCGGGCTGGGGCGGGGTCCTGCACACCCACCTGCATGCACTCATTTTTGCCCATCACGCCCGCCAGCTGCAGGTAGCATTTCACTTGCTGTCGAATCTTCTGGAAGCAGTCCACGATAGGAACGGTTGGAATGGTGTGAATGCGACTTAATATATCCAGAGCTACGTTGACCAGCCCTTGCTTTCGGGCAATCTTCCCGTACTGGATGATCGCTGAAGCTGACGCGTGGACCCCAAGCATGGCGTTATTGGAACTCGGATCGTGCTGGGAGCTATTTTCATACGCAGTTACGATAGCTGGAGGGCAGAGAAATGAACCATCAGTCCCGTCAAATGCCTTCCAGAGCGGCCACAACGAGGCTTCAGTACAAGTGAAACACGCTCAGGGCTCCTGAGGACGGGGGCTCGGCCACAGCCTTCCTGACCATCCCTCGTCTCTTATCCCACGAGCAAGTCAGACGCTAACCACGGAGCAAACCACGAAGGTTGTCAATGTGAGGACACCCGGCAGGTTCAGGGGGTGGGCAGGGAGGACAGAAAGACACGGCAGAGGCCAGACAGCCCCCAGGAGCAGGGCTTTCAACAGCAGGAGCCCATGACCCGGATGCCACGGGCAGTCCCTGGCAGCAACGGTTGTAACGGGAAACTCACCCGGGTAGGACAAAAAGCGTTCCCCTCCCACTCCCTGCCCTCGCCACAACCATGGCCGCCAGCGACACCCACCCCCCAAGGAGGGAATTGGGCAAGAGAACACGAAACAGACGCGAAGGCCGCCCCGCGGGGTCGGGAAATTACATGATGAGTGCATGCCGGACCAGGTGGGTTTACCCTGGTAATGGTGCTGCCGCCACATGAAGATGCTGCTCCAGTGCGACAAGTCGTCCGACACGATGGGCAGCCGGTTCCGCCAGGTCTTCACCACCGTCTTCATGTCGTGCAGGCTGTTGTTCCTGCCCAGGTTGCTTGGCTGGAGACCGGCATTTATTTGAGCAGCTTCCTGGAGTTCAATGATTTGCTGGGCTGCCTAGGGGCCAGCATCGGAGATCGCACAGTGAGTGTTGCGAGAGGTGGGGCAGAGAGGCGACCTGATCACTGTCAGGGCGAGCCCTCACTGACAGACGCCCCCAGCCACGCTGCAGGGCGTGTGCCGCCGCCTTCGCTCCCCACCCGGACCCCGACCTTACAACCTCCGCCGTGGCTCCCGAGAGGGGGCGCAGACGCTACCCTTGCTGAGGGGTGGGTGGGCCTCAGACCGCTCTTCCTCCTTCCTGCCCCTCGCGTGGCTCCGTGGCTGCCAACGGGTGAGAGCAGACGGCCTCGCCCCCCTTTGGCCTCCAGCCAGGTGCGGTCCAAGCCCCAGACCCAGCAAGCTCCAGAAACACGGTTCTGGCCAGCTCTTCGGGCTGACGAGCCCGCCCAAGTCTGTCCGCTTTACTCCCCTTAAAGCCCAGATGTGCCGCTGGCCCCTTAGCGCCGATGCTGGCTCCTCACCGGCACACAGCACCCCACAAGGCCACCTGCCCCTTTCCTGGCTGCCTGCGGCCCACGGGGGCTTCTCCCTGTTCCGTCTGTATTTTTATTTCCTGTCCCATCGGCCCAGCACTGAAGCACAGCCTCCCCTGCTTTCTCTTCTCTCCCAGGCTGCACACTGCTCTGAGGCGGAGTTTCCCTACTCTGTATCTTCTCAGCCTTTTTTTTTTTTTTTTTTTTTTAAGATCTATTTATTTGAAAGTCAGAGTTAAAGAGACAGAGGGAGTGACAGGGCAAGATCTTCCATCCGCTGGTTCACTCTCCAGATGGCCCCAACAGCCAGCACTGGACCAGGCCGAGGCCAGGAAGTAAGACCTTCACCCAGGTCTCCCAGGTCTTCCCCTGCCTTTCCCAGGCCATTAGCAGGGAGCCGGACTGGAAGTGGATCAACTGGGACAGGGCCCAGCACCCCACGGCATGCTGGCATCACCATTGTGGCTTCACCCGCTATGCCACAATGCTGACCACATGTATCTTACCTGATTTTCAAAACTGCCTAGAAGAATTTAAGCTTTCAAGTTTGGTTCATTGCATTTAGATTTCTGAAATCTTTGTCTAATCTTATCCCTTCCGCTACTGCCTGCCAAAAGCTTACTGCAAACAGAAGGGATATTTGTTTCCTAACAGCTTCACCGCGACGTCGCCAAAACGGCATGAGGCAGAGGCTGTGGAGCAGCAGGTGAAGCCACCATCCGGCACGCCCACGACTCCCATCCGAGCGCCTGGCTGGAGTCCTGGCTACCCAGCCTCCTGCTCGCGGGCACCCTGGGGGGTTCAAGTACGAGAGCCCCTGCCGTCCACAGGGGAGACCCGGTCAGAGTCCCAGGCTCCTGGCTTCGGGCTGGCCCAACCCTGGCTGGTGCAAACATTTAGAGAGAGAACCAGAGGATGAAGGTCCCTCCCTCTTTCTCTCTAATGTTTTTTAAATAAAATATAGGAAAAAAAACTACCCTCAGCCCTTGGAGTACACAACGTGCTTGTTTTTAGCATGTTCCAGAGCTGTGCGGCCACCAGCACTGATGACAGAAATTTCACATCACTTCCCCAAGCACCTCCAGGTCCACCAGCAGCCACGCTCCACGCCTGACCCCTGACCACACTGTTCTCTGTCCCTGTTCTTTGCCTGAAATCACCGAAGTGTGGCTGTCGGGACAGGCCCGCTCACTCAGCAGGTTCTCAAGGTCACCATGATTAGCAGGTATGCACACTTGAGGCCTTTTTACAGCGGAATCCGGTGTGACCGCGTGGATGAACCACATCCTGCTGCACATCTGGCTGTCACAGCTGACGCTGCCACGACACTCCTGTACAGGTTTCTGGTCCTATTTCCATTTCTCCGAGTGGAACTGCAGGATCACAGGTAACAACCTGTTCGAGGCCCCTTGGACATACCACCCGCTTCCTGTTTTCACGTATCAGTAACTTTTCCTAATAGCTACAAGAATAGAGAACTCATCTTGCCACTTTCAGACTGAAAAATCAAACCTTGCTATTTTAATAATCTGGATTAGAAATGTTACATGTTTATAAAACAAATGCTACTTTAAGGCACACTTTCAGAAACAGTAATGAAGTAGTAACATCGAAAACAAAACCAGCCACCATCCCAACAAACTTCTGGTGCACCAGGGCACAGACAAGTGGCTATGCTATGCCACCCATCAATGTGGATTAACCTTGAGCTCCTGCTCTCTGCTGTGGGCTTTCTCCCGTGGCACTCAATGTGTAACACGAGCCCACCACCCCGTGCGATGCCACCATTCAGCCCAGGAAGGTCCCGCCCCCAAGACACTTCGGGCTGCTGGGGAAGGTCCCAGGCCTGGCTCCTCCTGGGTGCCATCTACCCTTCGTGACAACTCATTCCAGCCACACCAGCTGCTGTTCAGTGGCTTAAATTTACACCCCCAGAAACTGCCAAGAAGAGCAGCAAGGCCCCTTCCTGTGTCTGCCTCCACCTTCTTCTTCTAGAGGGTGAGCTTCCGAGTGCAGGCAAGGTGAGGGAACCTGTTCCTCTCCGCTGCCTGGCTCAGCCAGTCTCACCTGGGCCCGAGCTGCGCCGAGGTGGGCGCCACACTCACCTGCAGAAGGGGTGTGTGCACGTGGGACACGACGTGGGGCAGCCGCCGCCACTCGCGGATGGCCAGGCTGCTGGCCATCTCCACCAGGCGCTCTATGAAGCTGAGCTGCTGCTCCTCGGGGTGGCAGATGGCCAGGTATCCTCGGTACATGTTAACTTTCCAAGCCATCTCTTTCGGGCAACTCACTTCCACCTGAGAGAGAGAAAGACAAAGAACATTACATAGGAAGTGACGGCTGTTCTTCTCTTGTAAGGCCCAAAGAGGAAACAGTCCACTTTTTTCATCAATTATGCAACGTGATAAACAGAAGGTAAGCTCTAAACGCGATTTCTTTGCTGAATTCACGCATTCAGGTGTCCTACTATGGCTTTTCCTCCTCCTCCTCTTGCTTTCTAGGAAGGCAGGCCAGGCCGCTGGAGAGTTCCCCAACAGGAAAGTGATCAGTTCTGCGGACAGGTCAGCTGAACAGCACCCCTCCGCCGCAGTCAGCCAGCGTGCCGGGGCAGGGTGGGGCAAACAGCTCCAGAATGGTGAGCACTGGCACAATTCTCAACCGTCTCCAGTTCACACCGCTATCCTCAACCACTCAAAGTGGTTCTGGCACGGATACAGGGGCATTCGCAGATTCTGCTGCGGTCACATGCAAGCCAGGCTTTGCTACCCTCTAGCAAATGCGCCCCGGATGCCGACCTATGCACATGGGGCTCAGGGCCAGCTGCACACCACAGGCTCTACTCCTGAGAGCCCCCCTTTTTAAAGAAAATAAAGAGTTCTCCAGTTGAAAGGCAGTTATGGGTGTGTGGGGGGATATCTTTTATCTGCTGGTTCACTCCCCGAACTGCCACAGTGGCTGGGGCTGGGCCAAGCCAAAGCCAGGAGCCAGGAGCTCCATCTGGGACTCCCATATGGGTGCAGAGCCCAAGCACCTGGGCCATCTTCCGCTGAGTTCCCAAGCCATGAGCAGGGAGCTGGAAGGGAAGCGGAGCAGCCAGGACCTGACTGGTACTTGTAGGAGACGCCAGTGCGACATCACAGTGCTGGCCCCACCAAGAGCCCTTCTGAGGGCAGCAGCGTGGCTAGCGGTTCTATCAGTCTCTTGTCAAGCGTTTGCAAACAGAAATGATAACAAATTCAAGCCCGCGACACCACCTCCGTGGCGACAGATGCAGGCATGTCTGCGGGAGGAGCCCCACAGGACGCACTGCCAGGACCCAGAGCTGCGCCTCCCGTGGTGTCCCTGGGGAGCAGCGAGCAGACTGCTGCGTCTGAACACTGACGCAGCACCAGTGACCGGGGTTACACAACACCCGGTGGGCGTGCTTCTGACACCCTGCATTTCTGAAGCACCGCCACAGTGGAGAAACCAGGGAGGCAAGTTCACACGCCCATCTGCTGTCTGTGCCAGTGCGACCCTGGGGACGCCAATCGCCCGTCTCCTGGGCTGCAGGCGAACCAACATCTCCAGGTTCTGGCCATCACCACACGCTCCGCCCAGGAACACTAAGAGCCAGGCATCACTTTCCCCTCACTGGGAAAAAAGTCAGACCAACACACACATCACAAGCAGCACACCAACATGTCGCCCCTGAGCCCTCCCCCTGCCAGTCAGGATGGCGTGAGGCTGCGGGACTGTGGTTCTCCGGGTCGCTCGTCTGGCATGTGAGCTCTCTCCTCCAGCAGTTAGGGACGTAACGAGAGGAAACACCGGTCAGACTGAGGGACAGCGTGACACCGCACACACCTGGCCAAGCCAGACTTCGGGAAGGAGGAAGAAGATTCCAGTGAGCTTAACTCACTCAGCCAAGAGTTTTATCAAAAACGGAGAAGAACCAACTGAAAGAGCCCTGTGACGGCGACTTCCATTCTCCCGACAAAAGCCACAGACGTCGAAGTCAAGGCCTGGGCCCTGGCCCACCCTCCGGGCAACAGTCCGACACTTCTCGCAGTGCTCCTCAATCTACGGGCCGTCAAGGACCACACGGCAGCCACAGCACAAGCTAGAGTTTCAGGCTGGGAAGCGCGTGCCCACCCCACCCCGGAGCGCTGCTGCTGCTCAGGCACTCATGTACCCTCCCCTGTAAGAAAGGAGAAGTCCTTCCCGAGTCAAAGGTGAGACAGCGCGACAGCACTTCCTCCCCTTGCCCTCCATGTGAGCACCACACAGAACGGTCAAGGACAGACAGGCAGAACAAGGACAGGAGCTGGGACGCAGGTGGCAGGAGCAGGAGACGCTGCCAGCATGCTGGGACAAAGCTGCTCCTGGGAGAACCTACACCGGGAAGCACAGTCTTTGAAAGTATTGAACTCCTGTGCACACACAGACGGGACCCGGTGCCACGGGAGGGAGACAGACACCAAAGCAGGGAGAATGATAGACGGGCCCGGGGCAGGGAGAATGAAAGCCCGCCAGGGCGGCACGTGCAGTGTGGCTGCAGGTACAGAGACGGAAGTGCACGGCCCGACACCCTCGGTGCCTCAGGCAGAACCACACAGGGGACCAGGAACCTGCACTGAGTCCCCGTCCTCCCGCCACACCCTGGATTCCTGGGGACAATCGAAAAAAGAAAAGTGCAGCCGAACCAAGTCAGTGACCCCGTCACTCCCATGGTGCTCTCGCCGGGTCAGCCGCACACAGACTGCTTCCCGCGAGAGGCTTCCGTGGACTGCCAACAGCACCCTGGGGTCCCGGGCCTGCGCCCTGGTTCTCACAGTACTTCCACTGACACAACCCCCCGCTGTCCTGCCGACCTCCCCTGCCTTACAGGCTCCCAACCCCAGCATGTAGCATCACCACCGAGCGACGGCCTAACACCGAGTCATAACGGACACCGACTCAGGAAAGCACCCGATAGCCACAGGGAACAACCACTCTTCCCACGAGCCACCTCTCGGAGCCGAGGCCCAGCTGTGAAAAGGGCCCCCGCCCTGAGGGAGGAGGACCTCCCTCCCGGGAGACACATGTGCTCCGGCGAAGGGACCGCAGGCAGCCGTGGGACATCGCAGCCCCGGGGGGCGGCGGGGTGGGGAGGGTCTCACCTGCACCAGCGCCTCCTTCATGGCAGTCCAGTTGGACACCCGCCACGCGCACTCCAGGACCAGGTAGGGGTTGATGTGTCCCTTGGACTGGCCGTACTCCGTCAAGGCTTCCCACTGGTTCAACTCCTTAGAGCACCTGCAAGCCAGGGCAAGCAGAGCTCCGTCCTCAACCAGCCCGCAGGCGCAGCCAGGCGGGGGACGGAATTTTATGTATTTAATTTCAGAGGGAGGGAGTCCTGTCCACTGGCTCCCTCCCCAAATGCCTGCAATGCCGAGTGGGGGATGCAGCTGGGAGCCAGGGCACCATCCAGGCCTCCACATGGGTGGCAGGAATGTGCCTACTGGGCCACCCATACTTCCTCCCAGGGTCTTCATCAGCTGGAAAGCCAGAACCAGAGGTGGCACTGAGGAGGCAACCCCAGGGCCACGGACAGGGGATGCGGGCGCAGGGGCAACTTAACTGGCATCAACAGCAGGCCAGATGCCTGCCCAAGGGGACAGGCCTTAAGCAGCTTGTTTCCGTTCTACAGAAGAGAACAGCCTAAGGGTGGCCGCCTTGGGTTTCTGAAGCCTGTTCCACCGCAGGGAACCGCCTGCCCTGGACACCACAGGTGGCCCAGCCCTTAGCAAGGGCCCAGCGTGTCCACCGCATGCAGGATCACTCAGGACTATAACTGCTGCCACAGCAATTCCTGTCCTTTCTATGGAGCCAAAAAGTAGTGACGTCCCCTTCGGAAACACCCTTAGGAGAGAATCTCCCTGTGGGCAAGGACAGGCTCCCGCCACGCCAGCTCACCGGATCCAGTGGTCCTCCCAGAGCTGGTACTCGGGGAAGATGGCCGGGGACGCGTTACTCCTCTCGTGCTCCTTCTTGGCTTTGTCCATCGCCTTCTCATACGATTCTTGTGCCTAGGAAAGTCACAGATGCCTTCAAGCCAGGGCTTAGAAACCGTGGCTTTTTCTTACTGCCATGGCTCGACTGTTTGGGACAAGCCGGGTCACAGACCTGGAAGAGCTCAGGCTCAGGTCACATGACACCTGCACCTTTCCATGAGAGGCTGCCTAGACCCAGGATTCTCTACTCCATGCGTTAGTGATCAGAGCAGGAGGCACATGGGCCACTGTGTCCCACACTGCTGGGAGCCACATCCTGGACCAGCGGCCCACGCCACAGGGAACGGACAGCTCTGAGGATTAAAACAGAGGACTGGATGCAATCCACCTACCATTCCTACAGGAACAGTGGCTGCAGGCCATAGCACCTCCACGCCAACACAGTAGATTTAGGACCGTGTTTTCAAGATGCTCACCGTAGGGAACTTCCTCCTAAACTGAGACTGTACTCAAAGAGCCTTTCCACGCGGAACTCCGTACACATTTGAAAGGCAGACAGAGACAGACACGGAGATCTCCCACCTGCTGGCCTGCTCCCCGAATGCCTGCCACACCAGGGCTAGGCCAGGCTCCAGGCTGGGCCACTTCTCCTACGTGCAGCACTGAAATGCTTCCAGCTTTGTGCCTACATGTGACCTCTGACCTCAGGACACTCGAGAACCGGGATGGGGGGCTACGAGTGAGCGCACAGCCCGCCGTCCCGTGCGCCGTGGCTACCTGCTCAAAGAAGCCGTGCTGCTCGTAGGCGATGGCCGTCGCCGTCTCCGAGTACTTGCACCGCTTCTGCCACAGGCCGGCCCACATGTCTTCCTCTTGGAGCAGGGAGTAGAGCTCAGCGAGGGAGTCCAGGATCTCCTGCAAACACAGGCCACCGTTCTGAGCGCCCGCGCCCCAGCAGGACGCTGTTCGGCAAAGCCAGGGCACCGCCGCGTGAGCCCGGCACGGAAGGTGCAGTGAGCGCGCACCTGCTGGGGCGGCGTGATGCTCTCCTGCTCGTAGAACTCCGCGGTCTGCTTGGGCTTCATCTGCAGGCTCAGGCCCTTCTCAAAGGCCTGGTGCTCGAGCATGAGCGTGGACCGCAGCCAGAGGTTGTGCGTCTTGCCCAGGTACTTCAGGACGCAGGGCCGGATGGGGATCGGGGGCACGCACTGGGACATGGCTTCCACAAAGCAGTTCAGCGCACTGGGCTGACAGTCGCGCTGCACCTGGTGGCTGCCGCTGCACAGGAACGGGCTGATCTCGCCCGCCAGCGCCTGGAACCAGAGAACACAGGGATTCAGGGCTCAGCGCACAAACCGCCGGGCACCTCCTCCTCTCGCTGCCTCCGGGGTACTTCTGGTAATTCACTCCTCGACCGCGTCAGAGGATTTCTCTCTGAAACTCGAGACCGAGAATCCAGAATCCTTACCAAAAGCTGAACTACACTTCCAAGACAGGATTAGGAAAACACTCACGTGCTGCTGTCTGTCCGAGAGGATTTTCCACAGTCTGGGGAACAGCTGGACCCAGGTCTTCTCGGCCAGCGTCGTGGAGATGTGGCACAGCTGGACAAAGGCACTCAGCAGCGCCCCAGTCTGCAGTAGAGGAAAGACAAGCTTAGCCAGCCAGGCGCTGGGCATCGCCGCCACCCGCGAGGCACCACGCCAGGCCCCACACTTGGCGAGAAGCTCCTGCACTTTCAAAGCCCTGAGTGAGCACCAGGTCGGAACGCAAACCCATGGTGTGCTCAGCACCACTCACCAGTGTGCCCAGGCTCATCAAGGCGCCTACCCCACCATGCTTAACCCTCGAGGGCTTTTCCCAGCATCAGTGACTCCATCGGCTAAGAGGCACAAGAGCCCTGACAACTGTGGAACCGCCAGTAAGAGGAACACGGGCCCCTGCGGGCACAAAGTTAAGCAGGGACACCAGGCATAGGAGGGAAAGCCAAGTGCCAAAGAGTACAATGCTGAAGCACCCAGTGGGATACATCCAGGTCTGGTCTCTACACTCGGCCACAGATGAGAGATTGGGAAAGTGACAGCAAAGGACCTGAACCAAACGGAACAAACTGGAATGGAGCCTCCCAGGCAGCTGGGGTTGGCGCCCGACAACAGGGCTCAGCAAATGCAGACGCCATTACCCTCTGTCCACGGCACCAGCCAGGCCTCTGGGCCTCCTGGAGCTGACCTAGTCCCAGGGCCCAGCTTCCCACAAGGCATCAGGCAGCAGATGGCCAACACAGCACCACAGGGTCAAGGACATGTGCATCACGACTATGCCAACCCAAGATGGAATCACTCTCATGTCCACATCTCGATGGAAAATGCAGAAGCCAAGGACACACACACATGACAACGGGACACTGGCACGTGGCTGGTGCGAGGCTGTGCGTGCGAGGGGATGTGATGAAGGGAGCTGGGCTCCTGCCACATGGCCGTGCTTCACCAGCCCGCAGGTGGCTGCTGCCTCGGGCTCACTGCCCAGGAGCTGAGGGCACACTGGCGGTCAGAGGGAGGCACAGACAGTTTACGCCATTCCAAGAGACAGGAAGCACGTGGGGGCAGCAGTCTCAGCACAGGGGAGCCTGGGCACGGGCACAGCAGCCGCGACTTCACGAAGAGTCCACGAGGCCGCGGCCGTGCCCGGAGGGAGGGGCCGCCTCTCTCTAATGAGAAACATTCGCCCGCCACTTCCCAAGGCAGAGGGGCTCCGTAGTGAGAATGCCAGGGCAGACAGGCGACACCTTATGATCTTATGTCACTTTATGAAAACTGCTATGTAACTCTCCTTCACACGCAGAAGACAAAACAGCAACCTTGGGGCCAGCGCTGTGGCATGGTAGGCTAAGCCTCCACCCGCGGCGCTGGCATCCCACATGGGCGCCGGTCCGTATTCTGGCTGCTCCTCTTCCAGGCCAGCTCTCTGCTGTCTCCTGGGAAAGCAGTGGAGGATGGCCCAAGTGCTTGGGCCCTTGCACCCATGTGGGAGACCTGGAGGATGCTCCTGGCTCCAGCCATTGTGGCCATTTGGGGAGTGAACCAGTGGATGGAAGACCTCTCCCTCTTTCTCTCCTTCTGTAACGCTGCCTCTCAAATAAAAACAATAAAACAAAACCCAGCGACCTCTACACCACCCTGTCCAACGCCCTCATCCATGCTTCTTGTCTCCACAGCACTCATCCCGCTTCATGTCATTTCACCCTTTTTCTAAGATTTGCAAGACAGAGATCTCCCACCTACTGGTTCCCTCCCCAGATGGCTGCAAGGGCCAGGGCTGAGCCAGGACAAAGCCAGGATCCAGGAGCTTCCTCTGGATCTCCCATCTGCGTGGTGAGGGCCCAAGCACTTGGGCTATCTTCCTCTGCTTTCCTAGGCCATTAGCAGGGAGCTGGATGGGAAGTGGGGCAGTCAGGACACAAACCAGCGCCCACGTGGGATGCTGGCATCACAGGTGGGGACTTCACCCGCTACGTGGCAATGCTGGTACCTTCTTTCCACTTACGATTTCTTTCCCCTCACTAGAATTCCAGTCCCGTGAGAACCGCCTCCTGGGGCCTACGCCGTGGCAGGGCGCTGTGACACCAGCATCCCATATGAGTTTGTGTCCCAGCTGCTCCACTTCCAATCCAGCTCCACGCTAATGGCCTGGGAAAAGCAGCAGAAGATGGCCCAAGTGTTTGGGCCCTTGCCACCCTCGTGGGAGACCTGGAGGAAGCTTCTAACTTCAGCCGTGCCAGCCATGCCGCTGCAGCCACCTGGCGAGTGAAGCAGCGGATAGATGATTTCTGTCTCTCTCTCTAACTTTGACTTTCGAATATAAATAAATAAATCTTGGGGTGGGGGGGGGGGGGGCGGGGGGCTGGCCCCTGGCTCCTTTTGTCTCTTCTGTTCACCAAGATTATTTCCAGAGCCCAGAACGCTGCCTTGTGCACCCAGAGCGGGCACTCAGGGAACCTGTGCTGAAGTGACCGAGTAAGAAAACACAGACGATGTGATGTGAAGGAGGAAGAGGAAACAGACAGCCACACGCTCATGGGCACGGGTCTGCCTCTGCGCCGTCAGGGGATGGGTAGCACACCTGGCTCCGACGGCCATGGCGTCCTCACCTGTGCTGACAAGTTTGCATGTCTGGGGGCGTAGCTCTAGATTTTCAAGGAAGGATGCACAGCCCTAACCCTGAGTGAACCTATCAAAGGCGACAGGACAGGGCCGGAGAAGCAGGTCACGAGACGACACAGGATGCAGTGGGCAAGATTCCTGTGCAGCCAGATGGGGCCTCCCTGGGCCACAATCCATAGCACAGGCCAGGCCCTGGAAGGAACAACGTGGAGGGCACAGCTGTGACCAAGTCAGCCAAGAAAAAGATCTTAAAGGAGAAGGTCCAACAGCAACAGCTTCAGCACTGGCCTACTGAAGCTTACCCTCCCGGGGCTGGCACTGTGGCGTGGCAGGTAAGGCTGCCGCCTGCAGGGCCGGTGTTCCTTATGGGTGCCGGTGCAAGTCCCAGCTGCTCTACTTCCCATCCAGTTCCCTGTTAATGTGCCTGGGAAAGCAATGGAGGATGGACCAAGTACTTGGGCTCCTGTACCCACTCGGGAGACCAGAACGAGCTCCTGGCTCCTGGCTTTGGCCTAGCTCAGCTCTGGCTATTGCAGCCATTTGGGGAGTGAGCTAGCAGACTGAAGATACAGCTCTCTCTGCCTCTCAAATACACAAATAAATCTTTAAAACACACACACACACACAAATAAACCTTACTCTCCTGATAGAACTCCCACGATGAGTGGACCACAAAAGGGGCTACATGGTGACTTACCCTAGTGACCATCAGCCCAGAAAGGCCTTGGGGTTTGGGGACCTATCAAGTTGTCTTGCACATGCACAGATGCCCCACCTCCTATTCTGTCCCACACAGGAGCAAGTGTTTTTATGCTCACGCAAGATGACCATGGTGTCACTCACAGATAGATAAAGTTCACAGACTAACTAAACGCAGAAATTCAGGAGAGGTCACCAAAAATTCTTGGTGTAAAAATTGTCCGTGATAGGTGGACATTCCTAACTGTTCTCCCCTAGCCTTGGCGTGAACAGAATCAGCCCTGCTGCTCTGTAGCACTGTGAAAACGACTGGGGACCGAAGCCTGAAAGGAGTCTCGGTCTCTAAGCAGCAGCAATGAGCTCTGTGGTGAACCAGTCTGTGCAAGCAGCGAGTTTGTACCTGGGTAGATCCAAGACACCGAGGCGCTGGGAGGTCGCCACCACTAAAGAGCAAACCTGACTGGCCACATCCTCCCAGTCTCATGGTCTCCTTTCACTGTACTTGACAACCATCCAACATTCGGTCTCATGATGTGTGTGTGGTCAGGCATTTTACCATTCCCTCCAAGGACAGTAATAGGAAAGGAACCCGTTTTTCCTATTCTCTCCCATGAGACACTGTCATTGCTTCCTCAAACCCATCCCACACTCCATCGCAGGGTTCGAGGGCTGAGACAGGAGAGCTCAAGTGCTAGCCGACACAGGGCCGCTTTACACGGCTGTGGAGTCATCTGCTTCAGGCCGCCAACCCTCTTCCGGACACACACGGACCTTCAGGCCGCCAGCCCTCTTCCGGACACACACGGACCTTCAGGCCGCCAACCCTCTTCCGGACATGACACACACGGACCTTCACTTCCCGGAGGGTATCAAGGAACTTGTCGTGTCTGTTGGTCAGCATATGCAGCTGGTTCCCGATGTCCTTCTCGGACAGCTCCTTGGTTCTGGGCGTGCTGGTCTGATCTCCGGGAGCCAGCTCAATATCTATCTCCACATCCTGAAAGACAAAGCAAACCAGCAAAGCCAAAAGGTCAACACAACTTCTACAGGCTCCTCACTACGTTTCTGACAAGCGAGATTTCTACAAGTTTCCTGGAAATCTGTAAACATTTAAATAATCTTGAATTCCAAAATAAGCAAAAGCCAAATTAGCTAGACTAGACCTATCTCTCTTCAAAAAATGTGATTGAGGCAGCATTGTGGCACAGTAGGTATAGCTGCCACCTGCAGTGCCAGCATCCCATATGGGCGCCGGTTCAAGTCCTAGCTGCTCCACTTCCGATCCAGCTCTCTGCGACGGCCTGAAAAAACAGTGGAAGATGGCCCAACTCCTTGGGGCCCAGCACCCATGCGAGAGACCTCGAAAAAGCTCCTGGCTTTGCATCAGCCTAGCTCTGGCCGTTGTGGCCATTCGAACCAATGGATGGAAGGCCTCTCTCTCTCTCTGCCTCTCTGTAGCTCTGCCTTTCAAATAAATAAATAAATCTTTTAAAAAACCAAGTGACTGGGGCTGGCACTGTGGCATAGTGGGTAAAACTGCCACCTGCAGTGCCAAAATCCCATTTGGGCGCTGATTTCTGATCCAGCTCTCTGCCATGGCCTGAGAAAGCAGTACAAGATGGCCCGAGTCCTTGGGTCCCTGCACCCGCGTGGAGACCTGGAGGAAGCTCTCCTGGCTTTGGATCTGTGCAGCTCCGGCTGCTGCGCCCATCTGGGGAGTGAACCAGTGGATGGAAGATTTCTCTGCCTCTCCTTCTCTCTGTGTAACCCTGACTTTCAAGTAAATAACTAAATCTTAAAAAAAAAAAACAAGTGCAGAAGAGCCTCCTCCAGGTTGGCACCGTAACCCACACAGGTGGAACAAAGAGCCAGCCATCAAGTGCCCGAGTGCTGACTACAGGGAAGAGAATTCAGATGTCAGTGAAATGAGCACACGTCCCGCACATGGGAGGGCTCCCAAACTGCCCTCCCAGAGCAGAGGGTGCAGGAACCCCGCCTTCCACCTGGATGACTGTGGTTAAGCCCCCGCGCTGCACAGACCCCAGCAGAACCAGGCTGTGCCTGCAGTAGCGCCAGGCCCTCCTTCACAGAGGACCAAGGCTGTCGGGACGCAGGTTCCAGCCTTGGTTCTCGCAGGAGCCCCGGGCTGCAGGCTGCGCACCCAGGACCAGCGGGCTTCAGGTGGACAGGGAGAGCTGCACTTCCTTCAGGGGCACCACAGAGCTCTCTGATGTGGCATGGGCCTTTTCCCACCCGAAGAGGACAACCACAAAAGGGCGACACGTCTAGGCCAAGCAGCCCCGGCTCAGGGTGCGGTATCACGGGCCTTGGCCGCACACTCGGGCCCTCAGGCAGAGGCAGGTTCCGACACCCCACTCACGTCCTAAGAAACCCAAGGCTGACACCACATGTGCCTGAGGACACGGCCCTGACCTCCTCTTTGGACTCGCTGTTCTCTCGCTCCCGAGGTTCCTGCTTGACGTGTGTGACCATGGCGAAGGCGGCTCGGTCGTGGCTGTCAGCCAGGTTGATGACGTTGGTGATGGCCGGAAGCATGGCCCCCTGGCAGCTGGTACCAATGGGTGTGCTCTTCTCACACACGGCCAGGAGGAGCTGCAGAGGTAGGCACAGAAGACAAGCCTAAGACAACTAAGACTGTCACCCTAACAGGTGCACACACACACAGGTGCCGCTGGAGACCACTGCTCACAACTGCAGCTCTCCCTGAGGCTGGAAGCAGTCTGGACTTCCTTCCCTTCCAATGGCCCTTGGCTCAGGCTCTCCTGACTTAGTGCGTGCACGCGTAGCTCACATCTCCCAAGACCCCACTCCAGACAGCTTCCTCTCCTGTCCCCTCAGAAGCCACCGCCCTCCCTCTCTTCGCTCACGGCCCACATCACAGCCCACACTCTCCCACTTTCTCTCCAGCCCTCAGCTAGTCTTCTTCCACACAGCTGGCCTCTCGCGCTGCCCCCTCCTCAGGGTACAAGGCACGCTCTTCAGAGTGACTCAAGTTGTGTGTGACGTGACATGACTGCGATCAGTGGCCAGGCCACTCCCCACCCACACCCGCCACTGCACGGCCATTCTTCATCCCAAGGGCTTCACAAGCTAGCACTAGACTCGACCAGCCACTTGTGCAATCCTGGGGCACCAGGGGCTGAGGCCCTGGAGGGTCAGTGCTCAGCTCCCCACCCCTGCACCTCTGCCTCAGAGCTGAAGCTAGAGGGAAACACAAGACCAGGCATGCGCTCACTGTGACGATGTGGCCAAGGAACAGGTGCACAACAGACCAAAGACGGGCACCCATGCTAGCCTGAGAGTCCAGAGTGTGGCCCATCTGAGAACACCGAAGACCAAGGGTACAAAATCGGACAGTAGTGGAAGATGACCCGAGTGCTTGGGCCCCCGCCACCCATGTGGGAGCCCCAGATAGAGTTCCTAGCTCTGGCCTGGCCCAGTCCTGGCTGCTGCAGCCATTTAAAGAGTAAACTAGTAGATGGAAGATCCTTCTCTCTCTCTCTCTAGTTCTGCCTTTCAAATAAATGTATCTTCCAAAAACAAGTATCGTGGCTCCCTGGCTTCACTCAGGTAAGTCGACAACAGTTATGGAAACCTAAGCTGCGTGGCATATTATGCTGATGAGCAAGCTGAAGAATGAAGGGGACCGAGTCCAGGGGCTGGCGGGCAGGAGCACCTGACCTGCCCCCACTGAGACGGCAGCCCCCTTGCGTGCCACATCACGGCAGGGAGCATTTCACGCATGCCCGTGCCATGGCACCCAGCTCCACAAGCCAAGGAATCCAGACTGCCCGTCAGGCTGTGCTCGCCCTGGTGCAAGAATGGGGACAGCTGGTGGCCACAGCACACAGCGGGGGTCTCCAGTGCACTTGAACTCAAACATTTCAGTATTTGAGGACATATGAACTTTGCCTGGAAACTAAGAAATGCAACTCAGCTGTCCGATACTGTGTCTAACTCAGCCCACAACCTGACCAGTCCCTCTCTTCCTGGCGATTCAACATCCACCTTGACAAGTGCGAGACCCCGGGGCCCACTCCAAACACCCCTGGCTGCCCCAGCCGCAGAGGCAGAGCCGGGTCCACCCTACCTCGATGCACTGCTTGATCCAGAAGTGGTTCCCCATGGCCTCCCAGTTCTGGGAGCAGGTCACGTACAGCAGGCGCTCGTAGACCCGGCGTTTCATGGAGTTGTCAAAAACCTCGAAAAACTTGGCCCGGATGAGCGGCTGGGCACACCGCAGCCCAGACAGGAAAGCAGGCTCGAGCTTGGCGGTGAGCTCGCTGCCCGACAGCGTCTCGTCCCTGAAACCCGAGTCACAGCCAGAGGTCAGTGTGGGGCACGTTGGCAGGCTCCCCAAGCCACCAGCAAACCACAGGAGATGGGTGGCACGAGGGAGGCCAAGGTATGGTGCCGATCTGCAGGCACAGGCGGCACTGCAGAAGGCTAATGACACAGCGCGGCACAGTCGGCAGTTACAGCCATCAGTGTTAGCTACCGCTCAGTATGCAGAGGAACACTTCCTAAAGGCAGAAGTCCAGGATAAAAGCCACGCTGCACTGGCTGGTCAGAGAACAGGACATGGAGCGATACACACAAAACACCTGGGGAAGGGCGGTACTTACCTGTAGACATAGTTAACAAGGTCTAAAAACTGGGCGTTTAACTCAAGGTCTTCCGGGAAGCGCTTTTCTATGTAGGTCATCATTTTCACAAGCAAGATGGACTTCTCCCGCAGCGTGGGTGTCTGCATGGAATTCGTGTTTTAGAAGAAAAGGTCACTTCTGTTTCAACAAAGACACTTGTGCTACTACTTTTTAAAACTCCTACAATTGTATCAAGTACAGTAAGACAGTTCATCACTAAACAGAAAAAAAAAATATCAAAGATAGTTTTGGTCACCATCGGATGCTTAAAACTAAGACATGCTGGTAGGATTCCTCCAGGGCCTACAGGTCCCTTTGGAAGAAGGCAGTTAAACCATAAAGGTCTATCAGAGGTGTGCAAGCATCCTGCTAAGTTAACCAAGAGTGCCTTCTTGTCACTAGGATGTTCTGGCTTATCTTCACCACGGTCAAGGGCTAACGAGGACGGTTCACTTGGCGTTTTAACTCCAGTAAAGCCCAGCAGGGGGCAGCTGACCCCGAGTTTCTACGGAGAACCTGCCAGGCCCCCTAGGAAAAGGCCACCTTCAGAGAAGGCGTCAGGAATGCGGGTACAGCAGGCGCTTGCTCCCCAGAAGCCTGAGCAGAGCAGGAGGCCGAGCCCGCGCACGCGCGGCCCCTCACCTGGTTGGCGGCCGTCGGGGAGCTGCTCTTCACCCACTCTTCCACGATCTTCACCACGGCGCGCAGGATCTTGGCGTCGGGCGACTTCTCGATGAGGGACGTGAGGATGGCCTGGATGAAGCTCTTGCGCATCTCCATGCTCATCACGGCCAGGCGCGTCTTCACCAGCTCCAGGCTCAGCATCACCAGCTCGCTCGTCCCTGCCGTGCCCGACAAGAAAGCAGGCCCCCAGGGTGTCCACACAGGCACGCTGGCCTCTGCCCAAGCACCCAGAGCTGCGGGGTCTGGAGGGGGCCGTCGCGTTCCTACTACCGCACTTCGCCAGGGCAGCCCTCCAGGCGCCTCCCGAAGAAGAAGGGGCGACAGAGCCGATGGGGCCAGCTCAGGCCACCCCAGCCTCTCCATGCCCATGCTGGGTCGCACGCTGGACACTTGGGTTCTGCGCCGTGGACAGCAGCCATGCCACCCGCAGCCTCCAGCCAGCCCCACCCACCTACCACCTGGATTCCTGCAGCCCTGGGCTCGGGTCCGGAACCCGTGCCGTATCCATGAGAACCAGAGCCTGCGCTATGGCAGACACTGCAGAGTGCTCACTCCGTGGTGACTTCCGTGGAAGTCCAACCACTCTGGCATTTCTTCACGGAAGAGCCCAGGGCAGCGGAGGACACAGGTGGGACAGCTCCCCCAGAGCCCCGCCCCGCGGCTCACCTGAGGCTGCGTCTGTGCTCCCCGCCGCCTGGGGACTCAGGTGCTCGCGCACCATCTTCTGCAGGGAGCGCATGAACACCGAGATCAGCCTGTCTATGTAGCTCGGGTTGTTGCTGCAGGCAGACTTGAGGATCATGAGCGTCCCTGCGGCGAGGAAAGGCCGCTTGTCTCACAGAAAGCCAGCAACAGGCACTGACAGAAACGTGCAGTTTCAAATACGACTCAGCGGCCCCTCTTAGCTGTTTTCCCTTTGTAAGGCTTTAGTTAGCTGAATTCTGGGAACACGACAGGGCCCATTTCAGAAATAAGCAATTAATACATTAAAATGCAAGGCATCCTGGGAGCGTGATGAAGTCTCATGCTGTTCCAGCTGGAGGGGACCCCCCCCACCTAGTGCACCCACACTCATCACAGCGACACCCTGCGGTCAGCTGGCAGCCTTCTCAGTCCTGAGGCGACTGTCACGGTGTCACAGTGTTGTGTCCAAGTCCCCTCTGCTTAACTTAACTATGGCCCCAAGGAACTGAGGGGCAATGCTGGCCACTGGGACACACCAACAAGAAGCTGCACAACGCTTCTTTAAACAAGAACGTTCTCAGGACAAGCGTTGGTTAAGCTGCCTCCTGTGGTGTTGGCATCCCACATGGGCATTGGCTCAGGTCCCGCCTGCTCCACTTCCAATCCAGTTCCCTGCTAATGTACCTGGCAGAGCAGCAGGGGCCCGGCCCCTGTACCCACGTGGATGGGAGTTCCAGGTCACTGGTCCCAGTCTGGCCCGGCCCTGGCCTTTGTGGCCATTTAGGGAGTGAACAGTGGCCAGAAGATCTGTCTCTCTCTCTCCCTCTGTAACTTTTTCAAATAAATAAACCTTAAAATAAAGAGAGAAGTGAATCTCTCCACTTCATAGAAAAAATACCCTATGCTGAGGCCTCTCGCTAAGAAAGAACCTTCCACTCACCTAACTGAGACAAGAACAAGAGGCGCATGCTAGTTTTGCGGTCCCACTTCAAAGTAGAGAAGTCATGGCGACAGCGCTTAGTTACAATGGAAAAAGCATTAACTGTGTGGTGGGCACCATCCACTGGGCATCGGGGGACCACCTGCCGTGCCAGGACGTGCTGTGACCCAGCACAGGTCGACCCAGTGCCAACACCAACTCTCCCACAGGGCACCGTGAAGCACTGCTCCCCTCCTGATGCTGCCAAGGCCAAGGCCGCCATGCACACAGCCAACTGGCAGGTGCAGTGCACACAGCAGCCTCACCTCACCTTCCGTTTGGGATTCATTTTCAGACTACAGTGAACCACCCTATGCGAGGCTTTTGCTCTGAAGACATACTTGTAGGGGAGAGGGGGCAAGGGGAAAACACTTTTCCTAATCTAGCCTATCTGAACGTGACCAATATTCTAAAACATGGCGATAGAGGGCAGGTGTGTGGCCAGCAGGTTAGGCCACCAGCGGGGACATCTGCATCTCACGTCGGAATGTGCGGCTTAGATTCCCAACTCTGCTTCTGAGTCAGCTTCCTGCTGATGTGAATCCTAGGAGGCGGCAGGAGATGGCTCAAGTAGTTGGGTCCCTGCCACCCACATGGGAGACTCAGGTGGAGTTCCAGGACCCTGCCTTCAGCCTGGCCAAGCCCCTGGTGTAGGCATTTGAGGAGCGAATAAAAGATCCTTCTCTCTCCCTGTGCCTTCCAAATAAGAAGCTTTTTGAAAATTCCAGGAGACCAATAAAAATCAGCAATGCCAAAACCAGAACATGAACAGGCAGGGTAAAGAGAACATTTTCCATTGTCTCGACCCTGACCTGCACCTCAAGTCCCATTTCTGAGTCCATGGACCACATCACGAACAGAGGGCACCTGCCATTTACAGGGGCACCCCCCCCCACTTGCCCAGCACCCTGCACTGCTCATAGGCCTGTTCCAAACAGAGCAGTCGCAGCTCCTCTGTGTGACGTGGAACACTGGATCAGCAGGAGCTACGGACGACAGGCAATGGCCCCACAACCAAACTGGAAGCCCTGGGTGGAGTGGAGACCCCAAGGGACGGCGGCCTTGTGGGCACCAACACCACACAGATCCTCCAACAGCGCAGCAGCTCCCAGCTCCCTGAGCCTCTCCCAGAGGCCACTCGGGGACCACAGCGGACACCCACTCACCGAAGAGCTGCGAGGGGTTGGCGTTGGCAGCCTTCTCGTAGTTGGTGAGCCCTTCGTAGATGACCTTCCCGACCGCCGCATACAGGCACTCCAGCTCTTCGTACTTGGAGGCCACGCTGGACGTACCTGGAACACCAGTGGGCACCCGGGCGCTGAGGGGAGGGCTCCCCACGCCAGGGCCTGAGCTCTTATCTGGGGTCTACAGCACCTGGCCGGAGGATTGTCTCCCACTATGGGACAGGACTCACCTCTGGGCTGGCTCCCACTTCACACACAGCAGAGTGACAACCTTTCCCCTCACCCTGCCTCCCCATACGTGCTTGACATCCGCTGACCTGGTCACGTGTTCGACACGTGATACAACACTTCAACCTCACTTCTCTTTCCTATCTAAAGGGACAGCAATATTTGCTGGCAAAGAACCCAATTTCCAAAGCAGACCAAAAAAACAAACAAACAAACAAAAAAAAAAAAACAGAGCAATGGATGCTGCGGTTAACACATCCTCCCGTCAAAACTGTTTTTAAAGAAAGGTTGAGACACCCTGGAAGAGGCGGCCAGAGCTAGGCTGCCGCCGTGGCATCGACGGCCCCTCAGAAGACCCCAGGGACTGGAGAGGCGGCCATAAAGAGCCCAGCCTTGGGACACGTGTAAGAGACCAGCTCCAGAGGGAAGTGGCACGCCATCAGGAGGCCGTGCCAGGGGCTCACGTGACCTTCCTTACTGCCTGCCTGGAAAACGTCTCTCCGGCAGCACCTCCACTGCCCCCAGAGGCCCTGCTAGCCCGCCACTGAAGACCTGCATCGTGTTCTGTGGGAAAACGAGCCTCAAGGGACTCAGAATTTGCCCCTGGGTTGGGGGCCCTCGCCCAGGCCAGGGACACCCTGCCACCCTGCAGGGAGTCTAAGGCCCCAGCTTCCTCCTCAGTCTGCCCGCTCTGCCCACAAGAGTGTCCAAAAGCCAAGGGGAAGCCCCCAAAGGCTGGGCTGGCCAGGTCTTCGAGTTGGGCAGTCGAGGGCTCGCTCAAGGCCCTGTCTTAGTGGGAAGGGTCAGACCATGCGAGGGGGGCTGCCATTCTCAGGGCCCACCCTCGCTCCCCAGTCAAGCCAGAGTCCTTTCCCTGAGCCAAGTGAAGGGCACCAGAGCCACCGAAGGACGCTGGACACAGCCCTCAGGGGTCCTGCTGCCCGCCTCCACCAGTCATCCTAACAGCTTCCTCCCTGCAGTTATCCAGGCAAGGAGAGAGGGGGAAGGAGCCACTGTGGCTGAATGAAGAGGACTCTGAACGCCGATGAGTGCTGTGCGGGAACTAACGGGACGCTGGCCTGGAACACAGCAGGGGGAAGAGCTTTTCTGAAACGGGGTTTGGGAAGGGCCCCTCTGACAGGGAGCAATTAAAGCAAGACCTGAACGATGAGGGGCTTTGTCTGGGGAGCAACCCGGATGCCATCTGGGACACTGCCGTCCCTAACCTGAGCACCTGGGTTTGGGTCCCTGCTCGGCACCAGGCTCCAGCTTTCTGCTAATGAGCCTCCTGGGAGGCAGTCAGCGACAGGCAGCCAGGTCCCTGCCGCCCATGCAGGAGACCTGGGCTGACTCTGGGCTCCTGGCTTCAGCGTGGCCTGGCCCCAGCTGTTGTGGGCATTTGGGGAGTGAACCAGCAAAGGGAATGGGAAATCTTGCCGTCACCCGGTCTTTCAAGTAAACGAAATTCTAATTTAAGCAAAGCGGCGAGGCGGAGGGAGCGCGGAGGCCCCCGAGGCCCGGGGAGGGGCACGTACTCGGCTCGGTGGGGAAGATGCTCATGAGGCGCGAGAGCAGGCTGTGCACGGCCCGCAGCACCTTGGTGCTGCCGCACGCCATGCAGGCGGCGATCCCGCGCTGCAGGGGCTTGAAGCTGCTGAGGATGGCGGGCGGCTGCAGCACCGTCAGCAGGAAGCTCAGCACCTCCAGCCCCGTGCAGATGTTCCCGTAGTTGACTTGGTTCGGCTGCTCCTGCAACGGAGAACACACGCCAGTCACGGGAGAGGGAGATACACACACGCCCAGCAACCGTTAGAACCACATGCCACCAACTCTTTGGAAACTACAAAACAATAAAAAAAATCACTCAACAACAAATGCATCATATGCATAAAAACGTGCAAGCACAATATAGGATCCCATAAGAACACTTTTATAAATGTGTTTAAATATTTAGTCAAAATACTCTATAAAAGACTAAAACTACTCATGTTCAATGACATTTTAAAAGTCACTGAAATTTGCACTAAAAAGGAAAAGTTATTGCAATGAATTCCCCTTTAAAACATTCATTTATTTGGGGCAGGGTTGTGGCACACAGGTTAAGCCATCGCCTGTGACGCCCACATGCCCTGCTACAGGCACCAGTTGGGAGTCCCAGCTGCTCCACTTCCCATCCAGCTCCCTGCTAATGGCCTGGGAAAAGCAGCAGAGAATGGCCCACGTGCTCTACTACCCACAAGGGAGACCTGGAAGAAGCTCCTGGCTCCTGGATTCAGCCTGGCCCATCTGGGAGTAAACCAGCAGATGGAAGATTTCTCTCTCTCTCTCCCTTTGCAGCTCTCATTTTCAAATACATGAATCAATCTTTAAAAATAAGAATTTATTTTCAATGTGAAAATGAGCCAGTTACAGAGGGAGGGGAGAGAAAGAGACTCTCCCACTCACTAGTCCGAGCACCAGTGTTAGCCTCTGCAGGCTCACGTAACACATGTCTACAGGATTTGTGATCCTGACAGTGACCGTGCCCAAATTCCATCAGAAATCAGACAAACGGAGCCCATGGTGGCAATGAAACACGAAGAGCTGTCGCTGCCACCAGACGATGACGGGCTCGTGGCTTTTCCAAGAACAGTGAGAGAGCAAAGAAATCAGCCCAGGGCTAGGTCCATGTCAGCGACCAAGCCCTTCTGAGTACAACCCAGTGCTCCAGGGCCAACTGTGCATCCATCCTCAAAGAGCCATCCTAAAAACTCCGAGTTCATGTTAAAGGCTGTTGCACACATCAAGAACAGCACTCAGCCCGGGCCGGCTGGTCTGCGAGTGCAGGCAGCACGTGCACAGAGGCGGAGCCACGCCTGTGCCTTCAGCCCTCCTCAGAACATCTGGGCGGGGGTGAGAGCTGAGGTGTAAAAGCCATGTCAGGGAGGCAAACGGTCTCCCCTCAGCAGCAGCCCGAAGACACAGAAGAGGCCACAACTGGTAAAGGGTGCGGGAGACTTCGGGTCCAGGACGGGTTCACACCCCCCAGCCCGAGCCCAGGAGAGAGGCTCTGGGGGCCTGGCCTGGCCCCAGACCCTGGCACGTACCACAGTCATCAGCAGCTTGTCGAACCACTGCAGCTTAAGCTCAGACTTGGACCACATATCCGGGCGCAAGGCGGTCTTCAGAAGATTGACACAGCGGCGAGACAGCACCTCCCCAGGGGACCCAGCCGTGTTGGTGTTGTCGTTAACCTAGAAACCCGTTCCCTTTCACGCTGGTGTTGCACTGTGTCCAAGCTTAGGCGGTGACGAAGCTTCCCGACCCCCCAGCCCCAACTCCAGGGCTTTGCAGGCCCTCTCTGCGCGGACACCCCTTCTCCCCCCGACCTCCCGCCTGCCCGAGCGCGCCCTCCCCCAGGGCTCTCCCCTTCTCCGTGCGCGTCAGAGGCATCGCTCGCGGCGGCACGGGAGCAGGCTCCTCTCGGGACTCGGGACCTCTCGACAGCAGCACGGACGCATGCTGCTCGGTTGCACAGTTTTCGGGCGGACCTGTCTCCCCGCGTGGTCTCGCTCTCACGCTCCGTACCTGACAGGCCACGCGGATGAGGAAGTTCACCACGGTGTCCGTGTGCTGCTTGTCAATGGGCTTGGCCAGGAGACAGTCGGCGCCCGGCAGTGACTGGCTCCGCCCGAACACCTAGGGCAGTGCACACTCAGCCCGTGCCCACCACAGAGGCGGCTCGTCTCGCTCCCTGCACACCTGGCAGGTGTGCGGACAACTGACACAGAGTAGCCAGGAGCAAGCGACGGAGCAGCAAGAGGATGGCACTGCACAGCAGCAGCCCTCAAGGGAAGCAAGCAAGGGTGCAGGAGGAGGGGCTAAGAGCCAGCACACATGTCCTAGGCAAGCAGAGACCTGGAGGGAGGGGGGTTTGCACAGAGCGGGGGGGGGAGGGCAGGAGCTCATGGGACGGTGCTGGGGACAAGAGTCCCAGCTCACCAGGGCCCCAGAAGTCACAATCAAGGGGAGAGAAAGACACGCTGAACTTCTCACTTCCAGTTTTGGAAATGATTACAGTAGGAGTCCTGGAAATTACAAACGGCAGAGGGGGCTTCACTGGGAAGTAAGGCTCTGGTCCTGACTGCCTGGTAGAAACCTATAGAGGGGTGCACGCGGACAGAGACAGCAGAGGGGTACACATGGACAGAGACAGCGGTGGGGGGGTACACGTGGACATAGACAACGGAGGGGTACACGTGGACAGAGATAACGGGGACGGTCTCTGAGCTCCATAGAGGGGTACACGTGGACAGGGACAACGGAGGGGGTACATGCAGACGGAGACAAGAGAGGTACACGTGGAGAGACAGCAGGGGGTACACGTGGACAGAGACAACGGAGGGGGTACACGTGGACAGAGATAACGGGGGGGTTCATGTGGACAGGGACAACGGGGACGGTCTCTGAGCTCTATAGAGGGGTACATGTGGACAGAAACAACGGGGCAAGTCCCTGAGATCCATCAGAGGGGTACACGTGGACGCAGAGACAACTGGGCAAGTGCCCTAACTGTCGTGGCGGCGACGCTGGAGGTGGGGAGGCTGGGATGATGAGGCTTGCTCCCAACCACGCATGTGGGGCGAGGGGAACGCCAAGCACGCAAACAGCCAGCTTTCTCAGAGCCCAGGTGGACAAGGGGCTGGGAAGGCAGAGGCACAGTGAGGGTGGGAGAGAAAAACCACAATCCCCAGGTGGGCACACGTGCTGACCCAACTCTGAGGGTGCGGAGAGGGCGCCCGGGAGGACCGCGCGTGGCACAGTGGGGACCCAAGGGCAGGGCTCGCCGCGGAACACCCACTGCCAAGCCCCCGTGGCCTCGGGCGGCCTCGCCACACTCCGCCCACAGTCTGCACAAGCCAGAAGGGGGCGTGCTCCCAGGGACGGCCCGTGTCTTACCGCACTGATGGCGCCGGTGGCTGTCCGGAAGCGCTTCACTTCCTGTGCTGAGTCCACGGACAAGCCCCTCTTGATGGACGACGACACTGACGGGACGCCCTCTCCACTGGAACCGGGGTCCATATCTGAATCCGGCTTAACACGCACACATACACACACGGCTGTCACACACGGCTGGGGAAGCACGGGGCACCGGCCCCACCCCCGGCCCTGCCCTGCCCTGCCCCGGCCCACCTGCTGGTCCTTGATCCTCTGCAGCTCCCACTTGATGACGACCTCAGACAGGTCCACAGCCAGCCGCCTCTGCTCGATGGTGACGCTGGGCGTGAAACCCAGCCGCTGCATGGCGCTCACCATGTGCTGCACCAGGTGGTGGCGCACCGGGTAGTACACCTGCGGCAAGGGCGGCACCGCTCGCTCTCTCGCACCCACAATCCGCAGGGGCCCCACCGGCCCCCAGCCACACGCTCAGGAGCGGCAAGCGTCCACTCCTCCTCAGCCTGCCAGCACCACCCCAGAACTGGCTGACAGACCGAGTTCTCTTTAGGTGGTCACCCGTGCCAGATGTCACACCCGACACCATGCAAGTTTAAGAGAGAGAAGCAAATTTCCAATTTGAAAGAGCTGGCTTTAGAAGAATCCCTTCTCTACTCTCCAAAATCTAAGAGAGACATTTACAGAGAAACAGACCCCATGAGGCGGGTGATTTGGCCATGAAGAGGGGACTGCGACACGAGTCCTCATTAACCACCACACCGCCATCCTGACAGCAGTCACCTGTCCGCGCCCAGGGCAGGGCGAGCCTCGCCTCGCACACGCACAGGCACGCACAGGCCCACCAGGGGACGGCTTTCCTGACACATGGATGCAGGCAATGTCCACTGCATACCACCCTCTCGGCCTTTCCACGCACCTTAAAATGCTGCACTATCAGATGCAAGATGTGCACGAGCTGCGGGACCGTGTGCCCCTCCTCCACGATGATCTTCCTGGTCCAGTGGGTCAGCATCTGGTGCCCGTCCTCCATCCGGGCAGGCACCGCAGGTGTCAAGATGGCCATTGCCTGTCTGACGATGGCGCGTGCTTCCATGGCGTGCGCCTTGAGCAGGCTGTGGAACACCTAGGAGGAGCAGGAACCTCTTAGGCAGGAGGGGACAGTGGCTTTAAATAGACGGAAGCAGTCACTCGGGACCAAAGTCCGCAGGACTTTCTTATCCTGAACAACTTAATTAAGCTGCCTTCTCGCTCACGGCTTGGCCCAATGAACACGTTCATTCTGCCATCTGTGGAGGACCTGCCACGGACCCAGCCCGAGTAGGACCCAGACCTCAGCAGGAGGTAGGTACAGGAGCTGACCCCTCCCTCTGGCTGCGAGGAGGAGGAAGATAGAGTGGGAGGGGCCGGTGTCAGAGACCTCAGGTCAGAGGTGACGGCCTGCGCGGGGTCACAAGGTCACAGGGACAGGACTGGCACTGAGGGTAGAGGACAGGAAGCGTGCTGGCCGTCGGGACAGCCATCGTCTATGAGAAGCAGGGGCAACAGAAACGCCCTTGGTGTCTCACTGAGGCAACTGAGGGAGAGCAGTGCCCATCACAGGGGCTGGAGCTGCACCCAGGTGCCTGTGGGGGTGACGGACTACTACCTGGGGTCTGGAGCTCTGCACCCTGCAAGCTCACAAGAGCAAATGCTCAGGGGAAAACGGTCCAAGGCAGCCCCACAGAGCAGAGCAGAATCAAACATATCAGGGATCAAAAGTCTACATGAGGGGCTGGCACTGTGGCGTAGTGGGCTAAGCCTCCACCTGGGGCACCATCATCCCATATGGGCGCCGGTTTGAGTCCCAGCTGCTCCTCTTCGGACCCAGCTCTCTCCTGTGGCCTGGGAAGGCAGTGGAGGATGGCTCGAGTCCTTGGTCCCCTGCACCCGCATGGGAGACCTGGAAGAAGCTCCTGGCTCCTGATCAACCCATCTCCAGCTGCTGCAGCCATTTGGAGGGTGAGCCAGCAGATGGAAGACCTCCCTGTCTTTCCCTCTGTGACTCTGCCTCTCAAATAAATCAAAAAGAAAAAAAAAAGTCCGCACAAGAATCAAATGAACACACAAGTGTCTTGGTGGACAGCATTTTTGCACTCCACGTGCTGTTTCGTAACCCACTTCCATGACTCCCTGTAGACCCTCTGTTTGGCTTTCAGTTCTCACAGGGTCATCAAGCTGCCCAGGAGCACAGCACTCCCTGACATCAGAGCCTTCACAGCCGAGAGCTCAGGAAGTTCCTGAAGGATCCAAACGTCCTGGCTGGAAGGGGCCGAGTGGGCTGGCACTTGACAGAGACTGTCAGAGGACGGTCAGACCCCAGGGAGAGGGGAGGGAGGGGGACAGGAGGGTGGTAAAACACACCTGCCGTTCACTGCCCTCTGTCTCCCTGCCACCCTCTGCCGCCGCCCCAGCTGGAACTCTGGGCCCGGTGAACACCAGCCCTGCCCCATCCCAGCTCCCAGTAGCGCCACTTTTCCTAGGGGTCCACCACCCTCGCGTATCCTCCCCCATGGAGCCACACAGGACTCGTGTTCCCAGGGCTCACAGGTGGTGGGGGGCAGCTACCTGAAGCACGATCTTCTTGTGTATGGCGAACTTGGCGATGATGTGGGCCAGCAGCAGGTGTCCGCTGTACTTGCAGGCGGGGTCCACGCAGGCCTTGGAGAGCAGGCAGGGCCAGGCGAAGGTCATGAGGCGCCGCAGCTTGCTGTTGCGGCTCTTGTTGTTGTCGTGGATGTGGTGGGGGGCGTGCTCCACCAGCAGCGTGGCGTGCTGCAGCAGGTAGATCCTCAGCGAGTCCAGCATGTCGGCCTGCTTCTCGGGGTCCAGAACCTGCCCGCAGGCCAGACGTCAGCCGCGTCACCTCCTAAGGCTCACCCAAGTTCAAGTCTCTCTCTCTCTCTCTCTCACTCACACACACACACACACACACACACACACAGGCTATACTGCACGGAACGTTAAGGCAAGGACAGAATCAGTATCTCGTCACTTCTCCTTCTGTAAGGAAGGACCACAAAGTCACCCTTATAAACCACCCACAGGCTTCGAATTCAGAATGCCAGAGGGGAGAGGGGCTGGGAGGCTTCCTGTCTCACACCAGCAGATGCAGGACCGAGTTCCTTAATTTCCTAGTAGTTGAGATTTTTTTTTCCTTGTCAACTTTTAATGATCTATTCTTTGTTTTTCTGCTTTTGGATGAGAACATGTGACCCGGGAAAAAAAATCTCTTTTTAACAAACCGTTCCAGCTTCCTATGTGACCAAGTGGTAGGTCGATTTTGGTGTGTGTTTCATGGAGAGAGTAACAAAGGTGCAAGCTGGAGAAGATTCCACCCGCCTCTACTAAATCAAGAATCAAGACTTCCTCCTTCAATTCAACCAGGCGGCTCAGCTGCTTTTGGTCCACCGGACCTGTCAGGTTCTGAAAACAGCCTGGGTCTCCCTCAGAACCGTGTTGCCCACCAGGCTGAGGCACAGCGCCCTCCAGCCAGATCCACTCCTCTGGCTCTCCAGCCTGTCCAGCGCCTCCCCTCCACCTGATGCCCTCAAAATCCCCACCCTTGAGCGGTACCAAGTCAAAGCCCCTGACTCAGAAGATACACAAGGCCAAGGTCAAAGCATGGACCAAGTAATTCTGGGATGGGCTGGGTCAAAAATGGCAGGGAGGAGGAGGACCCTGGCTTATGCAAAGACCAGTAATCTGTCAGCCACAGCGCCCTCTGCTGGACATGTGAGAAGAGCCTCACTACCCAGGGGCAGCCGCCTCCAGACTGCCCACCCACACTCCAGTGAGGGACACCACAGTCCACTCGCATCCCTACACACACCACCAACACGAGACACTAGCACACTCAGCCTGACATCTCAAGGCCAGCAACAGCGGGCGCAGAAGCCCACACGACAAGCCTCAGGCAGGAGACGGGAAAACAAACTCCCTGGTGCTGGCCACAGACATTCCCATGAAGGTGCAGGGACACAGGTGCCTCAATGGGACGCAGCCAGTGCCCGCCCCCCAGGGTCCGACAACCGGCAGCCACGGGTCACAGCGGAAACAGGACCCAGGGCAGTACTCTCACTGGCAAAGCCCAAGGTGAAAACAAAACATCAAGAATCTGCTATGCAAACAGCTGTCTGGGGTCTGAATTATCACGGAGCTACGTTCTGCTTCTGCCTGGGATCTGCTAATGAGCGAGGGCTCATTCAGGACCGGAAGCCGCCCATCAGAACAGCAACGTCACGTCCTGCCATGAGCAACTGCCAGTAGGAATCAAAGCCTACCCCAGTAAACCCCCAACACACGCCACACGCTGGTCCCTGGTGCGCGCTGCCAGCAACGCTACCTTGGTGATGAACACGCTGGTGATGCTCTCTGGGCTGTCTCCTTCTGGGTTGGGAGGTCCCAAGAGCTGCTCTCCTTCCCCCTTCTCAAAGCTGTACAAGAAAGCAGGATTCAAGATATGCTGCAGGACCTACAAAGGAAGTCAAACCAAGTCAGATGGAAACACAGCCACGCTGCTCACGTCTCCAATACGCTGGGGAGGACAAGCAGCCGGGCCACACGGCACTGTGAGGTCGGAACAAGCCCAGGAGGTGCCCACCGACAGTGACCTCTGTCCATGGGCAGCCTGGAAGGAGACGCCAGCCGGTTCTTGCCCACTCCAAGCAAGCTATTTTCTGCAAACGAGGAAACTAACTAACACACCACTCTCCAGCACCGGCGTGCTGCCAGATCGGCCGTACACTGCTTCCAAAGGCATCTCCTGGTCCAGAGGAGACACGGCCTGACGGGAACCGGGTCCAGGCCCCCCGCCCTAAACCAGCCCCGACACCCGCCGCCTTCCACTGCCTCACACGGGCTCACCTTGGCTTTCAGCTCATCTCCAAAGTTGGGGTCACTGAAGTCTACAAAGCGGAAAAACAGGGCGCGTTTCTGAGCGATGCTGTAATTTTTGGGAATCTCTTCCTCCATGTACTCTTTCAGGAACGTCATGTTGCAGAGAAAGCGACCCGTGAAGGCTCGGAGCAACTGGAACAGCAGTTCTATATCTCCATAGTTCCTTCTAAAGATCAAAGGGGACAACCGGTTAGCGCGCGCGAGCCCCACGGCTCACTGGCCTTCCAGCAGCTGGGTTGGAGCCCAGCCCCACCGCCGGTCCGACTGCACGCACGCAGCAGAGGCCCCGGAGCAGTCATGGGCGGGGCCTGTGCACGACGCCCTGCGGGCACCCACTTGCAGTAGTTGAGCAGACAATAGGCCAGCAGCTTGGGCTCCTTCCAGTTGGTGGCCGCCATGTTCTCCTTGCGGTGTCTCTCTTGGAAGGCCTCGCTGACCCACACGCGCCGCAGCTGGCTCACCAGGGAGTGCTGATTGGCCAGCCACGAGTCGTCGTTTTTCACAATGATGCTGATGATCTGTCAGAGAAGAGACAGTCAGGGAACGGTGACGCGAGCAGACGCTGGGGCTCCGGGGGCCCTGGCAGAGATGGGCTACCTTGATGGCCTGGAACTGGAGGTCCAGGCGCATGGTGCTGGGCGAGCCGGGGCGCACGGCCGTCTGCGCGCCGCCCGGCAGCAGCAGCGTGATGAACCTGTTGGGGTTGGCCGCCAGCACGTCCCGCAGCGGCTTGGCATCTTTGTGCTTCAAGAAACTCTGGAAACACAACAGTAGGGAAAGCTGCTTTAAGATGATTCAACGCACAAAAGGTGAGAGGACGTGAATTCGCAGGATCTTTCTAAATCTCTCTGGACGGGCTAAGAAAGAATTCACTGCAAACATCCCCGGGAGATTTTTTCACAGAATCGCACTTCAGGGTAGTCCCGGCAGCAGGTCCGTTTGTGCCACGGAACCCCTGTGGAGCGCGAGCCTGGGAGCCGAGCACACGCGGCGGGGCTGCCGGCGCCCCGAGGCCGGGCGTGGGCCGCAGCTCTCACCATGAACATCCTGCTCCACTGGGGGTCGTTGAGCGTGGCCTCCATCATGAACAGCTCCACCGTCTGCGAGGGGTGCCGCGTGAGGAACTTGATGAGGGGCTCCCGGAACGGACTGCCCGCCTGCAACACACAGAGGGGCGCTGTGTCCCTGCGCTGCCGCCACCCCCGCCCTCCCAGGCCGGAACTGCCCCGTCACTCATTTCCCATAGCACAGTGAACGCGAGGCCTCGGGCAGCAGAGCGGAAGGGTCAGGAGCGCCCGGGCGGCCCCACCTCAATCAACATGGCGCGCTCTGTCTTCATGACCACCTCCAGCAGAGGCTTGACCAGGGTCTGAGGCGCGGCTGGGATCAGGTGGAAAAGGTTTATGATGGCCGAACAAATCTTCATTTCCTACCGAAGAAAACCAGAAATCATACAGAGCCCATCAGCTTTGCTGGTGCGAGAGGCAGCGTCACTAGGCCTACTACGGTCTCACAGCTCTCAAGGCTGGCCAACGAAGCAGAGGGGACAGGGACAAAGCTGCGACTTACCATCGCACACTACCCTGTGTGGGGCCTGCGGGAGGGCACTGCTGGGGCTGCAGAGCCCGAGCGTCAGTGGGAGGGGCCTGACCGTGCAGCCGTGGCAGAAGGGCGCTGACAGTGTGGCTGCTGTGAGCTGTGTCGCCTGTGCTGCCCCTCACCGAGGGGACGGGCACGCCTGAGAGCACCGGGACTGCCACTCTGAGTGGCACCGCACTCAGTTCTAGCAGAGAAAAGTTCACAAAAAATGCTGAAGCGTCTACCTTGGAAACTACATGTCCATGTAAATAAGGCGATGGTGGCACAAGGCTTTGTCAAGCAGGCCTAAGGTCAAGCTGACCGACGCAGGGGCTGTGCTCTGAGATGCTGCTGGCACTGCGTGGCGCTCACTCCACCTTCGCATTCTGTGGCCGCAGCTTTTGCTCCTGCCAGGCCCCCTCCGTGTGGCCCCTGCACAGCCCTGAGCCAGGGCAGGCGGGTAAAGTGGGGATGATTCGCATTGGTCCCGAGGGCCATGAGCTCAGCAGCCTTGGGGTGCACCTCAGAGGGTCTCCCAAGACCAAACGGAGATGGGGAAGCAACCACAGAGCCAGCTCACCTGAGTTCCCTTCCACAGAGCGCTCAAGGCCTCGGCCAGGGACGCGCTACGCTGACTCTGCAGGGTTCTCACGTGGTACACGCGCCCCGAGGTTTTCTACTGCTGCAGTGCTGTTATGACCGCACAGCGCTGCAGGGCAGAGGACCAATGGTATCATCCCCAGGACAGAGGGCCCAGGAGTCTAAGGCTGCACAGGGATGCGACTACCTGTGTGTGCGTCTGCCTGCACATGTGTGTACATGTGTGCCTCGTATGCGTGTACCTGCTCGTGTGAGTACGTGTGTGCACCTGTGTGTTCGTGTGCCTGAGAGATCAAGGGGCTGAGGTGCCGACCCACGGCAGGCAGGCAGGCAGGCAGGCAGGGGTGCAGGAGACACGAGGGCGCCCCGCTGTAGCAGGGCTAACACATTCTGTGGGGAGCTTCCTCTCAGCAGGCTGCTGGCTGGCTGAGCAAAGTCCAGTTCCATCTCACACAGGCTCGAGATGGCGACTCTGACAGGGAGCGAACAGAGGAACTTCGGATGTGGCTTCCAAGGCCCTGATGGGAAACATGCTTAGCACCCGGACACGTCACAGCAATGGTACTGTACGACTCTGCCACAGACAGACACACAGGTCACTGCACTCCAAGGCACAACGCACCGTCCAGTACAGAACCACAGCACAGCTAACAAGTCACGGCAGAACCAGTACGACAACAACCCCCTCCTGCACCTCCACTCCAATTCTCACCTCTACCCCTTCCATGGCAGGCTGAACCAAAACAAAAATTACAGCATGAAAAAAGGCAACAGAAAGGTCCAAAGAAAAGAAAAGAAAAGAAAAACTGTTCTTCACATTGCACATCACAAACTGACTTTTAATCGGTTGTTCTCACCTCAAACTGACAGAATGGAGACAAGGAGCACCTCCCGCACTCTGAAATGCTCTCCTGAGGATGGGGAGGAAAATCGGCTTTTCTATCGGTGTTATTTACAGAACTTCCCCGACACTCAAGCACAGCGAGGGTCGTTGGGGTTGACAAGACAGTGCAGACACAACGAGGTCAGAGAGACACAGTAATGAACAGATGGACGACCAAGAGTACGCGGGGGGCGTGGCTGACGGCACGCGCCTTCCCCAGGGGAGAAACTGGGATCCTGCTGTCGGCAGATGACTCTCACAAAACCCCTTGAGTTCATGTGCAATGCTCATTCAATGTGAGGATCCAGTGGCACACCCCTCTTCCCAGCGAAGGCCAGACAGGACAAGGGCGTTCGGCCTCGTGGGTTAGGCCACATGAGGACGCCACACAGAGCTCACGGGCCGTGAGCGGGTCACCTTGTGAAGTGACAGCCTGCATGCCACCAATGTGTTGTGTGTGCGTGTGTGTGTGCGCACAGAATTGGCCTGACAGGGTCACGTGTTCTCTTCCGCAACACGGTGACTGTGCAGAGCCCTGATCATCAGGGGTACGCCAGGTCACACTGCGCGCTTACTTTTCTCAGGCACCTATTTAGCATCTCTGCGATCACAGCTTCTCAAATAAGCAGTGGTACCCAGGAGTGTTCTCCACACCAACAAACCCCTGTCTGAGACTCATTCCCCATCCAGAACCAGGAGCAGACTCCAGAGCTCAACGCAGCGCCTGGGTGGTGAGGCCAGGCCTGAATGCAGACGGGTAGCCACGCTCGCGGTGCCCGCGGCTCCCTGGCTGCTCAGGGGCGACGAAAGGATCTGGGGGTGAGGGACGGGGTGGGCAGGGGTGGGGCGGGCAGGGACACCGCCAGTCCCGACTCCATCCCCTCTGCAACTGCCCCACCTCCACATCACTTGCTCTCCATGCTTCCAGGATCTCTGATTCAGTGGAAGCCGCCAGCTACCCAGTAGGTTTTTAGAACGGCTTATGAGGCGGGCGGAAGGGCGCGGGGGCCCCACGACCACTCCCAGGGGCCTCACTGACGCACTGTGCGTGCCTCCCGCAGGAGTCCCGCGGTTTTCTCCTGCACAAAAAATTCCCAGCCCGCAGAGGGGCTGCTGCAGTAACAGTTCTGGCCCCGGCTGGCTTAGCTGGCTGTTCAGACGCAGCAGGCAATGAGGCACACAGCACACCTCGACACAGAATGGTCAAACAAAGCATAACAAAGCCAGAAAGAAAAAAACTCCAGGCTGGGATGGAAAGCGGCGTTCCACGAGCAGGCACAAGACAGACAGGCCGCGTTCACGGCGCCTCTGAGCAACTAGGAGGGGTTCCCTAGTGGCGACGCCGCTGTGAGGTCACCGGGCACCATGGAGCTACGGAAAATGCAATTCCATCCACTGACAGGGTACCATCAGGTTAAGAAAAAAAAAAAAAAAAACACTTTTAAAATGGACACAAATAGTGTTAGATTCAGAACAGCAAGGAGTGCACATTTTCAGGAGACAGTCATAACCACCAACATCAGATAGTCAGGAAAGATTTAACTATGGCGCTTTTCCCTCATGTACGTTCTGAAGCAGTCATTCATCGGGGAACTCAGGCCTAGAACACATCCACGCCAGTGTTCCTACGATGTCTCCTTACGTTCTCCTTAGCACTGTAAGTCCTGAAAACGCTCTAGAAGGTTCCTGCAGGCGCGAACAGTTACACACACAGACGTTCCCGACCGCCCAGGGATGGAAAGCAATGGACAACAGCTGCGGGGCACGCCCCCACGGCGGCGGCTGCCGACGTCTAGAAGACACACTGCGTGAAGCGGAACTAGTCAAAGGGAAATACTAACGTTCGAGCTTCCCCCAAGTCTCATCCACAGCGATGTCACACGCACACGGACACGTGGGAGACTTTAAAGAAACATGGAATGTTCAGCAACTGAGAGAGACAGAAGCAAAACGCAAGGCTAACGAATGGGGCACGTGGACTGCAACCGCACACGCTGGCTTCTGCCCGGCAGTCCATCAGAAGCACTGCTCCGGCGGGAAGGACCCAGCGGCATGGCCCGGGGCCCTGCCCAGAAACAAGCGAGTCACTCACGTTTCCGTCGCTCCTCTGGCCCCCTTTGTGGGTGATGACCACCACCTCCATCCACTTGCGCAGATGTTGCTGTGGAAAGAGCACATCCTTCGATCAGACAGCACGGCCCCCACGACAGCAGCGGTTCCCTCCGACGTCTGCTCACGGTCACCAGTGTTCCTGTGACTGAAACAGCCCACGCAGCAGGCTCGCGAGGTGAGCGACCGGCACCTGCTTGCGTCCTGACCACAGAAAGGTGCATCCTGACACCTGGCCGGTCCTGCCGCTCCCCCGTGGGAGCTGCTCCCCAGCCGATCTCTGAGCACGCAGGTGCACGGGCTACGGGACAGAGCAGGGACGGAGAAGGGAAGCAATGATCTCGGCCGCCCACGCCCGTCCTGTGAAGCTCCAGGTCCAGCGGAGAGCGGATAAAACCAAAGGGACACCCTGGGCGCACCAGTCATCAGAGTGCTACACAAGAGGGACCGCAACCTGCTTCAGAGGAGGGCTGAGGATGAGGAGAGCCCGCCGAGGCTGTGACATCTGTGCAGGGGCTCTAACAAGGAGGCAGATGCGCTCCAACCAGAAGAGGAATGCTGCTGCAAGCAAGGAGAGCGACAGAGGCCTGGGGCCAGAGAGGGAAGGGTGGCCACTGTGGCTGAGGAGCAGAGAGCAAGGGGACCCTGGGGAAGGAGGATGGTCAGACAAGCATGGCACCCAGCCAGGCAGCAACGCCCCCTGGGCTGACAGCAGGTAGGGACGCTGCACTGGGAGCAGGTGCGTGGGAAGATAGCCCACCCCACTGGTCTAACTGGCAGCCCGTGGCTGGACAAACCAGAAAGACAAGTACTCAGAGCCCAAAGCTCAGACCTCACCTTCATGCGCTGACGCTCAGACCACGGGAACAGTCAGCCACGCGGGCGCCCTCACCACCCTGTGCTGATGCTCAGACCACGGGAACAGTCAGCCACGCAGGCGCCCTCACCACCCTGCACTGACACTCAGACCACGGGAACAGTCAGCCACACGGGCACCCTCACCTCCCTGTGCTGAAGCTCGGACCACGAGTGCAGTCAGCCACACGGGTACAGTCAGCCACACGGGTGCCCTCACTGCCCTGTGCTGACGCTCAGACCACGGGAACAGTCAGCCACACGGGTACAGTCAGCCACACAGGCACCCTCACTGCCTTGTGCTGACGCTCAGACCACGGGAACAGTCAGCCACACGGGCGCCCTCACCTCCCTGTGCTGACGCTCAGACCACGGGAACAGTCAGCCACACGGGTACAGTCAGCCACACGGGCGCCCTCACTGCCCTGTGCTGACGCTCAGACCACGGGAACAGTCAGCCACACGGGTACAGTCAGCCACACGGGCACCCTCACTGCCCTGTGCTGATGCTCAGACCACAGGAACGGTCAGCCACACGGGTACAGTCAGCCACACGGGCGCCCTCACTGCCCTGTGCTGACGCTCAGACCACGGGAACAGTCAGCCACACGGGCGCTCTCACCTCCCTGTACTGACGCTCAGACCACGGGAACGGTCAGCCACACGGGTACAGTCAGCCACACGGGCACCCTCACTGCCCTGTGCTGATGCTCAGACCACGGGAACGGTCAGCCACACGGGTACAGTCAGCCACACGGGTGCCCTCACTGCCCTGTGCTGACGCTCAGACCACGGGAACAGTCAGCCACACGGGTACAGTCAGCCACACGGGAGCCCTCACCTCCCTGTACTGACGCTCAGACCACGGGAACAGTCAGCCACACGGGCGCCCTCACCTCCCTGCGCTGTACACATGACCTTCAGGACACTGACGTCTGATGGAAGTCAGCATGCCACTGCTGTAAGGATTCCGTGGTCAAACAGGCTCAGGGCACAAGGGCATGAGGGAACGAGGACTTAAACCATCAAAGCCTGCTTCCCTAGGACAGGTCTTCACCACCTGTACCATCCTTGCCAAACTTCACAAGGCTGTTTTCCAAATTTCCAAATTCACATAGCCCATGAACTGGTGTCCATGGAAGGCCTACCTCTTAAAGGGCCAGTGTTCCAAGGAAGAACACTGAGAAAGACACAAAGCCATACACATTTCTACCAAGTACCGACCTAGCAACATTTGACCAACAAAATCCCTGAAGAACATTCATCACCAGGATGCCAATTCCTTAAACCCACATTCACTGGAACGGCTGCTTAGACAAAGATTTAAATGACAATAACAGAACCAGACGTACAGGCAATGGTCAGATCCATGTCATTCTTTCTGATTCCAGGTTTCTCAAAGGAAATACACAACACTAACTGGCATATAAAATCCACTTTGAGTTTAACAAGCAGTCAGAGCAAGGACCATACAGGAGACTTCAAGTGTCAAGTGGCTCAAACTCCAAACACAGGAACTGGGTGCCACACACGAAACAAGCAGGCTGACTGCTGTCTCCACCACACACAGACAGTAACTCCAGTCATCCACAGAGCTAGATACAAACTCTGCATGGGGGAAGCTTTTCAGAACTGTTAAAACCAAGCTGAAGGCTTGAGCTGGCAACCTCACCACGCACCACGCGAGGGGAAAGCTCCGCCACGGGGCGACATGCTCTCGAGCACAGCCCACTCAGGGTAGGCCAGGGCAGCCCGGCCAGCACGGGGCAGGACCCCACGTGCTAGGTGCCGTGCGAACACCTGGATCACAGCAACCACAGCCATTCTTCTGCCGAGGACACTGGCACTCTGCTTTTGAAGGATTTTACAATCGTGCCAGAGAAAGCAGGGTAAGCCGTCTGATTTTAGGGAAAGAGCCGTGGCCTTCGTCAGAGAGCAGCGTGCAAGGCGGTTCTCTCCACACTGTCCTGGAACCTCTGGACGGCAGTGCAGAAGGAAGGGCAGATTTCTGCTATCTTGGAAAGAATGACAACGTATTGGAAGACAGCACACACACAAAGCATCTACTAGGAATAAACACATGTGCGAAACTACCAACAACTTGTTCACCACATCAGTGTCCAGTGGCAAAGGGCTAGGAGCAATCCGAGCACAGGGAACAGGTCAGCGGAACGACAGCAGGTCCTTAGGATGAGACGCGAGACTCTCAGCGGAATGAAGCGGTACGCCTTTGGACTAACCTGAACGACGGGGCCGAGCAAGCACGGTGTCAACCACACCTCCTCTGTGGGGCCGCAAGGATGCACCTGGGTGCTACCACAGGTGGGAGGGGACAGCACCTGTCCACAGGTGTGCCACACCTCCTCTGTGGGGCCGGGAGGATGTACCTGGGTGCTACCACAGGTGGGAGGGGATGGCACCTGTCCACAGGTGTGCCACACCTCCTCTGTGGACCGTGAGGATGTACCTGGGTGCTACCACAGGTGGGAGGGGACGGCACCTGTCCACAGGTGTCCCTGGCAGAGGAGGAGACGGCAGATCCCCTTCACGCCTTCCCAGTCATAAGCACATCGACACACCACTCACTTCACAAGCAACGTAAGCTAATGTTTTCCCGTCTAGCAAACAACGAGTTCTCAAGGCATCTGGCTTACCATCATCTGATCACAAAATTTATCGTTGAAGGAATTTGGGAAGAGCCTGGTGACGGAAGTCAGCCGATTCACCACGTTCAGGGTCAAGCTCCGGTAATCTCCCAGCATCATCAACAGAGGGCGCATGTGCGTATGGATCTGATCGACCTCTATCGTCGCGCCTTCTAAAAACTACCAGAAGGGAAAAGTTACAGAGAGACAGATAGCACGGGGTAATCTCTAACAGAACGGAACTCCTGTTCCACCCTGGCACCCAGTGTTTGCTTTCCCCTTAGAAAACGCGGTAGTTCAGAAGTGTGTGATGAAATGAGGGGCGTGCCATTGCTTTTAACATTTTAAAAGAGTTAGTATGACTATGTAACAAGTAGAGACATTGCAACCTCTCCTGAGGCGTGCCCAGGTTTGCAGGCCAATTCTCTCTCTCTCTCTCTCTCACACACACACACACACACACACACACACACCCCTACCTTCCTCATGCAGGCTTCCCCAGCCTCCTGGAGCTCACTGTTGGTGGAATTCAGGGCTTTGAAGAGCGCAGCGATGATCTTCTCTCTGGACTGAGGAAGGTAATTGCAGGCTGCAAGCGCATCTTGAGAGGGAGAAATAACACGGTCTCATTATTCACCTGAAAATACCTGAACAGTTTTCTTCTCTGAAGCCTCCTCCCAAAGAACACAAGACCTGACCACTCGCCCTCTCTCCTCTATCTGATCTCGAGAAAGTGAAAGCCGGCATTATCGAGGAGTGATGTCACTGGCCAGCCCCAAGGCCGCGAGGGAGGCAGACATCTGGCCCAGCAGGTCAGAGCCTGAGCAGGATGCCTGCAGCCCACTCTGGGTTCAGGTCCCAGCTCCACTTCCACCTGCAGCCTCCAGCCCTGGCTTGACCTGGGAGCTGTGGGGAAGGCTCCAGTGCTTGGGTTCCTGCCACTCGGGGGAGACCTGGATCGAGCCCCAGGCTCCCAGTTCCAGTCTGGTCCAGCTCTGCCCATTGTGGGGGTTTGGGAAGTGAACCAGCAGATGGGAGACTGAGATTTTTCTGTCTGCCTTTCAAATTACAACAAAAAGCCACAATAAACCTCACACCTCCTGAGAGGGGAGAGGTGGGTGGAGGAGGGGTCCCCGCTGACATCGTTACCCCCAAGTCGTCCTCAGAGGGCGACAGCAGTCACATGTGAGCTACCTGAGGGCTGCAGCCTCTGACACGGCCTGTGACGGGTGATGCGGGGGTCACACGGCCCCCCTTCGTCCCAATGCCCAAGTCTATTCAACTTGGGGATTAAGCTCTAAGTCTTTCAAAGTGCAAATGTTCCTTGGAAAGGAGACACACCGCCATCGCTGTTAAGGGAAGTGAGAGGACAGCACCGACAGGCACTCACCGGTGGGGCGCCCCAAAACATCCCCTCGGTGCTCGCCTGCCACGCAGTGTCCCGGCCCCGGCCTTCAGCTCACCTTGCCCTGTCTTACCAACTGCCTGTCATCCCACCTCCCATTCAGAAAGGACTCTGGCCACATCCCATCAGGCGTGAAATAACCAACAAAGCTACAGTCAACTAGGAAAGCTTCTACTAGGCACGTAGTCACACACAGTGAATAATGACAGGGTCAGTCAGTGTGGCTCTCTTCCTAAACTCTGCACACTCCTGTGCACAGGAACTCACGTGCCCAGTGGGGCAGACTTCAGGAATCTCAAATGCTCTGGCTCATGAAGAAGCCCACAGAGGCTTCAATGCACCTTACTGTAGCTCTCATCCTAACAAAACCAGCCCTGTAACCAGAGCACCTGATTCACACAACCACAGAATACAGAATTACTATACAGCAAAATGCACTGAACTGCAGGCAACGGAATTCTTAAATACTAACAACACAGGCAATCTCATAACATCTAAGTACTTCAGTAAACAAATGAGCCTGCTGATCTCACCTTAAGAAGACAGAACACCAGACAGTTCAGACAGTAGCAACAGCAAAGCCACTGTATTTCACTTAAAAAACAAACAAAACAAAGATTTGTTTCTTTGAAAGGCAGAGTCAGAGAGAGAGATTCTATCTACTGGCTCACTCCCCAGATGGCCACCATGACATGGGCTGAGCCAGAACTGGGAAGCCACCTGGGTCTCCCACGCGGGTGCAGGGCCCAAGCATTTGAGCCATCCTCCGCTGCTTTCCCAGGCGCAGGAGCAAAGGAGCAGCAGGGACCTGAACCGGTGCCCATGCGGGTTGCTGGCACTGCAGGCAGTGGCTGAACCTGCTGTGCCACAGGGCCAGCCCCTCTTCACTGCTGCTCACCTGGGACCCACGTGAACTTACTCAGGGCTGCGATTCGCAAGGGCACAAGCGAGGGGAGACTTTTGTAGCAGGGCAGCTTCGTTAAAGCGGAGTCTTCGGCCTCACACAAGTTCAACAGCTGGAAGAGACCAGACGACGCAATTTAGCCCATCTTACTGCAGGGACATACAACCTTGCAAGTATCACAGCACAGCCATCCTCCACACACACCGCAACACAACCAGCAACGGACAGACAAGCCCAGTCAAGAACTTTCAGAGCGGAAATGGACAGAGCTCCCTGATTCTCCAGCAGCTCACGCCCTCAGCACTGCCAGCCCCTGACCTCGGCTTAGTGAGCGGACTCCAGAAAGGCCAAGGGACCCTGTCCTCCCAGTTCCCAGAGGCATCCCTGACACAGGGACCCTACAAGGCCTGGACAGTCAGAGCTGGGCCCAGGCCCACAGGACTCAGAGAGACAGAGAGGGAATCCTCCTGACCAGAACTTCAGACAGCGTGGACTAAGAATTCGCTCGCTGGGGGTCAGAGCTGGGCCCAGGCCCATGGACTCAGAGAGACAGAGAGGGAATCCTCCTGACCAGAATTTCAGACAGCGTGGACTAAGAATTCGCTTGCTGGGGGTCAGAGCTGGGCCCAGGCCCATGGACTCAGAGAGACAGAGAGGGAATCCTCCTGACCAGAACTTCAGACAGCGTGGACTAAGAATTCGCTCGCTGGGGGTCAGAGCTGGGCCCAGGCCCGCAGGACTGAGATGGACAGAGAGGGAATCCTCCTGACCGGAACTTCAGACAGCGTGGACTAAGAATTCGCTCGCTGGTGGTGCTCGCCTCAGCTCCCTCTGACGCCTACCGAAGTGTGATTCCTGGCCCCTAAATTTCAAATTGGCACTGACCACCAGACCACCGCAGCACCCTGCCTGCGGTAACTCGACTGTCTCCACAGTGTGACGACTGCCCATCACTGACGTCACCTCTCGCTGGAACATTCACGGCGACAAGAATCTGTAAGATGCCATCTGCCAGCACATGGATTTGGGTGGGGGCAAATCAAGACCACAGAAGAGCACCAGGGCCCGGCCGGAGGCCGGAGGACGCTGACGGGGAACCGTGCTCTGAAGGGACCGCCTGGGTTCACGGCGCAGCCTTGCGGCTCACCTGCTCTGTGGCTCTGGGTGCACCTTAACATTAGAATCAACAGTGTCTGCACTCACAGAGCCCAGTGTGAACAGTGTGGGAGCACCTGCTCTTCACCAGCCGTGCCCGGGGCACCTGTGAGCCGGCTGATGAAGGCCATGGGAACAGCCTACCCTCCAACACACGCCAGGACCCTCAGTCAGAGCCGGGCCCTGGAGGGCTGATGTGGCTCTTAGGATCCGAGGACACCGACCCTACGCTGAGCCTCTCCTGCCACGGGGCCTCCCTTCCACCAGGTCCAGGGGCAACACCCCGGCCCAGAGCAGTGCCAGGCCAGGGCTGGTTACCTGCGTCACTTTCCGAGCCTTCTCTGAGTGCAGCCTGACCAGTCTTGGCGCACGCACAAAGACGGGCTAGCAGACACACGGCAGCACCACGCACACGGCCCCGCACCCCCGCCCCTACCTCTGTGTAGAACACCTTATGCTCCACCACGTTCAGGTCCATGGTGAAGAGGCGGGGCTGTAACGTGGTGCAGAACGTGTTCCCCTCCATGAGGCCGATCTGGGCGTTGGCCGGCTGGTGTCGCAGCAAGTGCTTCTTGGGTGGGACCATGTCCTGGAGGACCTGGGGGAGCCGAGGGGGACGCACCGCTCACTGGCGGCCCTCGAAAGCAACACCTCTCAGCACAGCATTCCACAACCATCAGCTTAACAACGATCACAGCTGCCCTTGCACTAGGGAAGGACGTGACCTGCGCTGGCCTGGCCCTGGGAGGCACAGCAGGCACGACCAGTGGCCACGGGGAACCACCAGTGCCACGCAGGCCAGCAATCTTCCAGCCTCCCAACACCAACAAGCTCCCCACTACCCCAGCGTGCGCTGCTCCAAACCGAGCAGGCTCAGCAGTACTTTCTGGCGTGGACACAAAAGTATAAAGAGCAGCACCCACAACCCAGGCTTGAAAACCAAAACAAGAATCTCAAAAACCATCCCAATCACCCGCGTCTTGGCGACAGAAATCTCACCTCTTTGTGGGGTTCCATTATCACTGTCACACTTTTTCCAGTGACCTGGGCCAGTACCTGCAGGGAGTGCATAGCCTGTTTTCTCACGGTGGAGTTCGGAGAGGTGACTTCTCGAACCAGGTCATGCGTCACGTGGTGGAAGGACTTCTCCTGAGCAGCCAGGATCTCCTCGGCCCGCTCCTCGTCTTTCAGAGGGGTCGCACACCTCATCAGGAGCTGTTCCAGGGTGGTCTTGGCCATGGCGACAGCCCCATTGGAAACCTGCAAGTCAGGGCTGCCTCAGAACAAGGGCCTGATACCACTCACCACACCCTCTGCCTCCCACCCCCGTCCGCTGTGGCTGCTGTCCCGGGCAGGTGGCAGCTGGAGGAAACCACCCCCCTACACCAGCTACATTAGCAAAACTACATTGTAACTGCTCAGTGCTTCTTCCTGCCAGTAGTTCCTGCTTGTCAACCAAGAAAGAAAACACTGATCGATCGAGCCACGAGAGCCACGACCCCAGCGTTTAGCACATGGCAATGCCTGGTGTAAGTTACGTGTGGACATCAGTCCACAAAGAATGCAACTCGGAGGAACCGTCTCTGCTTTCCTTCAGATGTATGCCGATGAACACTCTGGACATCCCTTCTCACAGCCAGCAGGTATCCAAATACCCAGAGGGCTGTCGCGAAATCCGAGTGTCCAAGCACCTGCCACGAGGAAGGCACCGGCACGGCAGTCTCAGGCAGAATGCCCTCCGGGCAGCCCAGCACCTACCTCTCCGGTCAAGTCCATCATGACGAACAGGAGTGCTTTGAGGAACGTCTGCTGGTTCTGGAGAACCCATGTGAGAGGCAGCCGCTCCATGAGGAACTTGATGGACACCACGCCCCCCAGCTTTGCATACCAAGCCTGCTCGTAACAACACGCGCACAGGCGCTCCACGATGTAGGAGAACAGGGGTAGCTGGCACGCCTGCGGGGAAGAGAACAAACCCCAGTGCCCAGCTGCAGTGGCCGCACGTGCAGACACCCCAGACCGGCACCCCGTGACCGCTCCTCACCCTCTCCTTGGAGCCTAGGATGATACTCGCAACGTCAAATATCACAGCCAAGGCCACCTCCCCGATCTTGCAGAGTTCCTTTTCCTCGTAGGCCATGCAAATAGCTATGGCGTCGATCAGAACCAAGGGATCCATCCCCTTCGACCCGTTTTCTTCACTGTGAAACATGGCTGTGCTGGGCTGGCTGCCCACCTGGTAGCAAGGCAGCAAGAATGGACCTGAGAGGAGAGGGAGGGCAGGAGAAGGTCAAGTTCACTGCCATGGGCCTCATCCCTCACTCTTCTCTTGAAGTCAGGAACCCGATGCAGTGCACACACTTATAAACTAAGTGGCCTGATCCTCACCAAGGCTGATTGCAGAGTGTTTTCCATGACACACCGTGTCTCACATTTTCTCTCCCATTACTCAAAAGCATACTGGTTTAAACTGAGAATCCCAGTCGGGTGGGTATCTTTAAACATTATCACGAAACAGACGAAGGTAGGCGACATGGGAATGACCCCGGGTTACACTCCACACAGCCGACACTGGAACACTGCAGCAGCAACCAGCGGTGACGGAAGAACACAGCCGGACAACAGCCGGCTGCGGCCACCGGCAGTCACCACCTCGTGAGTGCCCGGCATCAGGCAAGACGGAATCGCTGAGCAGAGACCGAGGCACCCCGCTCCACAGCGCCAACTCTTCAGGCCGAGAGGTACGGGGCGAGTCCCGTGTGCTCCACAGCGTCCGGAGACACTGCCTGCTGATCGCCAGTGTGAGGGGCTCTGAGGACAGAAACCAGGGCAGGGGTCTGCAGATTCAGAGCCCAGGGTTTTCAGGCACTACACAGCAGCTGGCAGGGACGTGGCCACCGTGTGTCATTTACAAACGCATCATCTGCAACAAACCGGCAATGAGAATGGACGAACTCAATCATCCTTCACACCAAAGAGTCTGGGAGCCATGGCAGCTGGGTGTCCCAGGTGGCTACCCCGGAGCAGAAATGGGCACAGCTGGGCACCCAGTGGAAGGAGGGAGCCCGGCCTCGGGAGAGGCCACCCAGGGGAGGAAGAGCATCACCCAAAAAACCATCCGGGATCAGAAGTGCAGCGTCCACCAGCACTGGGACCCAGTTCTCACAAAGACAATCGGCCACACGACGTTCCGGCGGGCACTGACGTTAATTTACAGCTGAAACTTGGCAATGACCTTCACGTCGGCCCAAGGCGCCCACCACGGAAATGACCTTTGCCAGTGCAGTGTGTGGAACGTCTGAACACGGAGGCCCAGACGCTGTGGGGCAAGCTCAGCCTCTCAAAAACAAGGCACCTGACCAAGTTTTTGCAGCGGTTCTGAGAGATGAAGACACCACTTCCCCCCGCCACGGAGCCCTCACTCACCACACTGCTGGGCCACAGCCACCATGGTGTAGTGGCGAATCAGGCTGGCCACGAAGGGCAGGGCGCTGGGCCGCAGGTCCTTGATGACGGCCGACATGAAGGCCCCCGTCAGAGCCTGCTCGAATGTCTTCCGGGCCGGCGTGTCCTGCGCCTTGTAGCGGTGGGATATGATGACGTTCGGGATGGTCTTCTCTGTGAAGCTGGGCGACACAATGACATCATCAAAGCCCCAGTCCCCCGCTGCTGGTGCCACGGGAGCCCCGCCCACCCATTTCCCGCCTGGGTGAGTGCATTTCTCTGCTTGGAATGCAGCATCGTCTGGAGCCAAGGACACTTCTCATCGTGAACCTCACAGCCAGTGCCGGCAAATACCCACGTGTACTTTTTTTTTTTTTTAAGATTTATTTTGAAGTCAGAGTTAAACAGAGAGAGAAGAAGAGGTCTTCCATCAACTGGTTCATTCCCCAATTGTTAGCAATGGCCGGAGCTGCACTGATCCGAAGCCAGGAGCTTCTTTTGGGTCTCCCACGCCAGTGCAGGGGACCCAAGGATTTGGACCATCCTCCACTGCTTTCCCAGGCCACAGCAGAGAGCTGGATTGGAAGTGGAGCAGCCGGGTCTCAAACCAGCACCCATATGAGATGCCGGCATGGCAGGCAGTGGCTTAACCCGCTACGCCACAGTGCCAGCCCCACCAAATGTATGCGTGTAGGCAATGACTTAGAGGTGGACCACGAAATGTCATCTTCAGTCTTTCAGTCATTATCCTCTATTTTAAGAAAGTCAGTTTTTGATCTTTTATAATTAAATAAGCCGAAATTCTAAGTAATTCTGATCAATGATAAACAGGCATGAAAGACACTATGCCCTAAAGGTACTTAATCAACAGTTAATGCTTGCAAAACCACTCCAAGAACACAGAATTACATGGGCCAACGGACCTAAGCAATAAAGCATTTCCTGCCAGTTCCTGCATGAGATTCACCAAAATTCCTTAAGGCAGTCAGGGAAACACACACCCAACACTGAATGCTTAGTAAAAAAAAAAAAAAAAAAAAGCCACAGTTCTCCATTTTAAAAACAGTATTAGTGGGGCCGGTGCTGTGGCGTAGCAGATAAAGCCACCGCCTGCAGTGCCGGCATGGGTGCAAATTTGAGACCCGGCTGCTCCACTTCCAATCCAACTTTCTGCTATGGCTTTGGAAAGCAGCAGAAGGTGGCCGAAGTCCTTGCACCCCTGCACTCTGCGTGGGAAGACCTGGGGGGAGCTCCTGGCTTCAGATCAGTGAAGCTCCAGCCGTTGTGGCCAATTGAGGAGTGAACCAGCGAATGGAAGACCTCTCTCTCTCTGCCTCTCCTTCTTGCTCTGTGTAACTCTGCCTTTCAAATAAATATATCAATCTTAAAACAACAAAGTGTCACCTTGAGGCCGGGACCGTAGCATAGCCAGTAAAGCTGCCACCTGTAGTGCCAGCATCCCATACGGGTGCTGGTTCAAGTCCCGGCTGCCCCACTTCCAATCCAGCTCCCTGCTCATGTGCCTGGCAAAGCAACGGAAGCTGGCCCAAGTGCTTGGGTCTTGTACCCACGTGCAAGACCCAGAAGCAGCTCCTGGCTTCAGATTGGCACAGCTCTGGCCACAGTAGCCATTTGGGGAGTGAACCAGCAGATGGAAGACCTCTCTCTGCTTCTGCCTCTCTCTAACTCTTTCCAATAAATAAATTTTTTCTAAAAAACAGCGCTAGCTTCTTCCAATCTAGCACAGCTCTGCGAACGGAGCACCTCGCAGAATTTGTCCCAACTGCCTCGTTCTGCTTCTGAAGCCGACGAACCCGTCAAGGCTCTTCATTATCAGACATCTCCAGAGGTGGAGAGAGGGTGCTCACGCGCCCAGCTGGACCTGTGAGGCCGTCCCGGCTACCCTCATGTTTGTGAAGGTGCCCTAAGTGTGCTGCCGCCGTCCTACCAATCTGCTCTGGCCCAGCGTCCCTATGGGCTAAGCTGAAACCTGCTGTCAGCCAGGAGAGCAGGATCTTGCGTTCGCCTCCCGTGACAGCAAGCGCACTTGAAGATCCCGGCAGGCACAGTTCAGTTCGGCCCTGCCCAGCTCTCTCCATCTTACCTACTGCAGGCATGTGGGAAGTGAACCAGATAGGCGCTTTCTCCATCAGTCTGTCTCTCCAAAAATGAATATTGCCACAGTGATAACCTTACAGGGGACAGACCAGACAGGCCTAATAACGCCATCTAGGCGGCATCACTTGCTGGCCTTTCACTCGTCGGAGACGACACACCCACACTGGGCACGGGTGAGCAGTGCACTTGGCTCGTTGCTGAGCAGTCTCCTGTGTCCACCGACCATGCATTTCCTATCTGCCAGACAGTAAGCACTCGGACTGCTCCAGTCCATGTGACCTTTAAGGTGGAAGCTTCCCTGTAACTGTCACTTTAGCTGTGTCCCACTTTAGCTGAGGCCCATCCATCAGGCCTCAGGATCCACGGGCTTTGCGTCTGTGGATCCAGCCAACAGCACAGGGGAAGGTCTGACTGCACGTGCGCGCTCTCCTCTCGACCTTATTCCCCTCACGATGCAGTGCAGCGCTCCTTTATGTGACATTTAACATGCCAGCCACGGTTCAGTCTACACGTGACCACAGCAAACACCACCTGCAATGCCGGCATCCCATGTGAGCGCCAAAGTCCTGGCTGCTCTACTTCCAATCCAGCTCCCGGCTAATGTGCAGACACCCTGGGAGAGCAGCAGATGGTCCCAGTGCTTGGACCCCTGCCACCCACACCACAGACCCAGATGGAGTTCCAGGCTCCTGGCTCCAGACCCTGGCCCAGCTCCAGTGCGGTAGCCATTTGGGGAGTGAACCCTCAGTTGAAAGACCACTCTCTTTCTTCCTGTCTTTTAAATAAATCAATCAGTCTTCAAAAAAACAAAAACAAAAACAAAAAAAAACCCACACAAGAAGGTACACGTGGGCTCCATGCGAATACCACAGAGTTCACTCCAGGGACTGGAGCATCCGTGGGTTCTGACATCGGCAGGGTTCCCGGAAGCAGCCGTGACCACAAGGAACAGCCGCACGGCTGCACTGCCGCTGTCTCTACTTTGTTCCTTTGTCGTCTCACAGCTTCCCTGGGGGAGCTTGGCTGTGTCTGCGTCTCCCACCTGGAACGTCTGTTCTGAGTTGAACACACCTCTGTTTCCTGAACGCCCTTCACGGCGTCCTCTCACCTCAGATCTGCTGTCTCCCTCCACATGGAGACCCTCTGCACCCTGTGGCTTCACAGCTGCCCACCCACCGCCCACAGGCAGGCAGCCTCGTGGTCACCCAGCCTAGAACACGTCCCCCGTCTTCTGATCCGTGGCTACTTCCCCATCCTGTGTCCACGTGTGGATTCATGTTTCCGTGTCCTGCTCTGGACTCACTGAGCAAGAGCCTGTGTCTCTCACTTCTTGGCCACCCCCGCCCCGTCCCTGGTGCCTGGGGGCCTCCGGCAGCACACGCCTTCCTCTGTCCTTCACTTCCCTCCCTCCCTCTTGGACTTTTCCATCTTTCTCTCTGCACCCATCGCCGGTAAGCACTGCACTTCTTACCTAACAGTTCTCTTCATTCCCAAGTCTAGACAATTTCTGTAGGTCTCTACCTCTGGGAGGGGTTCTGAGGTTCGCCTTTACTTTAAATTTCACAACCCAGGCATGATGACCCAGCCTGTGCAGGTCTGCCCCACCCGCTTCCTGTTGAGCTCTCACTCACATTGCTGTTTCCTCACGGAACGGCTCCCTCCAATGCCCTTTATATATATGTGTGTGTGTGTGTATGTCATATAGTTATACATTAGACTTTATATGTGTGTATATACACACACACAATCTCCAAAAGACTATGATATATATGAAGGTCATGCACAGCCTTAAGTTGTAATAGGAAAATACACACACCACATGACAGGTGTCTGGACAAAGATCAGTGCCAGGTGCTGGGACAACACAGGAAGCACCGGGGGAATGGGCCAGGAGCCTCGATTCCTTGTGGCATAAAACCAAATGGAGGGGCCAGAGCTGTGGCACAGCAGGTTAAGCAGGTTAGCTGGCATCCCACATGGGTGTCAGCTCGTGTTCCAGCTGCCCCATTTTCAATCCAGCTCCCTGGTAATGACAAGTGTTCGGGCCTCTGCCCGCTGCATGGGAGACCTGGAGGATGCCCTGGCTGTTGCGGCCATCTGGGGAGTGAACCAGCAGATGAAGATCGAGCTCTCTGTCTCTCCCTCTCTGTCTCTCCCTCTAACTCTGTCTTTCAATTAAGTAAAACAAATCTTTAAAAAAAAATGGAAGCAACACGGCAGACAGCAAGCGAGATCACCCCAATCCCCAAGCATCCAGATTCTCTTCTGTTCTCCAAGGCTAAAAGAAGAGCGCATGCAAACACAGAAACCTGGGCAGTCCCCGCCCACATGCCGCAGCAAGGGCCCACACCGGTGGAGGCAAAACACACTTGGGGTGGGTCAGGAGCTGGTAGAGCAGGCACGCCCCACCCACATCCCACAGCGAGGGCCCACACCGCAGGACAGAACGCACTTGGGGTGGGCCTGGAGCTGGTAGAGCGCCCCCCACCCCGCCCACATCCCGCAGCGAGGGCCCACACTGGCTGGGGCAGAAGGCAACTGGAGAGGGCCAGGAGCTGGAAGAGCGCCCCCCACCCCGCCCACATCCCGCAGCAAGGGCCCACACCCACAGGACAGAACGCACTTGGGGTGGGCCTAGAGCTGGTAGAGCGCCCCCCCAACCCGCCCACATCCCACAGCGAGGGCCCACACTGCGGGACAGAACGCACTTGGGGTGGGCCAGGAGCTGGTAGAGCGCGTGCTTGTTGTCCTCCAGGCTCATCATGGCCACCAGGAAGCACCTGATCACCTCCCACGCCTGCCGCCGGTAGTAGGGTTCCGTGTTGGCGCTCTTCAGGCAGTCCAGAGCCGTTTCGATGGCCTGCAACACCAAACACAAAACCACAGCGTGTACGGACATCTCAATATGGAAAAGTCTCCCTGAAAGCACGGGCGGCACACACAGACCCCAACAAGCGCTCCTCCAATGGGCCCTCGGCCAGTCCCCAGACGGGACTGCACAGCGCCAACTAAAACCTGAGGCCGAGTTCAACACTCAGGGGAAGATGCGTGGAAGTCTCCGGGGACACATCTGCTGGCCTGAACCTGCACCTGGGAGCATGCACGCATGCGCACACACACACACACACACACTGATCCTGACTGTGTCATCCACACTCAGACTGATCCCGATTCTGTATCATCCACACACACACAGAGTCTTTAGTTTGCTGTCACACAAACACACATGTGCCTGCGCGCCCACGTCGAAGTTCTAATAACAAGAAAGATGAGCTGGGGCCGGCGCTGTGGCACAGAGGTTAAAGTTGCCGCCTGCAGAGCTGGCATCCCTTAAGCGTACTGCTGCTTCGAGTCCCAGTTGCTCCATTTCCCATCCAGCTCTCTGCTGTGTCCTGGGAAAGCAGTGGAAGATGGCCCAAGTCCTTGGGCTCCTACAACCGCGTGAGAGACCCAGAGAAGGCTCCTGGCTCCAGAGCCAGCTAGCAGCTCTAGCAGTTGCGGCCAATTGGGGAGTGAACCAGTGGATGGAATACCTCTCTCTCTCTCTCTCTTTCCCTCTCCTTCTCTCTCTCCTCCCCCCACATACCTCTGCCTCTCCTTCTCTGTGTAACTCTTTCAAATAAATAAATCTTTAAAAAGAAAGAAGGGGGGGAGGGAGGAGAGTTTCTTGAGGCCACAGACTCTGAGATCAACCTAAGAGATGGCCGTGTAAGCTTTTTTAAAATTGTCTCTTCAAAAGAGAATAAGGTTTACATCATTTTTCCCCCAGAAAACCTACACAGACAGCTACACACACACACATTTTTATCATGTTCATTTCAATTAGCTCCATCAGGAACATGGGGTGGCACAATCACACACAAAATTAACTTGAAGCCTTCATGGTAATCATACACAACTCAAGGAACAGGTCAGTGTTAACAGTTAACACCTCTCTCTCTGCCTCTGCCTCTCTAATTCTGCCTTTCAAATACAAAAGATTTATTCATTTATTTGAAAGGCAAAGTTACACACAGAGAGAAGAGAGAGAGAGGTCTTCCATCCACTGGTTCACTCAACAGACGGCAACAGCTGGAGCTGCGCTGGTCTGAAGCCAGGAGCCAGGAGCTTCTTCTGGGGCTTTCACATGGGTGCAGGGGCCCAAGGACTTGGGCCATCTTCCATTACTTTCCCAGGCCATAGCAGAGAGCTGGATGGGAAGTGGAGCAGCCGGGACTTGAACCCGGCACCCATATGGGATGCTGGCACTGCAGGCGGCGGCTTTACCTGCTACACCACAGTACCAGCTTCAACGAATTAATCAATGACCTGCGAGGAAGAGTCAAGGGTTGCTCACTGGGCCAAATGCAAAGCTGCCTCACGCAGTCATGGCACTTGGCCTGACCAGGGCCCACGGGCTGTGTTGCAGCCCACTGGGACAACGCCTGCTCGCCCAGAGGCCTCCGCAGTACCTCCTCCTGTCCGTGCAGCCCAGCGGAGCTGTTAGCAGCCAGCTGCAAAACCTCACCTCTCCCATGCATCAGCTGCTTTGGGCCAAAGCCACTTCTAAAGGGATCTTTTTGCTCTGCTCAGTCTATACAGAAGGCAAGCAAAATCAGATGCCTTAGTCTCCACTGTGTCCACCAACCCTGCCACTGCCAGGGTGAAGCACGGGGACACTGACCTGAGAGAGTCACCCAAGACGCAGCCAAGTGCTGCTAGCAGAGAGACGTTTGCTGGGTGGTTTCAACACAGACAGAGAATCCTGGCCGCCAGTGCTCTCTGGGGAGCAGTGTGCTCGCCTGGAAAACACCCTGAAGAAGGGCTGCACGACGGGCTGGGGTGGGCAGCCCTGCTCCGGGGGAGCCCGCGAGAAGACACAGGCCTGAGAAGTCAAGGGGCAGGCAGAAGGAGATGGCCACAGACAACCAGTGCAGAGTGACACTCAGCCCTCCTCCCCACCTAGCATCTGGGGAAGTCTGGTATTTAAAAAAAAAACCCGCTGTGTGGGGGAGCCTCTCACACGGGAGAGCCAGCCGGGCACACTGCAGGCTGAGCCTGGCCCAGGGAGCGAGGAACGCGGCTGCAGGCCGCACAACACTGGTCGGCAAGGCGCATGGGAGTCCGGCTGCGTCACTCCACAGCACCGCACCCACAAGGCTACCGCAACGTCCTCTCAACAGGCAGCCAACGTACAGGAGCCAGCTAAGAGTCCCGGACCACAAGGCGGAACGCCAGGATATGAGCAGGAAAGGAGCGGCCAGGACTGTGGGCTGGCCCACAGTTGGCAACAAATGCAAGCGTGAGGCAGTAAAGGGGCAAACAACACGCAAGTGCCGAGACCCAGGACGGCATCTGGCAAGATGCCAGGAACCCAGAGAGCGGCCCAGGAGCCGAGAGCCAGGAACAAGAGGACCAGAGCCGTGTCTAGGGGAGGGCAGCGACCAGGCAACCCGGGTTCTAGATGGAGCTAGAGCCTAGGGGACCGGGAGGCCATAGTCCAAGGGCAAGAGGGGCTGGGCATCACCTCCCGGTCACCAGGACAGAGGGAACCGTGCCAGGATCCCAGGGCCCCAGATTCTTGGGGAAACATCCCGCCATGGGCGCCTGCAAAGCCACCTGTGCTGATCGAGGTGATCCTGAGTGGGAAGTTCTCCCAGGAAATCCCACCGTGTGTACAGGCTGTCACACAGACATCCACTCTAACAAGGAGACACAGATCCGCACCAACCCCCTGCCTCCCACTTTACCTTCTCCATGGGGAGCTGAAGAGATGCTTTACAGTCGGCAAACTCCACGGTAATGCTGGGGCCTTGAACTTCCGTCACGACGTAGTGCAGCTTCTGGGACTCCTTTAACATCTTCCTGTTGCTGCCACCAAACTTGCCCAGGACACGGTAGGCCACGTGAGAGATGCTATCGGCAGGATTGCGTAAAGTGCGCCACAAAGCCTAGAACCCAACGTGCTTCGTGAAGTCATCTCAGGGGAACCCGGTCACAATTCCAAATGCCAAGTAAGTCACAGCACAGCGCGACGGCAACAATCCCACCCCCCACACCCCAGAGGCAGCTCCCTCCTCACGCACACATGCCCACGAATGTGCCCACGAACGTGCCCTGTGCTCCCGCGAGACGGACGAGGGAGCGTGCTCCAACCACGCACGGAGCACCACAGGAAGACTGCCAAGCCAGAGCAGTCAGACAGGCACAAGGCCAGGTGGGAGCTCAGAGTCGGGGAGAGCCGGCGAGTTCCCAGGCTTTGTAACATGCAGACTGGGTAAGCGAGTGCCACATACACATCAGAGAGGACTGGTCACGGGGAAGGCGCGGGTGCTGGGGTCACCTCCATCACAGAACTACAGGAGCAGCGATTCATGCACAGCCCCAACACTCAGCTGCCACCAACACTCAGTCAGCACCTCGTCTCTTCCCTCAGGTCATCCTAAACCCTAGAGTTCCCACAGTCCACAGCTCCACTACCTCTCCAGCAGGGTCAAGCACCACCACCCAGTCAACGCCTCGTCTCTTCCCTCGGGTCATCCTAAACCCTAGAGGTTCCCACAGTCCACAGCTCCACTACCTCTCCAGCAGGGTCAAGCACCACCACCTAGCAACACTCAAGCTTAGCACACCGTCTCAGCTCTTTTCTCTAAACCAAGCAAAATCCCAATTCTCTCGTTTCTCCAGGCCCAAAGGTGGGTCTGAGCCCTTCCCCAGCACCGAGCCTCGTGTTCCCCAGGAGCAGGGGCCTCAAGAGACCGCCACTGTGCCACTTGTAAGGACTGTGGGGTTACTGTGCTATGACCTTGCCCAGGTCAGGCACTGCCGGCCTCAGGGTGTGGCAGGAAGGCCTGGCTCCCGTACACCTGGGTCAGGACCGGGGCCTGCCTGCCTGCCAGAACCAACAGTGCTGCTCCCAACTCTCTAAGTGACTGCAGACCCACGTCCCACCCCCACGCCGCCTCCTCCCAGCCCAGATGCAGCTCAAGGACCAGACGTCACAACAGGCAGGAAAGCCTCCCAGCCACCTTCTCAGGTCCACACCGCAGAGACCCCCAGCCCCAGGAGTGACCAAGTCTCTGACCCCTCTCCAGATCCAGTCCTGTGTCCTAAAGAGGCTGACAAGAATGTAACAGACGAGCAGCCCAGACTTGCCATGAGTCCCAGCCACATCACCCATCAGCAACGCAGCAAAGCATGAAGGGAAACCCTCAGACGCTGAGCACACCATACCCACGGAACAAGAGCTTCGTCTTCCGAACAACCGCCACCATCAGCTGCCCCTCCCCGGGGTGGGGTGGGGCCTGCTGCCCTTTGCTACCTGACCGCCGGTTTTCGGGTTCGTCTGTGGCCACACACTGACAAGTCGCCCTCCTAAGTCACCACCTGAGACCACACCACTTGCAGAAGTACTCTGACGACAAGGGAACACCGCAAAGCAAGGATCCGTTCAACAATCCCAGTATCTCTTTCCATCTTCTAATACATCAGTCAGCAGAGTCCACAGGAGACAGAGGCCAAGAAAAACTAGAAACACCAGCGTCTGGCGCCCCCTGCTGGTGAAGGGAGCGCACACTCACCTGCATGAGCTCTGCTCGCACTGGCTGGATGTGGTCGTACAGGAAGTCAGGCTGCAGGTTGTCCACACACAGCTCCAGAGTCCGCAGGCCCTGGCTGACCAACGTCTGCGAGCCATTGAGCGCGGACACCAGGGGGTCCATGAGCATGGGCAGATAGGGCAGCAGAGAGCTCAGCCGCACGGGCACCGTGAGACACAGCTCCACGAAGAGGTCCTTCATGTGCTGCTTGTGCAGGCCGCTCTGCAGCATGTTCAGTCCTGGAAGGCGGGGGGCGGTGAGGGCCTGCCCCGGCGGGGGCGGTGGGTGCCAGCACCAGCGGGGGCGGTGAGGGCCTGCCCCGGCGGGGGCGGTGGGTGCCAACACCGGCGGGGGCGGTGAGTGCCAGCACCGGCGGGGGCGGTGAGGGCCTGCCCCGGCGGGGGCGGTGAGGGCCTGCCCCGGCAGGGGCGGTGGGTGCCAGCACCGGCGGGGGCGGTGAGGGCCTGCCCCGGCGGGGGCGGTGGGTGCCAGCACCGGCGGGGGCGGTGAGTGCCAGCCCCAGTGGGGGCGGTGGGTGCCAGCACCGGCAGCGCTCGCCGAGGGCAGGGTCCCGGGCCTGTGTCCCCTCTGCTCTGTCCCTGCATCTGTGAGCCCTCCTGTGGTAGCCACAACTACTAAGCTCCGTACGTAATATTAAATTTAAATATTATGTCCTTAAAATGTAAATAACACGGGCCAGTCCCGTGGCATAGTAATTAAGCCAATGCTGCAGTGCCAGCATCCCATAGAGGTGCCAGTTCAAGTTCCCATTGCTCCACATCTGATACAACTCCCTGCTGTGGCCTGGGAAAGCAGAAGATGGCCCAAGTGCTTGGATCCCTGCACCCACGTGGGAGACCCAGAAGAAGCTCCTGGCTTTGGTCTGGCCCAGCTCCTGCCATTGTAACCATCTGGAGAGTGAACCAGCAGACGGATGATCTCTCTGTCTCTCCCTCTAAGTCTGCCTCTCAAATAAATCTTTAAAAAATTTCAATGACATTATCAGTCATTTTTCAAAAACCACATTATGCTATTGATAAGCCCTATCTAAAGCACAGATGTCAATGGGATGCGTTCACGTCAAGGCCACAGTTGGCAAACTTCCTTCTTCGGGCCTCCAACAGAACATGGTTAAGGACCATGCTCTAACAACCATTTCTTTTTCAATTTGAGGGGTAGAGACACAGAGCCTGTGCCATCCACTGATGCACTCCCCCAACATCTCAAAGGTCAAAGCCAGGAGCCAAAACTCCACCTGGCTCTCCCACAGGTGGCAGGGACCCGACCACCTGAGGCATCCTGCTGCCTCCAGAGTCAGTACCAGCAAGGAGCTGAAATCGGGAGCTGGAGCCAGGGCTCAAATCCAAGTGTTCCAGTGTGGAACGTGGGTGTCCTAACCAGGACCTTAACTGCTAGGTCCCCTTTTGTCTGTTACAGGGAGGAGCCTCCTGGGAAAGCCAGCCCAGCCACCGCAGGACGATGAGCCACTGTCCCACTGAGGACCAAGAAACAACAGTGGGCACCGAACGAGGCACATCCGACGTGGCACAGGCCGCAGCAGAATGGCACAGAGCTCACCCGGCAGATATCACAAAGCACGAGGACCACACTCAGAACACAAAGGAGGAAACCGTGGTGAAGGGGCCCAGTGCCAAGCTGCCGGGAGAAGAACCCTGTTAACAGCCAGGAGGGGAGAGAGAAGCTGGGGACGTCAGCCAGCCTGGGGGCAGGGACGACTGCACGATGGGTTAGCATGGACACACAAAACTTCAGTCTCTTCCCAAGGGCTCATCTTAGAAAAATAAAACAAGAACCCTAGGCCAAAATTTCCAATCAGTTCACACCCGTGAATACTCCAGGGACCAAGCTGCCCTCGAACTGTGTGTCACTGAGAGCACTCCTGATCACAGGACTTCCAAGTTTCCAGCTGTACAAACTAGAAAACATAATCAGCTTTCCAGCCCACATTTTCCTTCTTTCTCCTTGTCTAGGCATTCCTGACCTGACCAAGCCCCTTTCTTTCTAGACTTGCTCACCCCACACCACAAAAAGGCAACCGCGCTGTAACTGGGGAAACCCACATCTCCCAAACCCCATTCCAGTCTGGGGAGGGAAGAAGCGCCCAGCCCACAGCCTTGGAAGAAGGGCAGGGAAGGCACCAGGGATGAACTCCGGCAATCCCCCGGCAGCCCTCGCACACTCACCTTGCAGGAGGTTGGGGAGGAGGGGCAGGAACTCCTGGTACAGGAGGTCGTGGCTGCCCCCGCCGATGGAGCGGAAGAGCGCCCGGAGCAGCAGGAAGTAGTTGTAGGGCTCCTTGGCTGTCTGTGCGAGCTCCATCGAGCTGTTCACAATCTTGTGCAGGTGAGGCTGTGGGGGGAGGAGACCAATCAGTGGACTCCAGATGAGGGTCCCCACCCGCACCTGGAGCAATCCACAGCTCCACCGCAACCCAACAACAAAGAAAACAATAAAGTAAGCCCCTCCCACCGTTTATTTACTCAGATTAACTTCTCCTGAAGGGCGCTGCTGGCTCCCAGCAGCTCGTCTGGGGGAGCAGCAGTGCACGGCCCCTGCCCACAGGAAGGGGTCAGCCGGCTGCACACGTCCAGCGCACACACGATCACTCCTGCAGGGAGCCACACAGGCAAGCCCGGTTCCTGTGACCACCTTCACGTGAGATGTACCTCAAGGAACTGAAATCTCTCTAGCAATCCAACCAAAGATCGTGTTTGCAAGACTCAAAAACAAAGCATTCACAGGGACCCTCCTTTAAAAAACCCACTTGTTAGTTCTTAAGGGGATTTAATCCACACTGTAAAGCGCGTTAGCTTTGCACTTCAAACGCCAGTCTTGGTTTTGACGTGTCGTGGGCTGTTTAGCCTGAAACCTTCCTGCACGCTTCCAAACTGCACTGTGTGTAGCATGATTACAGAATCCAGAGGTCATTCTATTCAACTGAAGTGCTATGACGGGGCCGGCGCTGTGGGACAGCGGCTGAGGGCCCCGACCTGCAGTGCCGGCACCCCGTATGGGCGTGCTGGAGTGCTTTTCTGGCACAGTATCCAGCAGGCTCGCCTCTCAGCGCGTCCTGTTTGGGTTTGTTCTGTTTCCTCTGTGCTGTCCTGCAGTGCTGGCAAGAGGCGTCCCGTCCTTAACTTCTATGCTGTCACAGACTCCGTGTAAGCTTGCCGGTAACTGAACGAGGGCCGGCCCCGGCACCAACCACCACCTGCACACTGCCCCCAGAAACAGCAGATCCTGCTGCGCCCTCACTCTTCCCAGGGGAAACGTCTCCTCAGACCCCAGTGGGGACAACATCCAGCTTGCTGCAGGAAGTAAAACATCGTGCCTTAAGAGGGCGTGAATTTTGGCGAGGTTTTGTTCTGCCACCTGCTGCTCCAGGCAGGTTTTAGACATTTGCTAGATTCAAGTTAACTGGTGAGATCCAACTAGGCGAGATTCGTGATCTCTGGGAATGTGTGGGGAGCAGCCCGGACTGGACTGAGTTACTGGAATTAAGACTTATTCTATGCATCTGCTCTCCCACAATATGGCGCTGGGAGAGAAGTAAACAGCTTCCGCACAGCTGCCTCCAGTTCAGCTAATAAACTGTAGGACTTGCTCCTGATTGGAGGAGAGCAGCGTACTCGGCGTGTGGGCAGCCGAGTTAGGATTGGCGGAGGAGGACTATAAAGGAGGAGAGAGACAGCATGCACCAGGAACATCTATGGGGAACATCTAAGGGGAACATCTGAAGGAACGCCTGTGCAGCCCCCGAGAGAGCCGGCCGGCGGTGTGCCGCTCCCCTGCGGAAGTGGGGAATGTGGCCGGGGGAACTGCCCTTCCACGGAGGTGGAAGGGATAGTAGCCAACCCGGGAAGAACCAGCAGCAAACCCGGGGAGGGCCGAGCAGACGAAAGAACAGCGCAGGGTCCTGTGTCGTTCCTCCACGAAGAGGGGGAGCGACATAATGGTGCCGTGACTCGGATAGGAAACCTAGGACGGATAGGAAACTTAGGAGGGAAGAAACGGGAAGAACTGGGAAAATATCGGAGAGAGAGACTAGCAAACAGCCTAGGGAAAAGCTGGACGAAAAAGGTGCCGGAAGAAGCTATTGAAAGCCTAGGCATAGACTCAGATACGGACTACGGGGGGAAGCTGGGAGAAATCTCTAAGGTCGAAAGCAAAAGTGAAAGCTAGAACAAACAGACTCGGATGCGGACTGTGGGGAGAGGCCAGGAGAAATGAGGGAGGAGTATTGTTGGAGGAAAGCTTGGGGAAACATACCGGGTAGAGAAAAATGTTAGGGAAATTGAAGCCGCGGGGGGGCAGGCCAAGGCGGAAACGAAAGCCACTTTGGGATTCTCAAGTTAGCCCGGGAATAGGGGGCGAAAAGTTGAAACCAGAAGCTGAAACGTAAGCCAGATTGGGATCCGTCTGATTAGCCCGGGGAGCAAAGGACGGGAAGCCAAACCGTGGGGCGGAGACGTATGCTGGGTTGAATTTGCCAGGCTAGCCCGGGGAACTTGGATTGAATGCTAGTGGTGGAGACGCAAGTGACGCTGTGTGACTCGCGGAGGCTGCCGTGCGCAGACAGAGCGTGCGGGGCTCAAGTACATAGGGAACGCAGGGCTAGCGCAGAGACCACGGAGCGTGCGCGCAGAGCCTGGAACCCGCCGGCGGGGCGAGGCGCCGGGAAGCCGCGCAGAGCCGTGAAGCTGCCGCGGGGCGAGGTGCCGAGAAGCAGCCTCGGGGCGAGCGCCGCCGGGAAGCCGCAGGGATAAGAGAAATAGAAGTTTAGAAGTAAAGTGAGAGAAATAGGAATGCTGGAAGATAGAAGTAAAATGGGAGAAATAGGAATGCCCGGAGATAGAGAAATAGAGAAATAGAAAGGCCTCCCCTCAACATGGCAATGAGAAAGCTTGGATTCGGTCTGCCTGATTAAGTGAGGCGATGAGCACCTGCGGCGGCTAGCAGCTTATGAGCCGCAGGTCACCGAAGACAGGCACGAATTAACATCAGTAAGGCTTCCCCACAATACAACAATTAGGAGGCTTGGATTCGGTCTGCCTGATTAAGGCGGTAAGCACCAGCAAGCAGCTCGACCAGAGTATGAGCTGCAGGTCACCGAAGATAGGCACGAACCAACACTAATAAGTCTCCCCCACAATACGGCAATGAGAAAGCTTGGATTCGGTCTGCCTGATTAAGGCGGTAAGCGCCAGCAGGCGGCTCGACCAAAGTATGAGCCGCAGGTCACCGAACACAGGCACGCATCAGCGCCTAAAAACCTCCTCACAACATGGCGAAGAGAGGACCCGGATTCGGTTTGCCTGATTGATAGGACTTGTAAGAACCTGTGGCAACTCTAGCAAGTAGAGCAGAGTGTGTGCCATGGGGCACCGAAGACAGGCGCGTATCAACGCCAAAAAATAAAAAGAAAGGGGGATCTGTGGGGAGCAGCCCAGACTGGACTGAGTTACTGGAATTAAGACTTATTCTATGCATCTGCTCTCCCACAATATGGTGCTGGGAGAGAAGTAAACAGCTTCCGCACAGCTGCCTCCAGTTCAACCAATAAACTGTAGGACTTGCTCCTGATTGGAGGAGAGCAGCGTACTCGGCGTGTGGGCAGCCGAGTTAGGATTGGCGGAGGAGGACTATAAAGGAGGAGAGAGACGGCATGCACCAGGAACATCTACGGGGAACATCTAAGGGAACCCGTGCAGCCCCCGAGAAGAGCCGGCCGGCGGTGTGCCGCTCCCCTGCGGAAGTGGGGAAAGTGGCCAGGGGGAACTGCCCTTCCACGGAGGTGGAAGGGATAGTAGCCGACCCGGGAAGAACCAGCAGCAAACCCGGGGAGGGCCGAGCAGACGAAAGAACAGCGCAGGGTCCTGTGTCGTTCCTCCACGAAGAGGGGGAGCGACAGGAATGTGTGGCGAGACAGTTCCTCCACGGTGGTGATAAAGGAACACAAGCTGGATCTGACATGGAAGAGCAAGGAAAGGCTCCTGAAACACACTGCTGCTCACGGTCGGAGTGGGCACCAAGACGAGGGCCTCTGCTCCTTCCGTGTCCTTTGCTTCACTTCACTTTAAAACCAGCAAGGACGATCAAGGTGCTCCCGCCTTGGGGGGTCCACAGGAAGAGACTAACGGTGGCACCACCAGTCACAACGCGCCCGCTCACCAAGCGGCCGACCAGACAAACTGGGTACTCGGCCAGTTTCCACTCAAAGTGACAACCCAATCTGACGACAAACCCTGAACACACGGCTCCCAACAGGGAGCCAGCCTTACCTTCAGCATCTGCTCGTTTTCAGCTGCGAAGAGGGAGACGGAGCCGAAGACCAGTTTAAACAGCTTGAGGTACAGGTTGGAGAGCTCCACGTTGGAGCCCATCTCCGGCAGCCGATCCAGGAGATACTCCACCAGAATTGTGGCGAACAGCGCCGAGGTAGTGGGATTGGCCAGGAAGGAATTGGCAACAATCTGTCAAAACAAGAGCTGCGTGGGACTCACGGCATCGGCATCCCTCCCCCAACACGCGACACCGACCCCCAGTCAGGCACCGCTAGGCAATTAATCATCCACCTAGGAGGGAGCAAACACCACCGGTTTGCTGAGCTCTGAGCAGAGCTGCAAGCGCTGGCTGCGATTTCGTCCTGGCCACCGACGACGAGGAGCCTGCGTTTACGCACGCTTCATTTCTGCACAGGGAGGGGGACACCTCCAAGCGCGTGTCCCGGCCACTTCCCTAGATTCTGCTCTACAGGCACGCTTCCGCAACGCTGTTGTTAACATCTCCAAAATGAAGGCGGCCACGCAGCCAGCAGACAGACGAGGACGGTGCCCGCACCTGCAGAGCGTAGTTCTTCGCGATCCTCTCCACCATGTACGGGACCGTGGTCTGGAAGATCTCCTTGAACGTCAGGGGATTCATCATGGTGAAGACGCCGGCGAAGTGCTCCAGCACCTCCTTCTCCTCCTTCATGCGCACCGTCTGGCAGTTGGCGACGCGGATGTAGGTCTGGCCGCTGCCTGCGATCTGGACCTGGTGTGGGGGAAGCACCGCGGGTGTCAGAGCGCAGGCCCTGTGCAGACACTGCCACCGCTCACGTCACTCAACACGGCCCTCGAACTTAATAAAGCATCCTCCCATCTTTTCAATTCATTTTTCTCATCGTAATTGTAGAAAAGGATATTTTTTAAAAAGTCTTCACTAGGAAAAAAACTTAGCAGACCTCAATTCTGTTTCTACTGCATTCCACGTCTGCCACCTGCACCACAAAACGCACCAGCTGCGACTGTCCCCGGTCAGAATGCTCAGCACGAACGCAAGGCTAGGCTGCCGGGCGCAGGCACAGGGCCGGCGCCTCTGGTTCCAAGTGGCATCCTCCCACTTCCCGGAGGGCACACGCCCTTACCTGATAAATATCCAAAGCCTGCATGGCGTATTTCACGAGCTTGATGTAGATCTGTGTTTCCTTGGGCTGCAGCTGCTTGTTGGGGATGAACTGAGCTTCTGGAAGAGAGGGAGCACGTGAGCCGTGGGCCAGGCCCCTGCCCGAGAAGCCGCTCCCACGAGGCACGAGGGGGAATTACCACCGGGCGCTTTGCAGGACGTGATGCCCCACGTGATGGTCTTGACGCCACACACCAGCGTCTTCACCAAGCTCCGGCAGTCCGTGACCTGGAACGTCTGCTTGTCTTCCTTATCCTTTTCTCCTTGCTTCTCAAAGGGCGGCACAGGGGCCGGGGTCACTGGGGTCACTGGGGTCGCTGGGGTGGGGGGTGGGGGCGGGGCCGGGGTGGGCACAGGGGCGGGAGAGGGGGTGGGGCCCGGGGCCGCGGGGGCCGTGGGCACCCCAGGCAGGGCTGCTTCCACAGCTCCCAGTTCCGACTGAGGCTTGCACTTCTTGAAAATGGCAGAGAGCTGGTACCGAGCAATGGTGTGGAATTTGAGGACAAAAACCTGATGGGAAGAGAAGAGAAGGTCGAGGAGGGAAGACAGAAATGAGAGGTCACTCCTGTTCTAAGAGGCGGGAAGGCGCACAAGGGGAAGCAGATGAACAGTGCCCTCACCCCGTCCTGTCTCCACCTCTGCCTCGGGGGAGGGGGCGACGGCCAGGTGGGCAGGCGTGGGTTCCACCCAGGCCACAGACCTCGCCCAGGCACCCACCCAGGGTCTCCCTCGAGGTGTCCACAGCCGAGTGAGCGCTTGGCCACGGTGCCTGGAAAGAACTCTTCCAACCAGTCACGGGCGGAAGTGAGCCAGGCGCTTCCACAGGGGACTTTTCCCAGTGCGCCCGGCACTCGGGGGAGCAGACACTGATGACCCATGCGTACGGGCTGCCGCGGCAGGCACAGCAGGGCACTCACTGGCTGGGCTGCACGCGGCTGGCTAACCGCGGCCCGGCAAGCTCAGTGCCGGCGAGGAGGGGCGGGGCGCACCTCGAGCATGCGCATCAGCACGTCCCTGCCGTTGCCGCTCTCCTGCTCGCTCTTGGAGCGGATGCAGTCCACCAGGTTCAGCAGGAGCTTGCAGGACATGGTCTGGATGCTGCTGGGCAGGGACTCATCGTCGATGTTCTTGGCAAAGAGCTGGACGGCGAGGGAGAGGTCGCTGAGGGGCAGGTGCTGGCGGACGTGGTGCACGAGGTCAGCCAGCGTGCTGTAGGCGAGCGGCCTGCGGGCAGAGACCCCCCGCACTCAGCCCACCGCAGGGAGGCACAGCCACGGGGGCGCGCTGTACACGGGCACCGTGCCCCCACGTCACCCTCCAGGTCCCCCACTTCCCAGCTTACGAGGCCGACTTCGAGTGTGTCACACAGGCCCTGACCGTCGGCAGCGGGATCGTGCGCTGGACGGGTTTTGGAGCTCACAACAGTCTGTGTCCACAGACTGGTCACTCGGGCGACGCTAACGTGCAGGCTGCTAGTTCTTCCACTAAACAGGTGGACGTGTGCCACGTGCCAGACCCTGGGCTAAACACCAGGCCCCCCAGTGACCACAGTTAACAGAGCCCCTGCCCTCACGAGACTTACTTACGGGAGGGGAGCACGTAAGAAAGAAGTTACGCATGTTGGCAAGAGCCCAAGCAGATGGGACGAGGGCAGGGTGAGCTACACCTGTGGGGTCTCCTTGAGGACAAAAAGGAACCAGGAGGCAAAAACACAGAGAAATTTCCAGATGGGGCAATGGGAGAAGACACAGGCCCTGAGGGAAGCTGCCCGGAACAGCTGAGTAGCGCAGGGCCAGGACGGCTGCGGCAGGTCAGAGAGGGGCAGCAACACTGGCAGATGCAGGACGGGAGGCAGAGCTGACCCACACAGACACTTCTGTGCCGGGGTCGAGTCTGCGTTTTGTCGAAGGGCAATGGGGAGGCACTGAGGGTTTCAAAAGGAGCCACAGGATCTGATGTCTGATTCTAGGCAGGCCCAGCTCCCAGGGCTCACGTGGTCTCACTTGATATTTTCTAGCAATATTTTGATACAGAATACAGTGTGTCCATCCAGAGCGCCCTGTGCATTCTTCAAAAGACCCATCATACCTCCCCACTAGGAGCAAAAGTTGACAAACACTGATGCACTTTACATTTAAAGGCCACGAAATACTAACTCCCTCCTTTAGCAAGGATAACTCGTCACGTTTTCGTAAGTGCAAGCAACAAAAGAAATGCTCTAAAATATCAGCGACGTCGGGTGAGCTCCCTGTGCGACAGCAGAAATACTTCAAAATATCCCCGGCGTCACGTGAGCTCCCTGTGCAGGGCCCACAGGCTTTCCCCCGCTATTTCTTAGCAGATTAGCTAATATTCTTTACCCTTTTTTATTGCTGGAAAGGCACAGTTAGAGAAGGAGAGACAGAGAAATAGAGGTCAGCTCTCCACCCACTGGTCCATTCCCCAGACGGCCGCAATGGCCGCGGCTGGGCCAGGTCAAAGCCAACAGCCTGGAAATCAGGGCCTGCACTTTGGCGTAGCAGGTAAAGCCACCGCCTGCAATGCCAGCATCCCATACAGGCACTGGTCTGTGTCCCGACTGCTCCACTGCCAATCTAGCTCTCTGTTAACGGGCTGGGAAAAGCAGGGAGGATGGCCCTAGAGTTTGCGACCCTGACACCCAGGTGGGAGACCTGGAAGAAGCTCCTGGCTCCAACTCTGGTCTGGTCCAGACCAGGCCACTGGGGCTATCTAGGGAGCAAACCGGCAGATAGAAGACCTAACTCTTTCAAATAAAATTTTTTTAAATCTTACAAAAAAAAAAAGGCAGAGAGCCCGGAAATCCATCCAGGTCTCCCATGTGGCTGACAGAGATCCAAGCACACGAGCAGGAAGTGGAGCCGCTGAGACCCAAACCGGCATTCCCATGAGCGGACAACTTCACAGCCACAGGCTCAACCTGCTGCACCACACCAACGCCTAGATTATCAAATAGTCTTAAACCAGATCGTCAAATACTCTGACAAAATACAATCTGCTACATGGAAAGCCAAAAAAAAAAAAAGAAAGAAAGAAAAAACTAGTAAAGTTCTTACCTACAATTCAAAACAAAACAGTTATTCTGGCTTCTTCCTTTAAGCTACGACACAAGAAGCAAGCTAAGGCCTTTCCAGACAGCCCGCCATCCTAACTCCACGCTTCTTTGAAGGCTCAGCACGTTACAAGCTGGCGGTCGCCGCCCAGCGCCTGAGCACCCAACGTCCAGCCCAGCCTCGTACCTTAGCGTCTCCCGAGCCGTGTACCCCGAGCCGATGAGAATGGACTCATCAAACAGCTTGTCCATGCAGGGGATGAACTCTGCAAGGCAAAGGTCCACACGCAGGTCACTCACAGCCAAGCACCGGGCCCCGCACAGCAGAGGGGACACCAGGAAGGTCACGTGCTCAGTCTAGGACAGTGGCGAGAACGGGCTGAGAGCTGACACTAACACGCCACTGCTGTGAACGCGTCATTCTGTCTGAAGGGCTGCTCCCACCCACCCACCCTGAGACACGGGGTGCACCTCCGGAAGGCGACCCCTGGCGGTGTCACAGCTTGGCACTCTGAGCAAACAAGGTCTCCCAGGTCCACTACAGAGGTGGAGCAAGCGGCACCGTGTTCTCACAGGCACGGCTCCTGGCCCACTAGCCTGTCACGGGACTCCCTCCTGCTTCAGTTCCGCGGGTGGAGCCATCGCCAAGCTCTGCTGCTCCCTACGTGCCTGACCCTAATCAGAGTCCTGCGCAGTGGCCACCACGTAGGGACGACCCCCATTTCTGAGGCTGTGCGGCAGGGTGGAGACGGTGTTCCCTGAGCCCCGTCCTCACCTCCTCTCAGGGAACTCTAGCCACACACACTCAAAGGGACATTCAGACTCTGGCGCAGGCCTGACCAGTGGGTCAGATGAAGCCTGTTTTCACCAGCAAATGGCCACTGAGGGCCAGACACTGAGAGACCCAGGGCGCACCCTGCTGACCTCTGGAGGAAGGAGCCCAAGGAGAGCAGCCGCCAGCAGCCCCCGCGGTCAGAGGCAGGGGCCCGCCGGGACTGTCCTCAGTGAGGCGCCCAGGGATTGAGAAGAGGCATAGAAGCTACTTAGCAACCACGCCATGCCACGGCACGGGCCGGCACAGAGCCAGGCCCAGGGAGAAAGTACAAGAAACTCTACGGGTTTCTGAACGCCCTCCATGACCCCACAGCAGCAGCCCGGGAAATGTGACCTCTGGCTGGTTTTCTCAGAGCTTGGGCAAACACTTCACCACCTGGCGTCATTTCAGATGCCACAAGGGTGAGGCTAAGAGGCGATGCTGGCATATGTGGGCATTTGAACCAGGACATGCGTTTTATATACTTTACAATGATTATGGCTGATAGTTAACACTGAAGTTTCCTAAGTTCCCTTCAATCAAAACTTGGAGATCTGATGTTTGTTACCTGCTTGAACCCACAAAATACTACGAGCTTCAAAATAGGAGTCCTCCATTAAAGGGACCCCAGTAAGGAAGACTCTGAGAGCGGAAGTCAACAAGTCTGAGGTGCAAGCCTGGGCCCTCCCCAGCACTCCTGGCAAGCAGGTGTCCACCGCCAAAGAAGCCGTCAAAAGGTCCAAGTGCACAATATGGACCGAGGGCAGCCGGGAACAAAGTGTCTGACGTCAGCACGCAGCGGGTGCCAATGCCCAGGGCCATGGAAGCATCGCCCCTGGCAGGGGTCCTGAGAGGTGATCTGAGAACAGCACCCGAGTGCGACTCCCTCACTCCAGTGAGCAGATTAAGAAACGTGCCACTTAGAACCCTTCTGCTTGGCGCCGCTCGGAGGGGAAACTGGCCCAGCACAGGCAGCGCCGCTGAGCCACCCCGGAGCTGCGCAGGGACTGAGGCTCTGGCCCCAGCCTGGCGGGGCTTGAGCAGGGCGGCGCTGGCCTCCTGGATGACATCCTTCTGCGGTGCACTCTGCTCTGGGGCTGCGTTTCTACACAGGGCTTTCAAACTGTTCCTCTGGGATTCCAGCTACAGCACACGGACACTTGAGACAGCTGTACTAGCGCGAGCCTGTATCCTTCCTGCGGAAGGAAGCCCAGTCTCAGTTCTACATTCGCTCCGATTTACAGCCCAGTCCTCGCGTTGCAATGCAACACGTAAATACAGAAACTTACTCCGAAAAACGATTATCATCCGTAAACAATTAGATGCAACTCCAACTAACAGTCTGGACATATCAAATAGGCAAGATTATTTAAAATTAGCAATCAATGCTGATTTGAGAAAAAGCCTAAGTATTCTGTTTTTATGCCCAAGGATCAGCCCTGTGCATAAATACAGAACCAGCCCATCACTTCCACAGCACGGAGAATGAACTCACTGCTTCATGCTCACCTTGAGGGGACCGAGCAGAGATTTTTGCAATTTCAAAAGATGTGCAGGCAAAAGGCAGACAAGTGCTAACGCCAGAACTTGAGTTGTACTAAGGAAGCTAGATTAACTGTTTTAATTTAATTATGAGAGTGTTGAGAAGTGAATCCTGGTGCCAGGCAAGAGGAAGCAAGCAAAGGAAGAGGGAGGCCTGGGCAGGGGGCAGGTATAGAGGCCGAGAGGGGAAAGAGGCAGCCCCAGGGGAAGACCCGGGGAGCCTGCGCCCCACACCCACACCAGCCCCCGACGAGGCCGACGTACGGTTCCTCAGCTCTGTGGTGAGGATGTGCTTGGCGGCAATCAGCAGCTCCTTCCGGAGGTGCGCCGTCTCCGCTGGACAATTGGAAAGCAGCTGCAGCATGCCTTTCACCATCTGCTGCGAGTACTTGGTCACCAGCTCCTGTGAACAGAGTGACAGGTGCAGGGCACAGCTCGCCCCCAGCAAGAGCCTACCAGACGAGAGCCGGCGGCTTTAACCATGCACACACGCACTGCCACGCTGGGAGAGACGCACGCCACCACAAGCAGCCGTTTCTTTCACACAGCCTGTGTGTGGATGTTTACACTTCTGTAGTGCATGCAAGTTGTCAGCAATGCCCTTTACGCAGTCACCTCACTGATCTAAGCTGTGGGCGACCCCAGAGACAATGCTAACAGACCGGGTCATGCGAGTCCCCAAGGTAACACAGGCTGGCTAGCATACCAAGGGGAATCTAGACATTTCAGCATTGGCTTTGAAGGGACCAAACGAGCACCGTGAGCGCACACCCACACCTCCTGCTGCACTCCCAGCTGCCCTGAACAGCAGGTCTCCCACAGGGAGGCAGGAACTCAGCGGCCTGCACCATTACTGCTGCCTCCCAGCGTGCGCCCCGGCAGGAAGCTGGAGGCAGGAGCCAGAGCTGGGGCTGAACCCAAGAACTGCTGGGGTGCAGGCAGCTTACCCACTGGGCCAAATGCCCACTCCCTAACTGAGACTTTTCTTACCAACGCTCTCATTTCTCAGTATATGTTCATTACCCTTACCTAAATACATTCAGGGAGGGTCGGGGAGGACGGGTAGGTCAGAGACTGTCAAACAGTTTTGTGGGTTTTGTCCAAACGTGGTTTCTACTTCTAGCGTGTGTAGGTTTTCACTTCTGTTCTATGATATTCTGCATCAGGCACAACAGCTGGGCAGAAAACCAGTCAGCGCTGTGCAGAGACTGGGCAGAGCAGCAGCTGACAGGTGCGTTCAGGCAGGGTGGGCACCCTCTACTGCGAAGGGCCGGTGCTCCCGACGATAAGCACCTGTGAACCCAGACGTCCACACCCGCCACAGGTGAACTTCACCACACAGAAGCTAACTCAGGAAACGTGACACCAAACAAAGTGCACGAACGTACCTGGTAAATTCTGATGATGTAAGCTAAAAACGACAGTGTTTTAATCTGGGCAGCGATGAAGTCAGCATACAGCTCCTTGTTGTAAAGCTTATGCTGCCTGAACGAGAACGGAACAGGGGTCAAGGAGGAGCGCCCACCCTGCAGGCGCCATCAGAGCTCCCAGTCGCCTACACCCACAATGAAATCCCAGGCTCACAGGAGCTCTCGAGACCAGGGCACCACAGCAGCACACCCGTGTGCAGTCCCAAAGAACTTAACGGGTTGAAGAGCCAAAACCGAACAGTTCGCCAAACCATTCCTCAGCGGCCACACAGCACGCGCCTGTCCCTGCAGAGCCAGAGCCGCAGGATCCAGTGCGACCCAGGAAGGGCGGACGGCCTGCGGGCGGTCAGAGGGGCCTCCTCCGCAGATCCTGGCCTAAGGGACTCAGTGGGACGGTCTGACACACACCATCGGCCTGCTCAGAAGTCCGGGGGACAGGGAAGGGCACGCATCTAGCCCTCCAGCAGGAAGGGTAGGCAGGAACAAGGCTGTGACCCGAGAGCAGCTGGCGGGCCCAGGGCTAAGAGCGGGCACAGTGATGCCTCGTGAAACGTCTACACTTACACGCTCCACACCCCAACCCGGGACCCCATCTCATCTCCCCAGAGTAAGGAACTCAAGCAACCACAATCACTGACACCGAGCGCCAAAGGGCAGACGTGTGTGATTGTCACAGACGCTAACACCGCTGGTTTTCGTGAGTTAAGAATGGTGACAGCCCGTGTGCTAGTACTTGGAGTCAAAGCGCTGGCAGCCAGCCGTGTTGCTGTCCGCAGAAGTCTCACCTGGCTTGCGCAGATACCTGAATCGCAATGGTATTCATGATCAGAGGCACAAATTCAGCAACAACGTTGTGGATGTTCAGTTTGTAGAGCTGAAAGCAAACACAGCAGATGGCCAGGCTGGTGCACTCCACCAGTCACAGTCCTCGGGGTCAGGGGACTGCAGGGTTCAGGACTTCGGTCAGCCTGCGTCTCACGCACACCCTCCGCCGGGGAGAATTAGAGGGGAACGCTGTCAGAGTCAGCCGCAGAAAGGTTAGGAAACCAACGGGCAACACGCTTACCTGGTACATTAAGACAACAATGATGGGCAACTCGGCCAACACTTTCAGGGACAGCGAGCCTCTGGGAATGATGGAGTGCTGTGGACACAAGCAGAGAGGCCACAGTCAGCGCTGTGCGGACCTCGGGCCCCTGCCGCCCGCCCCAAACTGAGCACAAGGCTAATATGGACGCCTGTACAAGGCCTCAGCTATTCTGAAAACAAAAGTGCACACAGCTCTCACCTGACAGAAGGGTTTTTATATTTTCCAACACAATCACTGACAGTAAACACTTCAGGAAGAATTTAAAAATTATCACCTATTATCCTGCTTAGAAGAACAGCAGAAAAGTACAGTTACCCAGCAGTTTCATTCAAAGACATTTCATGGCTTATCGTAAAACAGGGCCTGCTGATGGCTGGTGGTTACCAGCTACAAGCCACTGTGAATTCACAGGTCCAGTGAGTGAGAAAACTGAATAGCTTTAACGGATAAGGACTCAGGGGCCAGCCCTGGGGCCAAGCGGGTAAAGACGCTGCCTGCAGTGCCGCCATCCCATATGGGCACCAGTTCGAGTCCCGGCTGCTCCACTTGCAATCCAGCTCTCTGCTATAGCCTGGGAAAGGAGAAGATGGCCCAAGTCCTTGGGCCCCTGCACCCACGTGGAAGACCGGAAGAAGCTCTTGGCTCCAGATCAGCGCAGCTCCGACCTTTGTGGCCAATTGGGGAGTGAACCAGCGAATGCAAGACCTCCCTCTCTCTCTCTCTGCCTCTCCTTCTCTGTGTAACTATTTCAAATGAATAAATAAATCTTTAAAAAATAATAAATGAGGCTGATGCCGCAGCTCACTAGGCTAATCCTCCGCCTATGGTGCTGGCACCCCGGGTTCTAGTCCCAGTCGGGGCACCGGATTCTGTCCCGGTTGCTCCTCTTCCAGTCCAGCTCTCTGCTTGGCCTGGGAAGGCAGTGGAGGATGGCCCAAGTGCTTGGGCCCCTGCATCAGCATGGGAGTCCAGGAGAAGCACCTGGCTTCTGGCTTCGGATTGGCACAGCAAGCCGGCCGTAGTGGCCATTTGGGGGATGAACCAACGGGAGGAAGACCTTTCTCTCTGTCTCTCTCTCTCCCACTAACTCTGCCTGTCAAAAAATAAATAAATAAGTAATAGATGAGGACTCCAAAGAAAAACGTCACATTCAAAATACAAATGGGCAATGGCTGTGAACAGGGGAAAAAACAGAAAGGAATGGCTCACAGAAACCAAGTACCTAATTCAAAACCTGCCAGGAGAGCAGAGGAACTGAGGTTCCAACTTCATCCTAGCACAGACACTGCACGTGCAGCCACGCGATCAAACAGCTTTACGTCCGCACAGCGAAGTGGGTCACAGAGAACGGCCAACAGCTGCGGCCCCTCAGGCGCACCTCCCGCGGACAGCAGCAGCGTCCCCTCTGCAAACCCCACCGACGGGCTCCCAGAGCAGGAGGGGAGAATCAAGGCCAGAAGGACGACCGTGGGACTTTCCTCAGCCCGAGAACCCGAGCGCTGAGGCTGGGACGTGCCTGAGCCACTGAGCGCCATGTTATCTGCGGTTCCCAGGGACCTCGTCAACGTCCAGACAGTCCACATTAACGACAGAAGTGCCTAGGGCGCCCACACTGCCATCTCCACATCCTGGCACCAAGGGTGCCGGGAGTGCCGGTCACACAGCAGAGTGCCGCTCGGCCAGACACACACACTGCCTCACTCACCCAACGCTGCCAGCACTCGAAGGAAGAACTCGGGAGGGCTACAGTCTCATTTCCCCCACGGAGGAGGGGGTCCAGCAGAGCCGGACGACCGCACTCACCGTGCGCGTCTCGCTGTCCTCACGCTCGGGGCTGACCTTCACGGCGATTGTTGTGATCATGCCAACCATTTCTGGGGGAGGGACTGTGTTCTCGGGGATCACCTGCGGGTTCTCAAAGTAGCGGTTCTGCGTGGAGAGAGAAGGTCACGCTACAGCTACACGCCACTCCTCACGGAAACCTGCTGACGCCGGGTGGAAGGAACCAAAACGCTCCACCTGCTTCTGCACCTTGGGCTCAAGCCCCCAAGTGCAAGCCGGCGCACACACGGGGCTCCCTCCTTTCTCAAGCCACAAACCCAACTCCTCCGACGCAGGGCAAAGACTCACTTGGTATAGTCCCTACTCCTTCCTCCCTGGCCAGTAAGCTCAAGCACACGCTACAGTCCATTCCTGCCCCAAGGAGGCAGCACGGGACCCACTCCGCCCCGCTGGCAGCACCTCCCACCCTTCAGTCTCCCCAGAGTGGAGCCCACTGCCATCTCCCTCCCAGAATTTGGCATTCACATGAGACAAGACAGCTTCCTAGACAAAGCAGAGCATAGAAACAGCAGGCATGCCAAGCCAAGGTGAAGCAAAGCGGCAAATTTTCAATTTTACCCACTTTGACCAGACTCAAATACTTAAAATATAAAAAGAACCAGGGACTACACTGAGGCGTGAGGGGTTAAGCCGCCACTGCAATGCCAGCATCCCATATGGGCACCAGTTCGAGTCCCGGCTGCTCCCTTTCTGATTCAGCTCCCTGCTATGGCCTGGGAAAGCAGTGGAGAATGGCCCAAGTGCTTGGGCCCCTGTACCCATGTGGGATACCAAAACAAACTCCTGGTTCTTGGCTTCAGCCTGGCCCAGTCCTGGTTGGTAAACCAGCTGATGGAAGATCTCTGTTTCTCCCTCCCTCTCTCCCCATAACTGCCTTTCATGTAAATAAAAATAAACCTTAAAAAGACACATATAGTGGCCGGCGCTGTGGCACTGCAGGTTATCACCCTGCCCTGAAGCACCGGCATCCCATATGGGCACTAGTTCGAGCCCCGGCTATTCCACTTCCGATCCAGCTCTCTGCTGTGGCCTGGGAAATCAGTGGAAGATGGCCCAAGTCCTTGGGCCCCTGCACCCGTGTGGGAGACCCGGAGGAAGCTCCTGGCTCCATGCAGCTCCAGTCATTTCAGCCAATTGGGGCATGAACCATCAGATGGAAGACCCCTCTCTCTTCTCTCTCTCTGCCTCTCCTCTCTCTGTGCAACTCTGACTTTGAAATAAATAAATCTTAAAAATATATATATACATATATACACACAAACACCAAAGAACCAACCTTGTGAACTTAAAAAATTGTTTTAAGTTTAATAAGAAACCTTATTTAAAAGCCAACATAAAAATGGATTTAGGCACAGTAATATTTACCAAAGCATTATTTGTGGTAGTAAAAAAAAAAAAATCAAAAATCAGAATAGCCACTAACAGGCAAACAGTCAAGGGCTATGCATGTGACAGAAAATTCTGTGGCCACTGAAGATCACAGCTGCCAGTCTACGGAGAAGAGGTTCCAAGCTGCGACGCTGGCATCTCCTGAGTGACAGCAAGGGGGAGGGGCTCTCCTCCTCTGCACACACCTGTGTGCTGTGGGCACTGCTTGTGCTGAGTTCTTAGCAACAGCAGAGGATAAGGAATCATGCTGAAAACATACAGCACCTGCCCAGAAGGCCTCAGCACTGTGAGCTGACAACCACCCACCTTCCCAGGAAACACCGCAAAGCCCTCTGGGACACTCCCCCTCCCCCTCCCCCTCCCCGCGGGCACTGCACGGAGCAGGCGTGAGAGAAAAAGCTGTCCCCTGCACCACAGACAGGCACCGCACACCTGAGGGTGTGCGTTCTAGCTGGGACGGACATCCTTGTACACCTGTGCAGACAGGTTGGTTAACTGAAACGTACTTCAGAAAGAGGGAAAGCCTATAAACAAACTGATTTATAAGCTAAAAAAAATAAAATGTACAAAACCAAACCTCAAAGTTAGTGTTCAATTACAAGTAAGGACTTATGGGTGGTTACTGTTGCCTTTTTTCAAAATTTCTACAATAAGAATATAATGCATTTATGTAAAAAGATTATTTAAACTAACAGGAAACCAAAACTGAATGGCAGGTTTATCAGCAATGTTAACAATCACTAACATTCATCATCCTAAAGGTAACATCCTCTCTAAGTATTTCTACAACCACTGGTCCAAGTTCCCTGGGAAAGCAGGCAAGTGTAACGGACTCAAACTGCAGTAAAACGTACCACAACTTTCGGGAGCTCCTTGTATATCTGCTTCACGAAATCCAAAAAATGATGTATCTGAAGACAAAACAAAACAGACACTTTGATTTCAGAAGCCGGATGCTTACAGACATGAAGATGTTACAAGGCTTAATACCCACATGGGAGACCCAGAAGAAGCTTCTGGGTCCAGAGCAGCCCAGCTCTGGACACTGTGGCCATTTGGGGAGTGACAGCGGACAGAAGACCTCTCTCTCTCTCTCTGTCTCTCTCTCTGTAACTCTACCTCTCAAATAAATAAATAAAATCTTAAAAAAAAAAATTAGCTTTATAAGGAACTTTTTATGCACAAAGAAGAGATTAAGAAATGCAAAGGCTAGCTGCCTGGTTTGATCAGTTTATACCACATATATGTATATATATATATACACACACACATATATGAAAATTACTGCACCACAATCCATAAAAATGAAAATATTATATCAAAAATGGTTTAAAAAATTAAGAAAAAACAAAAAAATTTATGACTGAGAAAATGCTTAGGGGGCCAGCGCTGTGGCACAGTGGGTTAAAGCCCTGGCCAGCAGTGCCAGCACTGCATGTGGAAACCGGTTCAAGTCCTGGCCGCTCCACTTCCAATCCAATTTCCCTGATGTGCCTGGGAAAGCAACGGAAGATGGCCCAAATGCTTGGGCCCCTGCAACCGTAAGGGAGACCCAGAAGAGGCTCCTGTCTCCTGGCTTCAGAATGGCTCAGCTTCAGCCATGGCGGCCATTCAGGGAGTGAACCAGTGGATGGAAGTGGATGGAAGACCTATTTCTAACTCTGTCTTTGAAATAAATAATCCTTTTTTAAAAGAAGTGTATTCATTTAAAAAAAAAAAAAAAAGAAAGAAAATGCTCACACACAATGTGAAGGGAAATGATTAGGATATAAAATGTTGAATACTGTACAGTATGAGAATTATGTAAAAAATATTACATATTTTAAAGTGAGAGAAAAGGAGGCAAATCACCAATACACTAAACGTTGTTTTTACGGTGGTAGGAACCCTATTTCATCTCTCTGCTCTTTATGTTCCCAGGGCCTCCAACAGGCCCTTGCTGAAGCTACCACAGAAGACGCGGCAGCACGCTAAGGCTGTGAGCTTGCCGGGCCACGAGGATCCGCCACGATCATCCCCAGGCCGCAGGAAAGGAGCTCACCCCACGTCACAGAGCTGAGACCCAAACCCAGATGTGACTTCGAGCCGTGTCGCCATGAAACGACAGGTGTCCCCGGGGCACAGCACACGGGTAAACAGAGCAAGCCACACAGGCCCACTCCCCGCTCAGCCCAGGAACACATCTCAGCTTCTGAACAAATCCAGAAAATGCTGAGATACACAATTTAAAAGCAAGTCATTGTTAGACCACGAAGAAACGCCCCCAACTCAGGCTGCGTTTTGAACACTGGGAAGCAGTGTGTGCTCAGTCAGGCCTAAAGGAGAGAAAGCCACCCACCCAGCAGGCACAACTCACACAGGCTTTGGGAAAAACAACTTACTTCTTGCGTGATCGGTGGTCGGAACTGTTTATGTAGCTCAATAATTATTCTTAGACAAATAAGAACATTTTCTTCATTTTCCGTCTTAAAGAAAAAAGCATTAAAAAAAGTTACAGCTCTGAGATCTGGTTTTATCTAAAGAGTAAAGACTGATTTTCTCGGCATCTTCTGCACGCACACTAGTTTCTATTTAACTTGTTGGAAACCTGTGCACCCAGACAACGCCGCTGCCCAAGGCAAGGAGCCTCACAGCTTGGCTGACCACAAGATGGCATCTCACCGGCAAGCCAGGCCCACCTGACACGTCTTATGGCTTGAAAATACAGGTTGAACAAACTTAATCCAAAATCGGAAACTTTCTGTGCACCAACATGAGACCACAAAAGGAAAATCCCACATCTGACCTCCCTGACAGGGTTACAGTCATTACACGGTGCACTGGAGCCGGCTCCGTGGCGCAAGCGCAAGCTAATCCTCCGCCTGCGGCACCAGCATTCTATACGGGCGCCAGTTCTAGTCCCAGCTGCTCCTCTTCCAATCCAGCTCTCTGCTATGGCCTGGGATAGCAGTAGAAAATGGCCCAAGTGCTCAGGCCCCTGCACCTGCATGGGAGACCAGGAAGAAGCACCTGGCTCCTGGCTTCGGACTGGCACAGCTCCGGCTGTTGCAGCCATCTGGGGAGTGAACCAACAGAAGGAAGACCTTTCTCTCTGTCTTTCCCTCTCACTGTCTGTAACTCTACCTCTCAAATAAACAAAAAATCTTAAAAAAAAAAAAAAAAAAAAAAAAAAAAAAAAAAAAAAAACCACGGTGCACTAAAAACATGGTACAAAATTCCTTCAGGCTCTACGTACCAGGGATACGGTGAACATAAATGAAATTAATTTCCTGTCCCCATGGTATCCCAGTATGTACATGCAAATACTCCAAAATCTAAACCATTCCCTTCTGGTCCCAAGCATTTTGGGGAAGGACTACTCAACCAGTATTGCAGAAGACCACAGACTGCGGACCACAGCTGCTGCCAACACTCTGAGCCGCATGTCACGTTTCACTGGCGAAAGTCAGTCCTCAGAAGTTAACACGGCTAACACAGCCCACATCTGAACCCGACTCTGTCCCCCTCCAGAGCACATCCTTCCAGGGGGCCCAGCACAGAACGCTCAGCACACCAAGGTCAAGGACAGAGCAATCGGTCTTAGCAACTGAATTAACAGGCACCAAAGGGGCACTCTTAGGGGCGTGCACGTGGTTCAACAGTATGCTGTTGACGCACACACAGCTAGCACGATGCAGACAAGCCCTATCTCCAAGTTCTTCCACCAATGCCCAATTCATTTCCCACACAGTTTTCATTTATTTCCACTGACTAGCCAATTCTCTGGTTATAGTTTTCAATCATGTCATCTTTCCTAATAATTTAAGTTGGGGACATGGAGGAACAAGGACATTCACACAATTTTTTACTCTGGAGGTCGGCATTGTGGTGTAGCAGGTCCAATGCCAATCTCATAAGGCATCGGTTCAAGTTCCGGCTGCTCCACTTCCGATTCAGCTCCCTGCTAACGGCCTGGATGGAAGACATCTCCCCTGGCCCCCCACTATGTCTCTCCCCTCCCCTCCTTGGCCCCCCTAACTCTGACTTTGAAAGAAATAAATCTTTAAATTTTTTTTAATCTTGTGATTCAAAACTTAAGTGAAAGAGGAATAGTTGTGTAACACTGAATTTTACCCTAAGAAAAACCATCGAAGGCTTTATAAAACAGCTATACATTGAGAAATTTCCAAAAGTTACCTCTAAAAAGCGAAACATCACAGACAAAACATTTTTTGTATGAGGACGAAGATGTTCGTTGGTTGGTATTCGATGAATTATCTCAAGTACTAGTTTCCGAAGTTGCTAAGGAAAAACAATAAAAAAATAAAGATAAAACACTCAAGAGTTTCAATGTCACCGGCTCATAGGCATGAGTGTCACACACCGTCTGCACCCAGCAGTGGTAGCCACCACACTAGAAGATGGATCCAAATTTAACAACAGTCCTGTACAGTATCTAAACAGAATCCAAAGTACATATCGCAAATCACTATTTTCAACAATTCTACAAGGGGTCTTCATGAAAACATGTATTATGAAAAAAACTGGGTGGATTTCAAAACCTTTTCCCACCAAAATAAACTCAAACCAACTTGCTAATACCATGTCTGAACAGGATCTAGTTTGAGGTACCATGTCAGTAAGTTACCAGTTTAAAAAGAGCCCTGGGGCAGGCGCTATGGCGCTGCAGGTTAATGCCCTGGCCTGAAGCGCAGGCATGCCATATAGGTGCCGGCTCTAGTCCCAGCTGCTCCACTTCCAATCCAGCTCTCTGCTATGGCCTGGGAAAGCAGTAGAAGATGGCCCAAGTCCTTGGGCCCCTGCACCTGCGTGGGAGACCTGGAAGAAGCTCCTGGCTTCAGATCGGCGTAGATTCGGCCACTGCAGCCATGTGGGGAGTGAACCAGTGGATGGAAGACCAATCTCTCTCTCTACCTAACTCTTTCAAATAAATAAAAAAAAAAAAAAAAAAGAGGTTTAAAAAAGAAAAGGAGCCCCCCCCAATCAGAGGGACATAAATTCTGCGGAAACGAAGTGAGACCCAGCAGCAGACTCTGGAGAAGGTGGGTGAGGAATGCTGAGATCACTGAGCATCACCAACAGGCAATCACGGACCACAAGGAAGACGAAGCCCACCGCAGACCACACGTCAGCGTGGGAGAAAACAGATGACTCGTCTGTGCCCTCAGTGAAGAGGCATGAGGGTAACTACAGGCGCAACAGCAACAGAGGAGACAGCTCCACTGGCGCAGGATGACTTCCCGCGCGCCAGGCTGCCAAGCCGCTGCTCCAAGACCAGTGCACACGCGGCCAGAGCTTCGGCGAGCCCCAGCTCCTGACGCGTTCACGGCTTCACCACTATCATCCTGAAGACAGAGCACGGTCAGAGTAAGGGCTACCAAGAGGGGGTGCGGTCTGATCTAGCAACGGGCACAGCAACAGCTTTTGGGGACGCCCCAGGCATCCTGTTCACGTCTGGAGGCCACAGAACAGAGCATCTGTCTATTAGCAGTGTTGTGAGAAGGCCAAAGCCTCCACAGGAGAACGCTCAGGAAGGCGTCAGGGAGCCCCTCTCCATCCCCACAACCCTCCTGCCGGCTCCTCTGTCAAGCGCTCTGACGGCCAATCCTCAGGCATCCACCTCCCAGGCCCCATTTGCCTCCTTCTGACCTTGGTTTCCTAGTGTTAAGAAACCTTTGCAGGGCGTCCATTTTTCTTCAGTTGCTAATGTAAGAACACCGCACAGACAAGGTTAGGGTCCCAGGACCCTCAGGGGACGGACTCAAAGGCTGGTATTGTTGGCTACCACAGTGTCTTGAATTTGATGGAGCTGGTGTTGAGAAATAAACTTGGTAATCGCCAGCCTTTCATTTGACTTTTCCCTGAATTTTCTCAAAGTCCCTTGCGCAATTATCAATCAAATAGGCCCATTTCCCTTTTTCACAGTTTATCAGTATTTCCAGCTGAAGGACACTCATGGACAAATATCAAGGAGCGTAAAGGTGAGAAAGCCAAACATGGACTAAACGTCCTCTGGGATCGGCCTTCCAATCCGAGTTCCGAGCCCACTGTGTCACCTCCAATTACCCGGGGCCCAGGGACTCGTCCCACCATGAACTGTGCTAAGCTTCATGATTCTGTCTGTGGAGCTGACAGCTAAAAGGTAGGACAAACACACAAGAACTTCAACTGGTACAACATAAAAATGGTTTATCTAGCATTTAATTTTCATTGGTATTATGGCGATATTTTAAAGTTCCTTTTAAGAGAGACATATTCAGGGTCAGCACTACAGTTAGCATGGCAGGTAAAGCTGCTACCTGCGATGCCACCACCCCATATGGGCGCTGGTTTAAGTCCTGGCTGCTCCACTTCCGATCCAGCTTCCTGCTAAAGCACCTGGGAAAACAGCAGCCAATGGCCCCTGCACCCATGTGGGAGAGCGGAAGCAGCTCCTGGCTCCTGGCTTCTGAATGGCCCAGCCCTGGCCGTTGTTGCCATTTGGGGAGCGAACCAGCAGATGGAAGATTCTCTCAGTACTCTCCCCTTCTCTCTAACTCAATCTTTCAAATTAATAAAATAAATCCTTTTATTAAGGGAGAGATGTATGGTCAAATATTTTTTTAAAAATGGGTGAGGTGGGACCGGCGCCATGCCTCACTAGGCTAATCCTCCGCCTTGCGGCGCCAGCACTTCGGGTTCTAGACCCGGTCGGAGCGCCAGATTCTGTCCTGGTTGCCCCTCTTCCAGGCCAGCTCTCTGCTGGGGCCCAGGAGTGCAGTGGAGGATGGCCCAAGTGCTTGAGCCCTGCACCCGCATGGGAGACCAGAAGGAAGCACCTGGTTCCTGGCTTCGGATCAACGCAGCAAGCCAGCCATAGCAGCCATTTGGGGGGTGAACCAACGGAAGGAAGACCTTTCTCTCTCTCACTGTCTAACTCTGCCTGTCAAAAAAAAGGGGGGGGGGGGTGGCCAGGCACTGAGGCACGGCGCATTAAGCAGCTGGCGCATTAAGCAGCTGCCGGGACATCCGCACCCCACACTGCAGTGCCTGGCTTCAGTCTCAGCTCCTCCGCATGCCAATCCAGCTTCCGATCTAATGCACAAGGGAAGGCAGCGGAGGATGGCCAAGTCCTTGGGTCCGGGCCACCCACATGGAGACTGAGATGGGGTTCCTGGCTTCCGCTAGCACAGACCTGCTGTTGCACCCATATGGGGAATGAACCAGTAGCTAGAAGGTATCTTTTAACTGTCTGTCCCTATCTCTGTCACCCTTTCAAATAAATAAATAACTCCAACAACAACAACAACAACGGGAGAGGGTGGGAAGAGGAGAACAGATGAGACCAAACTGGCCATGCATTATAAGAACTGAAATTAACATGGACAAGAGGTCCAGGGATTGTCATGAACGCATTATTCTTTCTTCTGTTCTGTGTTTGAACTTGTATATGTGACACAGCGTGCATACACGTATGATCAGCTGGCAAATGCAGACAGTGCAGAGTCAAAAACACAGCCCTGACAAAACAAAGCCGAGACAGTAAAGCGAGGAGGCAACCGTCTCGGACAGAACCCAGCGATCAGCGATAGAACCTCTTCCATCTTCCACGTGGAAGCCTGGCTCCCCGACTCAATTCATACGTGCTCGCGGCTCCAGAGCAGGCTCACGCTCCCGCGCGGGTTACCTGGGCGGGCTTCTCCTGAAGAAACTGAACTTCTCCGTCCTGAAGAAAGGTAAGAAACCGAGGGATAATGTGTTCCAGGAATGTGGAATACTGAGGCGAGGACGTCACGTTCTGATGGGGAAAAGACAAGAAAGCCCTGTCGTCAGTTCTGTGTTCTTATTTGTACTTCAAATTCACACATGAGCTCCAAGGAACAGAAAGCTTCTGCAGAGTCAGCAGTAATCCAGAATTTCTGCGGTAACAGTTTCAGACAAATCAGGACAACTGCTGCTTTCGACATCCAATTTGGGGGAGCCGGTACTGCGGCGTAGTAGGCTAAGCCTCCGCCTGCTGTGCCGGCATCCCATATGGCATGAGTTCAAGAGCCAGCTGCTCCCCTTCCAATCCAGCTCCGTGTTAATGCACCTGGGAAAGCAGCAGAAGATGGACTAAGTCCTCGGGCCCCTGCACCCACGTGGGTGACCCGGAAGAAGCTCCTGGCTCCTGGCTCCTGACTCCAGCTGGGGTCCTCCCCAGCTGCTGCAGCCATTTGGAGAACGAACCGCCAAATAGAAGCTCACTCTCTGTCTCTCTCTAACTCTGCCTTTCAAATAAGTAAAAAATAAATCTTAAAAAAAAAAAAAAAGAATCCACCCAGATTGGAAGCGATCTATCACATAAGGTAATCTTCCAAGAAGACTCTAAAAAGAAAGGGACAGAGAAACAAGGCACAAGTCAGGAGAGCAGGCAGTGCCACAGTCAGGGACAGAAACCAGCGCAAGCCCTGGGGCTCTGTGCAAGAGGGGCAGCCCCGGAGCTGTGCGCTATCTCCACCGCTCCTCCTCCTGGAGACCCTGTTTGTCATCTTCCACCCCTGAAGCCTAAGGCCTCTTACGAAACACCACATCCAAGGATGACAGGGCAGCAGTCCTGCCGCCGGATCACTCACTGCAGGCCAGGTTAGCAAGTCACGCGCACCTGCACCACAGCCCATGCGAACCACGGACTACAAAGTCCCACATTCCTCCGATGACAAAGATTCATTCGCGAAGCCGCCCTGTTTCCCTGCAAGTGACTGCACGGAGCCACCAGCTTTTGGAGACAATGAATTTTTCATGTCATTTCCAACATCAGGCTTCTTTACCGAACAACCACTTAGCCCAGAATTCTATCCCTAAGCAGTTTAGTGAAATGAATCTGTAATACTACTAAAATCATCAGGAATTTTTTTTACCCCCATTCACTTCATTTAAAGATTTTTTTGGGGTAAGAATGGAAGTAAATTAAAACTGCCTACTTATGGTCAGTTAATTATTTGACGATCTCATTCATCTGAGTTTCAGTTAAGGTAAATGTTGACATCACAGACTTCAAAAGCCATTATTTGGAAAAGCCCCAAGCATACCACTCACTTCCATTCATATTAATATAATCAATGCATCTGAGACCAGAGCCAAGAACTGACTTGCTATCTGCCAGAAACTACAATGGAGATTAAGTCTCGGATGCCACTCGGCAGGGGCCACACCCTTGGTCCCGATCGCCCCGGGCCGTGTGCTTGCTCCTGCGGTCACAGGCTGCCCCAGGACCTCAGCCTCTCTGGGTTCTTGCACAGCAGGAGCAGGCGTACCCTCTTACATACTTTCAACAGCTTGCTGGAGCAGCCCGGGCAGAAGAGGAGGCTCTGCAGCAACATCTGTTATCTCAGGATTTTGTTTTTCCAGCTAACCTCAGGACAAGCCCTTGAAAATGTCCATTTGAAAACAACAACAACAACAACAAAAACAGGAGTCTGTGTTTTGATGGAAAGGGATAAGCCACCAGTTGCGACACCATTCCCTACTGGAACACTGGTTCACGTCCTGGCTGCTCCACTTCCAATCCAGCTCCCTGCTAATGCGCCTGGGAAAGCAGCAGGTGATGGCCCAAGTACCTGGGCCCCTGCACCCACACGGGAGACCCGAAGAAGCACCTGGCTGCTGGCTTCACCCTGGCCCAGCTCTGGCCATTGCAGCCATTTGGGGAGTGAACCAGCAGATGGAAAGTTCTGTCTCTCCCTCTCTTTGCTTTTCAAATAAATCAGTCAATGTAAAACACAAACAAAACCTGAAACACTGTCTATGAGAGTATCTGACTCAATCTCACTAGCATTGACCTAATGTTTATGAATTCAAAAAACCATGCAGAGGCTAGGAAACATTTTATCGGGTGAACCAATCTTACTCTGTGGGAAAGGTTTTATCTTCCCCATGTTAAAATAAGAAAGGCGGGGCTGCCACTGTGGTGTGGCATCTGCCTGCAGCGCCAGCATCCCATATGAGCACCGGTTCCTGTCCCAGCTGCCCCTCTTCCTTCCAGTACAGCTCTCTGCTGTGGCCTGGGAGTGCAGTGGAGGATGGCCCAAGTGCTTGGGCCCTGCACCCATGGGAGACCCAGAGGAAGCTCCTGGCTTTGTATCAGCTCAGCTCTTGCCATTGCTGACATTTGGCGAGTGAACCAGCGGATGGAAGACCTTTCTGTCTGTCTCTCCCTCCCGTCTCTCACTCTGCCTCTCAAATAGTCTTTAAATAAATAAGAAACGCAACTTCCTCATCTATGAAGCTAACTGGAACCAGAAGAACCTTCAAGGTGTGCCAATTACGAGATATATCTTTTCAGGTGTGGGACAAGGAACCCAACAAGATCCTGATTTCAGATTCCCGCGGGCACGTTCACGGGGTGAGCGAGGGTCACCAGGGCTCTCCGCCTGTGCGGTTTCCTGACAGGCGCGGCAGGCTGGGTGCAAGCAGAGCAGAAGCCTGCTGCTCTGAGGAAACACAACAGAACTCAAGCAGCTGCAGGGGCTGGAAGGGGCAGGGCACAGGGTGCTGGGACATCCTCCTGTGGCTTCCCCAGGCCTCGGCTGGGGGCCGGGCTGCACAGACAGGGGCAACAGCGCAGCCCTCCCTAGAGCCCGCCAGAGAGCGGCAGCTTTAGGATCGCAAGACAACAAAGACAGGAGGAGACAGAGCACCGTGAGCCTGCTGCAGTGCAGAGCCAGGCAGAGTGCAAAGCTCTCCTCCACACCTTGATGACACCCCAGGCACCACGCAACCCGGGGCAAGGACCATGACGCCAGCTCCCAAAGCCCCAACTCGGCGTCTGGCGAGCACGGAGGCTGGATCCCCCAAGTCAGAGGGACGCTTTCCAAAGATCTCCCCACACAAGACATAAAGCCAAGTTCAGTGAGATAAGTTAGCAAATGAAGTGCCTAGGACAACAAATCTATCGACACTCTTCAGAGAGAATGGAACAGAGGCCTGCGGCCTGCACTGTAACACAGCGGGTTAAGCTGCCGCCTGCGACACCGGCATCGCATACGGGCGCCACTTACTGTCCTGGCAGCTCCACCTCAGATCCAGCTCCCCGCTAATGCACCTGGGAAAGCAGCTGAAGATGGCCCAAGATTGGCACCCACGTAGAAAGGGTGAAGCTCTTGATTTTGACCTGCCCCAGTCCTGGCTGTTGAGACCACCTGGTAGAGAACCAGCCTTTCAAATAAATAAATAAATCTTAAAAAAAAAAAAAATACACAGAATCTGGGCCAGCACTGTGGTGTAGTAGGTTAAGCATCTGCCTGCAGCATCAGCATCCCATATGGATGCCAGTTCAAGTCCCAGCTGCTCCACTTCCTATCCAGCTCTCTGCTATGGCCTGGGAAAGCAGTAGAAGATGGCCCAAGTCCTTGGGCCCCTGCACCCGTGTGGGAGACCCAGAAAAAGCTCCAGGCTCCCAGTTTCAGATCAGCTCAGCTCTGGCCATTACAGCCATTTGGGGTGTGAACCAGTGGACCCACGACCTCTCTGTCTGTAACTATGCCTTCAGTTAAAAAAAAATATCAACAGAATCCTTCCAACATTTTACACATAACGTCCTCTGCATAATCAAAACTTACTAGATAAGCAGAGCAACAGGATCATGTGACCCACAGCCAACAGAAATGAACTCCCAGACAGTCCAAATGATGTCACGCTCAAAAAGCAACAGAACAGGACTTAATCAGTGAACGCATAGGGATCTGCAGAGAAATGAGATCTATAAAGACTCAAGTGGAAATTCTAGAACTCTGAGTACAATAACCAAAATGTTTAAATACAAAAAATGAAGTGAAAATAAATTGTAAACCCCAGCAGACTGGAAACGACAGAACAGTAGCCAGTGAAGCCGAAGGCTGATGGAGAGAATTATCCAGTCAAAAAGAACAAACGGGAAAAAAGACAAGACAGAACGAGCATTGTCTGAGGGACCTGGGAGAGGACACCAAATCGCAGACTGTGAGGCCCAGAGGTCACACAGGTCCTGGGCAGTAGCAGAGCCAGCCACATCGGCCTTCAGGTTACCCCATGGCAACACAGGACCTGCAACCCTACAGCATGAGCAGGGGCCTGAAGACACCACAGGTTTCAAATAGGGGAAAATGTTACAACCACCACAAATGCAGCATTTTCCAACAGGGTTTGGGGTTCGTCCACACTAGCGTGGAAAGGATGGACAACGTGACACACAGATTTTCATGTGTCGGTTCTAAAATACAAAACAGAACGAAATACAATGCAGGAACTTCGCAGTTATTACTTAAAAGACTGACGGAGCAGCAGTAGGCAAACACGTAGGAAAACTGACCTCAAAATGAAAAACATAAAACATAGAGCTCATACCTCAAAATTTTCACTAACTTCTTGCATCATTTTTAGCTTCGTTTCATCAGCTGTAAATGGCAAAGCAAACCATCAGGTAAGTGAAATTAGACGAAGGACGTCCCCGAATGACTGGATTTAACCCTCTTCGAGAAGCAATCAGATCTTATCAGTTTGACTGTCATGGCCCAACAGAAGGCACACAGCTAGTTCCCTATAACCAGACACACACGCATAGCCAGACACACGGGGAGCGCACAGACAAGGACGGCCACGGACAGACACACACACACACACACACACACACACACGTGCCTCTTTGGGGATCCAGCCAGTGTGGCTCATCATTTTGCTTCTCCATCAAGTACAGAACAAACAAGGATAAAACTCCTGCTTGCTACCTCCAACACCGCATCATCTGAACAGAGACAAGTCAGTGACAGGGAGGCACTTCCACTCACGTGTATTTACATCCGTGAGAGCCGCCACAAACTGAAGGTATTTTTTCATCAGAGTGGTTTGGTCAACCACAGTGGCCCCTTGTGTTGCAACGAACGCCATTTTTCCTTTGAGCTGGTTTACGTCTCAGGAGAAAGGTATTGGGCCCATCAGCTCACCCGGCCTGCGAAGAGGAGTGGACGGTTAACACCTAGCAAGGGCACAGACGCACACTCACTGGGCCAATTGTCTCCAACACTGCCACAGGAATCCAGAACGTAACAGTATCCCCTCTGCCTTTTTTTTTTTTAATGTAAAATCTATGCAAATCCACTTCATCTACTGATTCCCGAACATGATTCTTGGACACAAATGCTCTTCTTTCCTACTCTTTTTCCTTCCTCCCCTGAGCCAGGGGCTGGCAAACACCTCCCGTAAAAAGCCAGATGGTAAACACTGACGCCTCTGTGTGGCCACGGCGTCTCTGACACAGCCCCTCCACTCCGCCGCAGTCACACAGCAGAGGCAACAAGTGAACGAACTGGCAAAGTTGTGTCCCGGGGAAGCTTGACGAGTGTCATTCTCATCCATCAGAAAACACTGTTCGTCTTGTTTCTTTCCCGCAACCATTAAAAATACACAAACATGTCCATTCACGGGTCGCCTGAAGACAGACAAGGTTGGATTCGGCCTCACTGCACTCTGCGACCTCTGCCCTGGTGATCTGCTCTCAAGCTTCACCGTGCATTAGAATCACCGGGAGCTGGGAGCAGCCGGCAGTGTGTGCAGCCGCCGCCTGCAACGCTAGCACCGCACACGGGCGCCCATGTGAGTCCTGGCTGCTCCACTTCTGATCCAGCTCCCGGCTAATGCGCCAAGGAAAGCACAGAGGAGTGCCCAAGTGGTTGGGTCCCTGCCACCCATGTGGGAGCCCAGGACGGAGTTCCAACTCCTGGCTTGGGCCTGGCCCAGCCCTGCCCATTGTGGCCAACAGTGGATGGAAGATCTTTCTCGCTGTCTTTCCCTCTGTATAATTTTATGCCTTTCAAATAAATAAATAAACATTTAAAAAAAAAAAAAAGCAGGTGCCAAAAGGTGGACTTGGAAGCATCACTCTGGAAACTCTGAATGCTGTGTTGTTGTTTTTTTGGTTTTTTTTTTTACGGCGGGCGCGCTAAACACTCCGCGAGCGAACCCTCGCTTCCTGAAGCACCAAAGTGACCACACTCTGAGGACTGCTGCCCCAAGCCCACACACAGAAGCAGGCTTGGTTTCTGTTTCAAGATCTGTCGGGGCAGAGCTGTGGCACAGCGGCTAAAGCCACCACCTTGGGACACCGGCGTTCGCATCCCGGCTGCTCCACTTCCGATCCACTGCTTTTCCAGCGAACGCACCTGGGAAAGCAGTGGAAGGAGGCCCAAGTGCTCAGGCCCCTGCACCCGTGTGGGAGACGGGGATGCAGCTCCTGGCTCCCACCTGGCCCAGCACTGCGGGTGAACCAGCGGATGGAAGACCTCTGTCTCTCCTCGCTCTTTCAAATAAATAAATAAACCTTAAAGGATATAAATGAAGAGAACAGACGCCGGACCTTTCAATGAAAGTGCATCCAGGAGCCAGCCAGCCTCCTTTACGTGATTCCACTGAGCGTAAGAAAAGTGGCTTCCACACCTTTCCCGCACTACAGGACCCGCTCCCCCGCAGCCGACACTGGTGGGGGGGGGGGAGGGCAGGGAACCTGCGGGCCACTCTTGCAGGGTGCCCACGGCAGTTCACGCCCCGACCCTCTGGTCCTGGGTGTCCCTTCCAGGTTGCGCCCTCCTGCCCAAACACCCCCAAGACCACTCCCCCCTCCCCGGGGCCCCAGGAAACAGGGTCGCACCCTCCGCCCAAACACCCCCCATGACCACTCCCCATCAGCATCTCCCAGAAGCCCCAGGATGCAGGGTCGCGCCCTCCACCCAAACACCCCCCAGGCCACCCCCCAAGACCACTCCTGGGGCCCCAGGATGCAAGGTCCAGGATGCAGGGTCCTGCCCTCCGCCCAAACACCCCCCAAGACCACTCCCCCTCCGCATCCCCCGGGACCCCAGGACGCAGGGTCGCGCCCTCCACCCAAACACCCCCCAAGGCCACCCCCCAAGACCACTCCCCATCCGCATCCCCCGGGGCCCCAGGATGCAGGGTCAGGCCCTCCACCCAAACACCCCCAAGACCACTCCCCCATCCGCATCTCCCAGAAGCCCCCGCTTCGGCCCCGCCTCGGCTCTTTAAAGCCCTCCGGAAGCCGCCAACTCTGCCCGGGGGCCCCGCAGGGCCTGGGGACTGCGGCGGCGGCCTCTAACGAGGGGACTCGTCCCAGCCCGCCCGTCCGTCCGGAACCGGCTCCGAGGGCCGCCGGCGAGCCCGCCAGTCTCGGCCCTGCGGGGAAGGCCGGGGCCGGCACCGGGGGCAAACGGCCCCGCCGCCCTCGATCCGCCGCGCCCGGCCTGAGGCGGCGCCGCCGGGCCAGCGGGGGCGCTGTCGGCGCCGCTACCTGGGTTCCGCGCGCCGGGCCCCTGCGTGGACAACGGGCGGTGCCAGGCTGGCCGGGGTGGCCAGACGCGGCCCCAAGCCCTCGCCCGATCAGTCCGGCCGCAAACGGCCCTCCGGGTCGCTCCTTTTGTCGCCGACTCCGGGCTCTCTGCGACCGCCTCCCGGGCCGCGCTACGGCGAGCGCCGAGGGACAATCCCCGCGCCCGCGCGCTGCCCTGCGCGTCTCCCGCCGCTTCCTCTCAGCCCGGCCCGGGGGCGGGCGGAGGTCCTAGGGCCGCAGCCGACCCCGGCCTCTTCCCGCCCCCACCCTCGAGGCGGGTGGGCTCCAGCGACGGGGCGTGCGGGTACCCGGAGCGCCCGCAGCCCCCCTTTTCGCGAAGCCGCGGCGCGGAAGAGCCCTCACCGCGCTGAGATGGACGCGTGCGCCTCCCGGTGCCGTTCGGCCGCCCACCCGCGCTTACCTGGCCCTCCGCAGCCGGACCCCCGCGGCCCCCCCCCCAGCGAAGCCCGCGCTGCGGCGCGCAGTCCCGCCCCCGCTTAAAGCGGCTGCGCCAGCCGAGCGAGAAGTAGGCCCCGGCGCGCCGCCCCCAAGTGGGTGCGGCCTGGGCGGGCGGCGGGAACGGGGAGGGGCGTGTGCGGCCCGCGTGGGCTCGCCCGCACACCTGGGCCGGGGTCCGCAGGTGCTGGGGTTCCTCGGGCGCCTTCTGCCCTCCCGGGGGCCTTCCCGGGCTGGCGGCGGCGGTCAGGCCCGGGGTGGAGGCCTCGGATGGGACGGAGTGGGGCGGGGTCTCTCCCGCCCGCCCGCCCCCTGCCTGGGGTCGAGGAGGAAGGAGCCTTAAGAAGTGTGGAGACCCTGTTGGTGAAGGCAGGCTTGGGCGCTCTGCCTGGAGGTGGAGGCAGGACCGCCTTCCATCCGCTCCTGCTCCTACCTGGCGGGCAGGTGCCGTCCTCTGAGAACAGAACCGACCCAGAGAGGACAGTCCTGTGGGCTGCTCCTGGCAACCTGAGGCCTCGGTGTTAAGTGCACAGAGCGCCGAGCCACGCCTTTGCCTCGCCTTGGTGCACTCCCCTTGCTGTCTGCCCCACCCTGAACCCATCGCCCTTAATCCTCCGGGATCCCGTGCTGTCACGCCCCATAGCTAGGTTTCACGGTGCAGCGAGCAAGGCTGGCCACGCCTGCAGGTACCCCGGAGGGCATTGCCAGCTCCTAACTAGCCCCTCAAAGGTAGGAACGTGAGTGGGCGTCTTCAGCGCCAGCGACTCGCGCCCTGGTTCTTGTCCCGGCTACTCCACTGCCAATCCAGCTTCCTGATAGCGTGCACCTGGGGAGGCAGCACACGGTGGCTCAAGCTACCTGGGTCCCCGTCACCTCCTTGGGAGACCAGGTGATGGGAGTTCCCGGCTCCCCACTTCCACCAGGTTCCCCACTTCCACCAGGCCTGGTCCTGGCTGTTGCAGATGTTTGAGGAGTGAACCAGTGGGTGGAAGATCTCTCTCTCAAATAAACATAAAATGCAAAACCCTCCAAGCGAGGGGGCGTGGACTCCTCCTCAAGTGGCCCTGCTTAGCGCCCCAAATTTCCTGCATTCACCATGTCCGTTGCCCCTCCTGGACCGGGAGCTCTTTTTGTCTTGGTTCACCAACGAGTGCCATCACTGGTTTCAAACACCTCTGTCTGCTGCAGGCCAGACAGCAGAAATGCATTCGGGACACCTCTGAGGGCTGGTGCTCTAATACAGGTGCCAGCCGGAGGAGGCAGCCTTCATTCTGAGGCCTTTGACCCAAGGTGGGGACCAGGCAATGTGAAACAGTTATCTGCAGGGAGCCCTTTGTTGGAGGATATTCCTGGAGGCTGTCTTGCAACATTGTATCCAGAGGAGGCTAGCGGTCTCAGGAAAGGAAAGCTGCAGGAGACCTGGACCGGATCAGACAGTTTTGAAAATACAATGTATGAAGATGGGTGATGTCTGAGCCTGGAGCAGGAGGGCATCTACATGTACCCCCCCACACGCGTACATCTTGTCTGAACCTTGGACTTACCCCTGACCTCCTGGCAAGGGCCGGCACTGTGGCACAGCGGGTAAAGCGGCCATCTGCAGTGCCGGCATCCCATATGGGCACCGGTTTGAGTCCCCAGCTGCTGCTGCTCCACTTCCAATCCAGCTCCCTGCTTATGCCCCCTGGGAAGGCAGCAGAAGATGGCCCAACTGCTTGGCCCCTGCACCCATGTGGGGAGCCCAGAGGAAGCTTCAGTCTGGCCCAGCCCTGGCCATTGCAACCATTTGGGAAGTGAACCAGTGGGTGGAAGATATCTCTCTCTCTCTCTCTCTCTCTCTCTCTCTCTCTCTCTCTCTTTCAAATAAGTAAATAAATCTTTTTTAAAAATTAGGCTGCTGCTTTGGGGAATTGTTCCTTCCCACTGCCTCCTCTACTTGCACAAATCCAGTTTCCTCTGAGCCACACCCACTTGAGGCTGATGAGGTGACATGCAAACCTCCCCCATCCACTGACAGTCCCTTCCCTTAGCTTGCAGGTGGTCACCATCTGGCCTCTTGGTGGTGGGCGCCTGGGGGAGGGAGGGACTTCTGGTCCCTTCCTCTTCTTAACAAGGAGAGCAGTTCTGCAGGCCTGGGTCTACCCTTATGACCTCATTTAACTGACAAATTATCTCTTTAAAGTCTCTCTCTAAATATAGTCCACACTGGAGGGGAGGACTTTAAGCATGAATTTGCTGGGGGTAGGGCAGAAACACAACTCAGTGTGTGACATATTTAATATGCAAATGAACAAATGAGTACTTTGTCTGGAACAGGGCTCTCCACTGGACTAGGGTCAGCTGGAGCAGGAACAGGAGGCTGTTGCTCAGAGGAATGGATAAAGAAAATGTGGTGTACGCACACAATGGGGAGGACACCATGTTGAGTGAAATAAGCCAGACCCACAAAGATAAATACTGCATGATCTCCCTTTTTTTTTTTTTTTTTTTTGACAGGCAGAGTGGACAGTGAGAGAGAGAGACAGAGAGAAAGGTCTTCCTTTGCCGTTGGTTCACCCTCCAATGGCCGCCGCGGCCGGCGCGCTGCGGCCGGCGCACCGCGCTGATCCGATGGCAGGAGCCAGGAGCCAGGTGCTTTTCCTGGTCTCCCATGGGGTGCAGGGCCCAAGCACCTGGGCCATCCTCCACTGCACTCCCTGGCCACAGCAGAGGGCTGGCCTGGAAGAGGGACAACCGGGACAGAATCCGGAGCCCCGACCGGGACTAGAACCCGGTGTGCCGGCGCCGCTAGGCGGAGGATTAGCCTAGTGAGCCGCGGCGCCGGCCTTGATCTCCCTTATACGTGAGAGCTAAAGTTTAAAAAAAAAAAAAAAAACAATCAAAAGGGGCTGGCACTGTAGTGTAGCAGGTAAAGCTGCCACCTGCCTGTGACATCAGCATCCCATATGGACACCAGTTGAGTCCTGGCTGCTCCACTTCCAATCCACCTCCCTGCTCATGCACCTGGGAAGGCAGCAGAAGATGGCCCAAGTGCTTGGACCCCTGCCATCCAGGCTCCTGGCTTCAGCTTGGCCCAGCCCTGGCTGTTGCTGCCATTGGGAGGTGAACCAACAGATGGAAGAGTTCTCTCTGTCTCTATCTCGCAGCCTTTCAAATAAACTAAAAATACATTTTAAAACTTTTTTTTTTTTTTAATTTACCATCTTGGGGCTGGTGCTGTGGCTTAGCAGGTAAGGCTGCTGCCTGCAGTGTCAGTATCCCATATGGGTGCTGGTTCAAGTCCTGGCTGCTCCATTTCCCATCCAGCTCTCTGCTATGGCCTGGGACAGCAGTAGAAGATGACCCAATGACTTGGGCTCGTGTAGGAGACCTGGAGAAAGCTCCTGGCTCCTGGCTTCAGATAGGCACAGCTCCGGCCATTGCAGTCAATTGGGGAGTGAACCAGCGGCTGGAAGACATTTCTCTCTCTGCCTTTCCTCTCTTTCTTTGTAACTCTGACTTTCAAATAAATAAATAATAAATCTTAAAAAAATTACCATCTTAATTGTTTTCTTTAAAAACCCACTCTGATGGGCATGAACAATCTGCAGGGGTTTCCCCACCGAGGGCTGAGGGGGGCACCAGGCCTCTGCCTGATTTTTGCTTGTCATTGTTATTTTTTAAACTACTGATTTATTTTATATTTTTTCGACTTGGTATTTTATTCATTCATCTTATTTCAAACTTACATTCTAGTCAAAGGCTTAATGGCTCTACTAAATAAAAACTTCAACAAACAAAAAGCAAGAAGACCAGCAGGAAGATAGGCAAGGGCTAGGGACAGTAATACAATGAAGGCTTTGACCTCACTCAGGATAGGATTGACAGCCACCTGGAGGCCAGGCCCCCCTCCACTGCCCCCTGGTGGCCAGGAGTCCTGCTTGCCTTTACCTTACCCTGTCTTCCTCAGGCTGGCTCTGGGAGCTTGCTCCTGCCTAGAGCATTCCCCAAGCATGAATTTCTTTTAAAATATTTATTTATTTATTTGAAAGGCAGAGTTACAGAAAAAGGAGAGACAGAGAGATTGTTCATCCGCTGGTTCACTCCCCCAGATGATTGCAACAGCCAGCATTGTGCCAGGCCCAAGCTAGGAGCCAGGAGCTTCATCCAGGTCTCCCAAATGAGTAGCAGGGACCCAAACACTTGGGTCATTTTTCACTGCTCTTTCAAGGCCATTAGCCAGGAGCTGGATCGAAGGTGGAGCAGCCGGGACTCGAACCTGTGCCCTTATGGGACGGCGGCACTGCAGGAAGGGGCTTTGCCTACTATGCCACAACACCCCCAAGCATGAGTGAACAGCCCTGCACCGGATGCTCCCACGACGTCTTGTGGAGAGAGGGGAAAGCTCTTACCGATCACTTGCATATTCATCATATGCTGAAATGGAATTTTGAATATCTTGAGCCTACTAGAGCATTATAATTGATCTCACCTGCTTCTTTTTTTCAAATGTGGCCAAAAGGAACTTTAAAAAGTTATATCCATGGCTTGAATTATATTTCTTTTTTTAAATAGGGATTTATTTATTTATTTGAAAGGAACAGTTATAGAGGAGAGGAGAAAGAGAGATCTTCCATTTGCGGGTTCACTTCCCAAATGGCAGCAATGGCCAGGATCGGTCCTGGCCAAAGCCAGGAGCCTGGAGCTCCATTAGGGTCTCCCACGTGGGTGGCAGGGGCCCAGGTACTCGGTGCATTAGCAGGAAGCTGGATGGAGAGCAGAGAAGCCGGGACTCCAGCTGCGGCTCCTATGGGATGCCGGCTGTGGAAGGGGGATTAACCCAGTGCACCAACCACTACCAATCGGCCTTCAGATAAAGCACTTGACTATTTGAAACTCTGTAACTGACCCTTTTAATTTCTTCTCGGGCACATTAAACGCCAGACACACAGGCAAAGCTCTCCACACCCCACAGAGACAACCAACACAAGCTCACGCCGGCTGCATACTGAGCACTGTCCCCTGGTGGTCTTTGCCGGAACCTGCTGGGGCTTGGATTCACACATATGAGCCTCATGCTAAAGGAAAAAGGGGAGGTGAGGCAGAGAGAGGAAAGTGGCTTTTCCAAGGCCGAGTAACACTCCGAGGGAAACAAAGTGTCCAACTCCTAGGCCTGCTATTCCTCACCACTGTGGTGGAAGATGGGGAGGAGGGGTGACATCTGGCCAGCCCCCTAAGGGGCTCATTCAACTCTGTTTCCTCTCCATTGCCACGAGAAAGCAGTGGGGGGCCACCCTCAGGGGAGCCCACCGCTGTCCCAGAGACAGGAGCCATGCCCTTAGCAGGTCAGGTGGACCTGCTTGTGGTCCACTGGTGCCCACCAGGCAGAAGAAGCCCCCCCAGACCCTCTGGGCAATGGGACCATCCCTTGCCCAGGAATTCAGCCGTGCAGAGGCCCAGCTGAGACCAGGATACAGGCTAAGGTCGCCTAGGGTTTAACCCGGCAGGGCCAGGCCAGCTAAGAGGCTAGCCTTGGTGGCGCATGCTGACACCAAAGAGCGACAGGTCCCCCTTCATGGTGGTGTCTGACCCTCGTGACAACGAAGTGGCCATGTGTGAGCACAAGCCCCATTTCACAGCAGGTGCAGGGGGTGGGTAAGCGGGGGCAAGACCCCAGACTCCCACGCCTGTGCGCTCGAGGCCCAAGGTCTGCAGGGCTTCCAGGCGTTCGTGGGCCTTTTGCTCAGCGCCTGGCACCCAGGGGCACTCTGAGAGAGGCATCTCCAAGCGTGCAGCGTGCAGACAGTCCCCCACGGGCCCTGCGCGCGCCCCTGGAGACGCTGAGTCAGACCCGGCCTGTGCGGACGTGGGCGGGAAAGACGGGGACGCGGAGCTCTGGCAGGGACACGGGGAGGGGGCGCGGCTTGGCGGACAGGCTGACGTGGGCCGGGGTCGCGCGGCAAGGTGCGGACGGCGGCGGCGGCGGCGACGCGCAGCGACACCGCGGCCCCGGGCGAGGACGAGCGCGCTTGGCGCCCGCACCTCCCCGCGCAAGAGCCGCAGCCGCCGCCGCCGCCGCCGCGCTCCTCCGGCTGGCTCTGAGCCCCGCCATGGCCCCAGCCGTGTGGTCGCGCCTCGGCCGCCTGCTCTGGCTCGCCTGCCTCCTGCCCTCGGCGCCGGCGACGGTGGCCGCAGGTAAGGCGATGTGCGGGCCGGGCCTGGGCTGCGCAGCCGGCGCCGAGCGCCCTGCGCGCGCCTCCCGCGTCCCCGGAGGCCGCCGCGACGCCCCCTGCCTCCCTCCCGGCGCTTGAGAGGACTCCCCGGGGGTCCCGTTTCCAGGCCCCGCGGACCCTGCCCCGGGAAGCGCGCGGGGTGGGCGGCGCGCCCCTCCTGATCGCTTGGGGGACATTGGGTCCCTGAGGGAGAGCGTGCCCAGGCCGGCCATGACGCCCCAGCCCACCTCCTCCCCACCCCCGCCCCGGGAAGCGCAGACAGGTCGCCCTGCTGAGTAGTATTTTTGTGCAACAATGTCGTGTTTTTGGAGAGCTTTTGGTCTTAGTCGTGGGGGCCTTTTGGGGGGTGCGCCGTGGGGGGCTGCGAGTTTAAAGCCAGGAGGCCCATCTACTATTTCCTCCCCAAGTGCTTTTCAAAATGGACCCCATTTGCCAGGTTCCTCCGAGCGCCCACCTCCCTTCCGGTCTTTTTGCCTGTCTTGGGACCAAGGAAGGGACTCACGTTGGAGCGCGTTCGAGGGTCGGGTCTACACGCGGATGGCTGCGCGAGTCCCACAGCAACTAGCGGCCTTCCCTGGCTGCCCGCCCTCCCCATCCCATCAAAGAGAGGTGGAGAGAGGAGGGGATCCTGATGCGTATTTGTGCAAGGCAAGCCCCAGGCACCATAAAAACCTACATCTGGGAAGGAATGCAATTGGTGAACTGAGCCCCCTCTGCCCTCGCTGGCTGGCTCGGGCACTTCTGTACAAATGGGAGGGGTCTCTCCTCCATAGGTGTCCAGAAAGTGGTATTGTCCTACTTTGAAAAACTAAATCGGAAAGGCCAAGAGGAAAAGAACAGGGGATTGGTTCTTGGAAAGACCTGGGTTCCCAGGCAGGCAGGTTGCACCGTTGAGTGGAGAAAGCCTCTTCCAGCGCCCCCCACCCGCACCCCAAGAGGGTCTGCATGCATGGCTGCATCGGGCACCAGGGCTTTGCATCCCCAGTCCACACACTGCACCATTGGCTCATTGAGGTGGCTGTGGGCCATCTACATATGGTGCCCAAGAACTGGTACAGCCGTTTTCTAGAACATTCAGCACCCCACAAAAGCTGTATTGTTGGTCAGCGTGGAAGCCCTGGGGGCCTGGTAGGCAGGAGTTTCTTCCAGGGCCAGGCTTGGGGGAGTCCTCTTCCTGCCCACCCCCCAACGCACACATCCCCAGGCCTTGCCTTGGCCGCACCAGGGCCCGGGAAGATGGATTTGCTTGGGTGGAGCAGCCAGGCTCAGCACTTGGTTCCTTCAGCCACATTTTAGCAAAACTTTCACAGCCTGGGGCAGCCCTGCTGCCCTGGACACATCCAAGAGCCCTGAGCAGCAGCGCCGCCCAGTGCCCATGAAGCACCTGCTTTTTAAGAGCAGCAGGGAGAAAAGCCTCCTGGTAGCTGGGTTTGTAGCAGGCTCCCTGAGCTGCCTGGAGGCTGTGGCTGCTGCCCCTCCCCTCCCCTCCCCCAGCCGGCCGCCCTCCTGCTTCCATTCCCTTGGCAACAGGTCTGCCGCGAGCTGACAGGCGCCCATCTCGCTGCGCATGCTGGATGGCCATTAGCCATAGCCACACATCCCTGCCACCTGCCAGCCTCGCTCCTGCCCACGCTCCTTGGCTGGGGGCGGAGGGATGGGAGGGTGCTGGGAGCAGAGAGAGGAGGTGGCCCCTCATCTCTACAGCCTGGCTAGATGCTGCCTACCTGACAAGGGGGAGAGGAAACAGGGCTCTGCCCCAGGGACCGCGGCCAGGCCGGGAGGTTCCTGCTGGCCTCAGGGTCCCGAGGAGAAGCCACCATCGCAGTGCCGGAGATGTGGCAATGCATGGGGTTAAGACTCTGTCCCTCACTCCCTGCCTACCTTTCTCTGGAAGTGGCCAGCCCTTGGCACCTTGACTCAAGTGACTATGATTAAATGTCCCTGAAGGAAAGAGATTCTGAACAGGGCACGGGTGACATGGGCAGGAGGAATGGCTGGAGCCTGGGTCCCTAAGGGAACAAGAGATGTTGCTGTGACACCACAGAGGCACAGTTGAGGACAGACTCGCCCACCTCCCAGTCTCAGGGCAGGGATCTGTCCTGGGCTTCTGGCCCTGCCCCTTGCACCTCTGGGGACAGGGCACAGGGGAGGGGCTTGGTCAGTAGCACCTGAGTACGTGGATAAGCTCCTGGCCAGGTGCCTCTGAGCAGTAAGACTGCAGACCTGTTGGCCACAGGGACTGCTGCTCTTAAGGAGGTCTTGGTGCCGTGGGGGAGATGAGGAAATGTTGGCTGAGGGGGAGGGGGAAGGTTACCTGGAAGAGGTGCTACCCAGGGACCAGCAGGTGGAGAAGGGCATGCTGGGACAGCACGTGCAAAGGCCCTGAGGCAGGAAGGGCAGAGCCTATGGTGTTAAAGTGGCCTGAACCTCACCCTAGGCTGGTCCAGATCAGACTGACCATGTAGGAAGGCTGTTGTTGGGGTGCTTAGGAGTGGGCTGCACTAGAGGCCGGGGCCCAGCCTGAGTGTGGAGCAGGAATCCAGACAGGTTGCAGACCGGCCTCCGACAATGTTAGTGGTACCAGGGAAGAGAGAAATTAGTCCTGATGGGAGGTGCTAAATGGCAAAGGCCTGGGGACTGATCCTTAGAGAGAGACAAGGAAGCATCTGGAAAGATTAGACCAGCACTCTGCAGCAGGTCTGGGGGCCATGCGTGTGCCCTGCCTAGCTGTTCACCCTTGACTTGTGGCCCGTGTGACTGAGAAACTGTCATTTAAGCCAACACATTGGAGTAATTTAAGTGCAGTTGCCTGTGAGTGGTATTTTCTATGCTGGGTGGTGCCAGGGCCAGAGCTCAGGAGGAGGATCCGGCCCTGGGTTCCGTCTGCTTTTGAGAGGCACCTGTGGGGCTGGCGTTGTGGTGCAGTGGGTAAAGCCGCCATCTGCAGTGCCGGCATCCCATACGGGCTCCGGCTTGAGTCCAGGCTGCTCCGCCTCCTGCTCCCTGCTATGGCCTGGGAAAGCAGCAGAAGATGGCCCAAGTTCTTGGGCTTTTGCTACTCACCTGGAAGACCCAGTTGGAGCGTCAGGCTCTTGGCTTCAGCCTGGCTCAGTCCCAGCTGTTTTAGCCAGTGGATGGAAACCCTCTCTGTCTCTGTAACTCTGACCTTCAAATAAAAACAAATCTTTAAAAAAATGTGGAGCCAGTACTGTGGCGTAGCGGGTAAAGCCACTGCCTGCAGTGCCAGCATCCCGTATGGGCACCAGTTAGAGACCCGGCTGCTCCCCTTCCGATCCAGCTCTCTGCTATGGCCTGGGAAACCAGTGGAGGATGGCTCAAGTCCTTGGGACCCTGCACCCGTATGAGAGACCAAGAAGAAGCTCCTGGCTCCTGGCTTTGGATCGTCGCAGCCCCAGCTGTTGTGACCAACTGGGGAGTAAACCAGGGGATGGGAGACCTCTCTCTCTCTCTCTCTCTCTCTCTCTCTCTCTCTCTCTCTGCCTCTCCTTCTCTGTGTAACTCTGACTTTCAAATAAATGAATAAATCTTAAATAATTGCGTGCAGGGTATGATGATGGCTAAAATGTGAATGATTTGACAACTGTTGCCTTTGGGAGGTGGGTCCATGAGACTGTTCTGATATTCTTTATGCATCCGTCAAAGGAAACTTCAAAAACATTTGTAGGAAAATGAAATTAAAAGATAATTTTGGGGGCTGGTGCTGTAGCACAGTAGGTTAAGCATCTGCCTGTGGTGCCAGCATCCCATATGGACGCCGGTTCAAGTCCTGGCTGCTCCACTTCTGATCCAGGTCCCTGCTGATGGACTAGGAAAGCAGAAGGAGGCCAAGTGCTTGGGCCCCTGCACCCCCGTGGAAGACCAGGAAGAAGCTCCTGGCTCCTAATCAGCGCAGCTCTGGTCTTTGCAGCCATCTAGGGAGCGAACCAGCAAATGGAAGACCTTTCTCTCTCTCTCTCTCTCTCTCTCTCTCTCCCCCTCTCTCTGCAACTCTTTCAAGTAATAAATAAAAAAATTTTTTAAAAATAGATAAATTTTGGGGCTGGTATTGTGGCGCAGCAGGTTAGCCGGCCACTGGCAATGCAGGTATCCCATATCAGAGTGCCAGTTCGAGTCCCAACTGCTCTGCTTCTGATCCAGCTCCCTGCTAATGCACCTGGGAAAATAGCAGAAGATGGCCCAAGTGCTTGGGCCCCTGCCACCCCGTGGGAGACAAGGATGGAGAACCTGGCTCCTGGCTTCAGCCTGGACCAGCCCTGGACATCTGTGGAATGAATCAGCACTCTGGCTTTCAAATAAATAAAAAATAAATCTTTTTAAAAAGATAGGTTTAGAGGCTGACGCTGTGGCATAGTGGGCTAAGCCTCCGTCTATGGCACCAGAATCCCATATGGGTGCTGGTTTAAGTCCCTGCTGCTCCACTTCCGATCCAGCTCTCTGCTGTGGCCTGGGAAAGCAGTGGAAGATGGCCCAAGTGCTTGGGCCCCTGCACCCACGTGGGAGACCTGGAAGAAGCTCCTGGCTCCTGACTTCAACAGACTCAGCTCCATTGAGGCCGTCTGGGGAGTGAACCAGCAGGTGGAAGACCTCTCTCTCTGCTTCTGCCACTCTTGGTAACTCTACCTCTCAAATAAATAAAATCTTTAAAAAAAAAAAAAAGGTTTATTTTGGTGCAAAAAATTTGAAGTCCATGCAGTTTTTTTCATAATAAATATTTCCACAGACTTTTTAAAGACCCTTTGTGTTGCTATTATAATGGAAATAAACTTTTTTTTTAAAGAATTATTTGAAAGAGCTACAGAGAGAGAGGGAGAGACAGAGGTCTTCCCTCCACTGCGTCACTCCTCAAATGGCTACAACAGCCAGGGATGTGCCAGGCTGAAGCCAGGAGCTTCATCTGGGTCTCCCACATAGGTGGCAGGGGCCCAGAGAACTGGATTGGAAGTGGAGCAGCTGGGATACAAACCAGTGCCCATTTGGGATGCCAGCGTCTCAGATGGCTTTTCCCGCGATACCACAAAGCCAATCCCAATGAATTTATTTTTAAAATCTTACCTTGTTATATGATAACAACTTATGCCACTATCTAAGATACTTGAAGAATAAGGACTTGGGAAAGTGCCCATGACACAAAAGTGAAATATATAATCTTAGATAGATATATATATATATATATATATATATATATATATATAAACCCATACAGAGGCCGGCGCCGCGGCTCACTAGGCAAATCCTCCGCCTAGCGGCGCTGGCACACCGGGTTCTAGTCCCGGTTGGGGTGCCGGATTCTGTCCCGGTTGCCCCTCTTCCAGGCCAGCTCTCTGCTGTGGCCAGGGAGTGCAGTGGAGGATGGCCCAGGTGCTTGGGCCCTGCACCCCATGGGAAACCAGGAAAAGCACCTGGCTCCTGGCTCCTGCCATCGGATCAGCGCGGTGTGCCGGCCGCAGCACGCCGGCCGCGGCGGCCATTGGAGGGTGAACCAACGGCAAAGGAAGACCTTTCTCTCTGTCTCTCTCTCTCACTGTCCACTCTGCCTGTCCCTGCCGTAACAACACATACAACACAAACAGTGGCCATACAGATCCGGCATCAGTATCTGTGTTTTTTTGTTTGTTTGTTTGTTTGTTTTTGTTTTTTGTTTTGTTTTGTTTTGTTTTGTTTGACAGGCAGAGTGGACAGTGAGAGAGACAGAGAGAAAGGTCTTCCTTTTTTGCTGTTGGTTCACCCTCCAATGGCTGCCACGGCCGGCGCACTGCGACCGGCACATCTCACTGATCCAAAGCCAGGAGCCAGGTGCTTCCCCTGGTCTCCCATGGGGTGCAGGGCCCAAGCACTTGGGCCATCCTCCACTGCACTCCCGGGCCACAGCAGAGAGCTCTCCTGGAAGAGGGGCAACCGGGACAGAATCCGGCGCCCCGACCGGGACTAGAACCTGGTGTGCCGGCACCGCAAGGCAGAGGATTAGCCTAGTGAGCCGCAGCGCCAGCTATTTATTTGTTTTTAAAAGATTTACTTACTTGAAAGGCAGAGAAATAAGAAAGACAGAGAGAGAGAGAGATCTTCCATCTGCTGGTTCATTCTGCAAATGGCCACAGCAGCCAGGTCTGTGCCATACGCAAGCTAGGAGCCAGGCCCTCCACCTGGGTCTCCCATGTGGGTGGCCCAGGTACTTGGGCCACCATCTGCTGCTTTCCCAGGTGCATTAGCAGGAGCTGGAAAGGAAGCAGAGCAGCCGGGATTTGAACCAGTGCCCATCATATGTGATGCCAGCATAGTAAGTGGCGGCCTCACACCCTGCACCATGACATCGGCCCCAGCACGCATTTTTTGTTTGTTTGTTTTTTGGTTTTTTTTTTTTTTTATTTATTTTTATTTGAAAGGCAGAGTTACAGAGAGCGGAGGCAGAGACAGAGACAGAGACAGAGACAGAAACAGAGACTAGATGGCCACAATGGTCAGAACTAGGCTGACCCGAAGCCAGAAACCGGGAGCCAGGAGCTTCTTCCGAGTCTTCCGCGTGGGTGCAGGGGCCCAAGGACTCAGGCCATCTTCTACTGCTATCCCAGGCCATAGCAGAGAGCTGGATCGGAAGTGGAGCAGCCGGGACTCGAACCGGTGCCCATATGGGATGCTGGCGCAGCAAGTGGTGGCTTTACCCGCTATGCCACAGTGCCAGCCCAATTGGGCATGTTATTTTAAGAACCCCTTACCTGGCCTCCATTCTACATGCCAAGGCCCTGCTGTCTGCCAGCACCCTACAGTACGCTGCACAGGCTCCCTGTAAGAGCTGTGGGCTTATCCTAGCTAGAATCCCCTAGTTCCAGGGTTGGCCCTGGCAGGAATCCCAGAGGTGACCAGCACCAGGGTGGCCATTAGTGCTGCCCTTGACCTCTTGAGATGAGGCTAGTGTGACAGAGAAGCTGGGCTTTCAGTCGTGTTTCACTCTAACGGGAACTCACAGAGCCACATGTGGCTCGTGGCTACCACAGTGACCAGTGCCAACATGCAACCTCTCACTTGAAGGACTTGGGAATGAGACAAGGGAGAAATAGCCGGCCCCTGCACTAGAGAGGGGACACCTTCAGGCCCTAACAGGGTCTGTTTTGAAGGAAGCAAACCTTCGTTTAAGATCTTGTTTAGGGCCTGGCGCTGTGGCATAGTGGGTAAAGCTGCTGCCTTTAACACCAGCATCCCATATGGGCGCCGGTTTGAGACCCGGCTGCTCCACTTCCCATCCAGCTCTCTGCTGTGGCCTGGGAAAGCAGCAGAGGATGGCCCAAGTGCTTGGGCCCCTGTACCCACATGGGAGACCCAGACGAGGTTCCTGGCTCCTGACTTCAGCCTAGCTCAGCTCCAGCCGTTGGAGTGAATCAGCAGGTGGAAGATCTCTCGCTCTCTCTGTAATTCTGCCTTTCAAATAAATAAATCTCAAAAAGATAAATAAAATCTTGTGTATATGATAAAATACCTGCCTGCAGTAGTTGAGGAAGAATTAATGCCATGTCTTCATTCCACTTCAACTCTCAGACTTAGGCTTTGATGTGCATAGCCCAGTGCCACAGAGTGAGTGAGTGGTGATGGCAATTTTTTTTTTTACAAGGGTTTTATTTATTTATTTTGAAAGGTGGATTTACAGACAGAGAGAGGAAGAGACAGAGAGAGAGGTCTTCCATCTGCTCTTTCACTCCCCAAATGGCCACAACGGCCAGAGCTGAGCCGATCCGAAGCCAGGAGCCAGGAGCTTCTTCCGGGTCTCCCACGCGGGTGCAGGAGCCCAAGGACTTGGGTCATCTTCCACTGCTTTCCCAGGCCACAGCAGGGAGCTGGATCAGAAATGGAGCAGCTGGGTCTCGAATTGGCACCCGTATAGGATGCAGGCACTGCAGGCGGATGATCAACCTACTGTGCCACAGTGCCGGCCCCTTAGTGGCAATTTCTTAATAGCAGGTGTCCAGCCGGGTGGCCCCTCTAGAGACTAGAAGTCATTTTCCTAGGCTGAGGCATGAGTCTGGTCTGGCCTGAGCCACACACATGGTCTATAAGTCTTTGCTTGGCTGGTGTCGCAGGAAACACGACTTGGGGACACTGGGAAGGGGCTGTCATTTGGGGGCAGGCTTGAATCTCGGTTTGACGGTAAATTAACCTCATGACCCTTGAGTTGCCTAAGTCTCAGCCTCCCCACCTGTGAAATGGGATCAGAGGTGGCCCTGGGACTCCCTGCTACGCCCCCTCCTAAAACACAGTCTTGTGTTTCTGGACTCCTAGGTCCGTATGAACTCAATCTCACCACCGACGGCCCAGCCACCACGGGAGCAGAGGTGACCGTCTCGGCCAGCCTGGTGGCCAAGGACAACGGCAGCCTGGCCATGCCCCCAGACACCCACCTGTACCGCTTCCACTGGATCCACAGCCCGTTGGTGCTCACCAGCAAGACGGAGAAGGAGCTCACCTCCACCATCCGCGTGCTGGGCAACCTGCCTGGCGACTTCCCCGTGTCCGTGTGGGTCACCGCCACCGACTGCTGGATGTGCCCGCCTGTGGCCCGGAGCTTCACCGTCCTCACCATCACAGGTGCCAGCGGGGCAGCGGGGGGAGGCGGGGAAGGGTCATTTCCTGTTTGCTAATTTGCCCTCAGGGTCCTCCTCTGTGGTCAGCTGAGCTAAGAATCAGGAAATGCAAATTCCCATGGCAACGGGGTTGTGCTGATGTGGACACGATGATGGCAGCCCCACGGAGAGCAGGCGATCCGTGTGCCGTGCCGGTCATGAGTTACGCTGGTCTTTGGTCCAAGCACTCATTCAGCCATCTCCCCGTCTCTTCCCTGGCTACCATCATGTCTTCTTTCTATTGTCTATCTAGGTCTATATGTATCTGTTTTCTGTCTTCTATCCATACCTATCTTCTGTATCTATTACCTGTATCTCCTATCATCTGTGGTCTATGTGTCTTCCATCACATATAGCTATCTTCCACCTACTTATATCCACCTTCTATCATCTATTTTCTATCTCTATCTGTCTTCTATCTTTCTATCTGTCTATCTATCCACCCATCCACCCATCCTCTACCTCTCTGTCTTATTCCAAGGGGACTCTCTGTGCTCCTGCTTTTTGGAGCTGACAGCCTAAGGAAGAATTTATTGTCAGGAAGCAAACCTGTATCTGGGTAATGCTTGATGCACGAAGGTGTGCATTGCAATGGTGTTTACAATAGCAAAAGAAAATACAAACGAGCCAAGTATGTAGCCACGAGGCGACTGGTTAACTATATTGAAAGAATCTGTACAACTCGTGATAACAATGACACAGGACTTTGCAATGTCAGGGGTCAATGCGCGTGCTTGTGAAATTACGTATTAAAAAATCGAAGCACAGACTTGTATCATAAATGCTATCACTGTGTTTAACGTATGTGTGCATTAAACACATGTGAATGCCAGTCCCTCACAGTGCCAGAGGCAGTGTTTGAGTGGTACTAGGGTCTTTTTTTATTACCCTACTTCTGAGCATTGCCATATGAGCTCTGTAGAGCGTGCCTTACTTCCGGCTTTTGTGGGGAAGAAAAAAAAAATCAGCATTTAGTGTTTTTGTCTTAGAGACGGAGACACCGGACAGTGGCCTGGCGCGACCCACTGGGCCGGGTGTGGAGATGCAGCCAGTACAGCTGCTCATTTTTGTGGGCTCAGAAACATTTTTAACTGTTTCCCCAAAGTTCCCTCCAACGCCTGCACATTTCCTTCTGGTCGGAGGTTCAGGATCCTGGTGGAAGTGGGGGGCAGGAGCAAAAGCCATGCCTGTGACGCCCACTCTGTCCACCTGCATTCCTGTGGCAGGGACCATGAGCTGGACACCGCCCGCCAGGTCCCTGTGCCTCCATGGACTCACCCTTCCCTGTCTCTCCCAGATTCTCTGGTGGGGACCCTCGTGGTGACCCAGAACAGCTCCCTGCCCTGGCCCAGCTCCTACCTCACCAAGATGGTCCTCAAAGTCGCCTTCTTGCTCCACGACCCCAGCGACTTCTTCAAGAACGCCTCGTTCCTCTACAGCTGGGACTTCGGAGACGGGTATGTCCTGGCCCCCGAGGTGCCCCGCTCGGCTCTGGCCTGCCCTCTGTGGCCGGCCCGGGGTCCCTGGGAGCATCCGACCATCGCTGCCCCTGCCTGGGAGGTCGTCATAGCCACGTAAAGGAGGCCACCGGCACCCACAGCAGCCCCTTCAGGAAGGCCACGGTGGGCAGTTTTCCCATTTGACTTCGAAGGGTGCCCAGCAGCCCACGCAGGTGCAGGTGGAACCCAGGTGCTGGAAAAAGCCGGGCTGCAGGAGGCGGCACGGGAGGGGATCGGGCGCCAGGCTGGGCCACGCCACACTGTCCACAGTGAGGCTGCTCAGTCCACGCAGCCGGCAGAGGCTCTGCACCCGTCGTGATGGGCTTGGGAACTGGCCCGCAGGCCTGAGAAACTTCCTGTTGTACCTGCTTCCCTTGTTCTACGGGGAGACGCTGGTCTCCCCTCTTTCAGAGAGCCTAACCCCCCCCCCCCCGCCCAGCAGCAGAGTGCACTTCCTGTACGTGGACGTTAAACACGCGATGTGGCCTGATCCTCACACTCAGCCTGATAGGTAACGCCATTAACCCCATATTACAGGTAAGCAGGTGTGGGTGCACGGCACCTTAGGGAGCCCTTGTCCCATTATGAAAGACGGGTTAATAACATCCGCATGACTCAACAAGTTGGTATAGAATTGTCACTCACAATTAGGGCTGCCATCGCTTTCTGTCAGTGGATGCCAGGGAATCTCTTGGTGTTCTATCCAGTTAGCCAGCCTAGGGCTCTGCAATTTTTTTTTGTTGTTGTTGTTACAAAGATTTTATTTATTTATTTGAGAAGTAGAGTTACAGACAGAGAAAGGGAGAGTCAGAGAGAAAGGTCTTGCATCTGCTGGTTCTCTCCCCAAATGGTTGCAACAGCCAGAGCTGTGCTGATCCAAAGCCAGGAGCCAGGAGCTTCTTTTGGGTCTCCCATGTGGGTGCAGGGGCCCAAGGACTTGGGTCATCTTCTACTGCTTTCCTAGGCCACAGCAGAGAGCTGGATCGGAAGTGGAGCAACCGAGGCTTGAACCTGCACCCATGTGGGATGCCGGCATTGCAGGTGAAGGCTTAACCCGCTATGCCACAGCACTGGCCCCTGCAAATGTTTCTTTGAATGCCCCAAGGGCCAAAGGAGACTTGGAGTCTCAATATGTTGCCATTGTACCTGAAGGCAGCCGTGAACAATAGGTAAAGAAATGAGAATAGCTGTGTGTCGATAAAACTTTATTTACAGTTACAAGTGGTGGGCCAGATTTGGTCCCTGTACCCTTCAACTGTTGTCCCAATCCCTGGGTGGCTAACAAGTTCTTCTCCGATGGGAAGCAGAGTGTTCCCTGTGCCAGATGCAAGCCTGCTCATTTTACTCCTTACAAAAACCTCTCTGGCTTACATGGTTCTCTGCATAGTGGGCCCATTCTGTGTCGTGGAAATTGAATAATGAGATTTTGTTAATTTTCTCCTGCACTTTCCTTTCATATCTGGTTTCCTCCTTTATATAGAATGGGGAGAAAGCAGGCACATTACTTAAAGTTCTTATTTTACATAAAAGGTTTTCAAAATTTAGAGATGAAAGTTAGGAGCTATTCCAAACTTGGATTTTTGTCTCCTTTGGAAAAAAAAATCTACTGGGCACTGTGGTGTAGCAGGTAAAGCCTCCGCCTGCAGCATCGGCATCCCACATGTGCGCCGGTTCGAGTCCCAGCTGCTCCACTTCCAATCCAGCTCCCTGCTAATGGCCTGGGAAACCAGCAGAGGATGACCCAAGTGCTTGGGCCCCTGCACCTATGTGGAAGATGTAGAAGAATCCCCTGGCTTTGGATTGGTCCAGCTCTGGTCATTGTGGCCTTTTGGGGAAGTGAACCAGCGGATGAAAGAGCTCTTAGTCTCTGTCTCTCCCCCTCTCTGTAACTCTGCCTTTAGAATAAAATAAATATTTTTTAAAAAGTCTGTGGAAAAGGGGAACAAATTTAAGTCAATAGATATTAGCTTGTAAATGTGAAATATAAAGAAAAAAAAAAAAAAAGCAATGGTAGCAATGTCCACATCTGAAAAGCAGAATTTGAGATAGAAGTACTACAAAGAGGGTTCCTTTTGATGTAAAAGATACATTTGGGGGCCGGCGCCACAGCTCACTAGGCTAATCCTCCGCCTGCGGTGCCGGCACACCAGGTTCCAGTCCCGGTCGGGGCGCCGGATTCTGTGCCGGTTGCCCCTCTTCCAGGCCAGCTCTCTGCTGTGACCAAGAAGTGCAGTGGAGGATGGCCCAAGTCCTTGGGCCCTGCACCCACATGAGAGACCAGGAGAAGCACCTGGCTCCTGCCATCGGATCAGCACCGTGCGCCGGCCGCAGCGTGCTGGCCGCGGCGGCCATTGGAGGGTGAACCAATGGCAAAGGAAGACCTTTCTCTCTGTCTCTCTCTCTCTCTCACTGTCCACTCTGCCTGTCAAAAAAAAAAAAAAAGGTACATTTGGAATATTGGCATCAAAACACAGAAAGAGAGCCCGATGGGAAAATTACTCAGAGACATGGGGGAAAAAGAGAAAAATGAAATTAACCATGTGTCATCAGAGATTTTAATATCCATAGACTTTGCTATTTTAAAGAGGATTAACGTAATGACAAGAAGATTTTTCATAAAATAAATATATATGTAATCAAACTCATACATACTCTTAGGCCTAAAAACAAAATATTGCATTGAATTTTTAGAAAAAATAAAGAATGACTGCATTCTGGAACTTAAAACGTCAGAATGTTCCAGAACGGAGAATGTAGGTACTGTCCTTCTCTGTTACGACGTAAACAAGGAAAAATGAAGCTGGAGGGCCCAGCCCCAAGGCCGCCCGACCCTCTGACATCTTCTGAGGTCTGGCCACTTGCTCTGTTAGACGGAGCCCCGCCTTGGACCCCAGCTGCAAGCCCACTAGTGGTGCGTTGTCAAGAACACACTGAGGGTCAGCTACTGGCCTGAGAACTTTCTAGAACTCACCAGAAGTTGTTATACTCACAGTTAGGGCTTTTTTTTTTTTTTTTTTTTTTTTTTTGACAGGCAGAGTTAGACAGTGAGAGAGAGAGAGAGAGAGAGACAAAGGTCTTCCTTTTTCCATTGGTTCACCCCCAAAGTGGCCGCTACGCCCGGTGCTTTGCAGCCGGCACACTGCGCCGATCTGAAGCCAGGAGCCAGGCGCATCCTCTTGGTCTCCCATGCAGGTGCAGGGCCCAAGGACCTGGGCCATCCTCCACTTCCTTCCTGGACCACAGCAGAGAGCTGGCCTGGAAGAGGGGCAACCGGGACAGAATCCGGCGCTCCAACCGGGACTAGAACCCGGGGTGCCGGTGTTGCAGGTGGAGGATTAGCCTAGTGAGCCGCGGTGCCGGCAAGGGCTTATTTATTTTTAAACAATTTATTTGAGAGGCAGAGAAAGCCTCAGAGACAGGGAGAAAGCTCCTATCTGCTGATTCACACACACACACACACACACACACACACACACAACTGCCCACCCGCAGCAATGGCCCCAGGCCAGGGGCCGAAGCCAGTAGCCCGGAACTCCATCCAGGTCTCCCCTGTGAGTGACAGGAGTCCATTACTGGCAGCCATCACCACTGTCTCCCAGGGGCTGCAATAGCAGGACACGGGAGTTGGGAGCCAGGGCAGGGGATCCAACCCAGGCACTGGGATGTGGACGTGAAGCATCTTAACCGCTGGGGCGAACGTTTATGACAGTGGAAGGATACAGATACAAAACCCGAAGTCACTCTCCCAGCATCCCCGTGTGACAGCACCACAGACGACGGGCAGCTCAGCGGAGGCTCCGTGTTCAGTGTCTTCGTGGGGCTTGCGGTAGTCTGCTGTCCCACCGTAATGAGACAGCACGGGCCGGGTGGAACAAAGCACGTTGTTTTCTCGTGATTTTGGGAGCTGGAAGTCCAAGCTCTGGGAGCCGCCAGGGTTGTTGTTTGGTGATGGCTCCCTGCGGACTTGTGGCTGGCTGTCCTCTCATGGTGTCCCTTCAGAGCCTTTCCCCTGTGCCAGGGCAGGGGCAGGGAGAGGGAGAAGGAAGGCGTGGGGGGCATGGTTGGTGTGTCTTCCTCTTAAAAGGATGCAAATCCTGTTGGATTAAGACTCCACCCCACGACTTCACTGACGCCTGAACACCTCTTTAAGGGTCTAACTCCAGACACAGTCATGCTGGGGCTTAGGGCTTCAGCGTGTACATCTGGGAATCCATAAAGCATGATTGAGGGCTGGCCCTGTGGTGTAGTGGGTTAAGCCGCCACCTGCAGTGCCGGCATCCCATATGGGCGCCAGTTCAAGTCCTCGCTGCTCCACTTCCAATCCATCTCCCTGCAAATGCACCTGGGAAAGCAGTAGAAGATGGCACAAGCGTTTGGGCCCCTGCACCCATATGGGAGATGTGGAAGAAACTCTTGGCTCCTGCCTTCAGCCTGGTCCAGTTCCAGCCATTGTAGCCATTTGGAGAGTGAACCAGTGGATAGAAGACCTTTCTCTCTGCCTCTTCCTTGCCTTTTGTAACTCTGCCTCTCAAATAAATAAATCTTTAAAAATTAAATAGATGAAGCATAATAGTCTGCCCATGTGGTTAAGCTCAGGCCAAGTGACACCATGTGATTCAAAGCCAACACTAGAATGACCCAAGGCCTCTCAGGCAAACAGTGAAACCCTACCAAAGCAGTATTTTTTTTTTTTTTTTGGACAGGCAGAGTTAGACAGTGAGAGAGAGAGAGACAGAGAGAAAGGTCTTCCTTTGCTGTTGGTTCACCTCCTAAAGGGCCGCTACGGCCAGCACACTGTGCTGATCTGAAGCCAGGAGCCAGGTGCTTCTCCTGGTCTCCCATGGGGTGCAGGGCCCAAGCACTTGGGCCATCCTCCACTGCACTCCCGGGCCACAGCAGAGAGCTGGCCTGGAAGAGGGGCAACCGGGACAGAATCCGGAGCCCCAACCGGGACTAGAATCTGGGGTGCCGGTGCTGCAGATGGAGGATTAGCCAAGTGAGCCATGGGGCTGGCCCACTGTACAGTTTTTAAAAATTATAATGCTTTATACAGTTTTCAAAACCACAAATATATTTCAAATACTTTTGAAAATCTCCATGCTTTTCTGGGAAATTGTAAATTAGTAGAATGCACTTGAAAGTAGAACATATTGTAAGATAATTATCTCAACAAAGGGGCTAGAACCAGATGATTTTACTAAAAAGTTATTTTATACTTTTTTTTTTTTAAGTTATCTATCAGAAAGGCAGAGTTACGGGGGGGGGGGGGATACTGAGAAATCAGTCTTCCATCCACCTGTTCACTCCCTAATAGCCACAACAGCCAGTGCTGGGCCAGGCAAAAGCAGAAGCCAGGAGCCAGGAGCTTCCTTCAGGCCTCCCACCTGGGTACAGGGACCCAAGCACTTGGGCCATCTTCTGCTTCCTTCCCAGACACCTCTTCTGGGAGCTGCATTGGAAGTGGAACAGCCAGGACTCGAACCCATGTGCATGTGTGGGATGCCAGCTCGGTGCACAGCCCCAGTTTTAAACTTCCAAAGATCCTATAAGTTGGGGCAGGCATCTGACAAAGAGGTCAGGACGCTGCTTGGGGTTCTGTGTCAGAGTGCTGGGTTCAGCTCCCACGTCCACTGCCAACTCCAGCTTCGTGCCGACGGTGGCTCAGATATCTGCCTGGGTCCCTGCCACCCACGTGGGGGACGTGGGTGGAGCTCCAGCATCCTAGCTTTGGCCTGGCCTCGCCTTGGCTTTTGCAGGCATTTGGGAAGGAAACCAGCAGATGGAAGATCTGTTCATCTCTCTGCCTCTCAAATAAAATGAAAATTAATAAATGACAAATCATTTTAAAAATCTTGACCGGCGCCGCGGCTCAATAGGCTAATCCTCCGCCTTGCGGCGCCGGCACCCCAGGTTCTAGTCCCGGTCAGGGCGCCAGATTCTGTCCTGGTCACTCCTCTTCCAGGCCAGCTCTCTGCTGTGGCCCGGGAGTGCAGTGGAGGATGGCCCAAGTGCTTGGGCCCTGCACCCATGGGAGACCAGGAGAAGCACCTGGCTCCTGCCATCGGATCAGCGCGGTGCGCCGGCCACAGCGCGCTGGTGGCAGCCATTGGAGGGTGAACCAACAGCAAAGGAAGACCTTTCTCTCTCTCTCTCTCACTGTCCACTCTGCCTGTCAAAAAAAAAAAAAAAAATCCTGTAATTCTCCTGGAGTGATAGAATGTCTTGCAGAACACAAACCAAGAAAGCAAGCATCTCGATTATTCTACGCAATGAACATGGCTCAAAAAAGTGTTATTCAAAGGTAGGCATGATTTCAAAAAAATTTTTGCACAAAAATAAACGTATCTTTTAATTCCATTTTCATTTATTTACTTGAGTGACAGAGAGCTGGAGAGATACAGAGAGAGAGAGAGAGCTGCTGTCTGCTGGTTTACTCCCCCAGTGCCAGCGATGCCCTGGGCTGGGGAGGAACAGGGAATTCAAACCAAGTCCCTCACGCGGGCGGCGGGGACCCCACTACAGGAGCCATCACCACTGCCTCCTAGGGTAAGGTCCTGGCGGAGGCCCACGTGCTGGCCTGACTCCCATCCCAGAGTCCACAGCTTGTATACGCAGCAGTAGGAAGTCAGGAGGCAGGACTCCTACTCATAAAGCAAACAGTGTTTCTCAGAAACCTGGGAACACGTGTGCCTGGAGACGCTCTCGATTCTGCGTGAAGCAAAGCACAGAGCCACTGAGAGGTCTCAGCTCGGGCGGTGGGCGAGCGCCCCACGCCCAGGCTGCTCACAGCCGGCCGTCACCTGTCCACTTCCCCTCTCCCCAGTAACTCTGCAAGCCCAGCACAAACCCACTGACATCCCAGTAGGGGTAACTGAGTAATTTTTTGGAATATGACAAAGATGCTAATGTTCATACAATTAAATCATCTGTTTATCAGGGTACTTTAAAGAGTTCATGGAAAATGGAATTAAAAGGTACATTTAGTTGGTGCAAAAAATTTTTGAAATACATGAATACGAAAGGTTTCCATTAAATCTGGAAAATACAACTAATGAAAAAACTCTGCCTGAGTTTCCATGTTTTGCACCAACATAAACAATTCTTTTAAAAAATTTATTTATTTATTTGAGAGGTAGAGTTACAGACAGTGAGAGGGAGAGACAGAGAGAAAGGTCTTCCATCCACTGGTTCACTCTCCAAATGGCCACAATAGCTGGAGCTGCACCGATCCTAAGCCAGGAGCTTCTTCTGGGTCTCCCACGCAGGTGCAGGGCCCAAGTACTCGGGCCACCTTCTACTGCTTTCCCAGGCCACAGCAGAGAGCTGGACTGGAAGAGGAGCAGCCGGGACTCCAACCGGCACCCATATGGGATGCTGGTGCCGCAGGTGGAGGATTAACCTACTGTGCCACAGTGCTGGCCCCCGTAAGAACATCTTTAATTCCATTATCCGTGAACATTTTGAAGCACCCTCGTACATCCGGCTATTCGACTTCCTTGGAGAGATTTGGGGACGTGGTGGGAGGAGCTGGTTGTGGTGCACCAGATGTATTTCTGTCGTCCTCTGTGAGGGAGGGCCAAGAAGTGAGGCCTGAGTCACGGAATCTGGAGCTGAGATCAAGCCCGGGTGTGTCCTCACGCCAACACTGATGCTTCTCGCCTCCTGTATCTCTGCCAGACTCCTGGCTGGGCCCCGCGTACTTCCCGGGCAGCTCTTCCACCGGCAGCCGGCAGCCACTTCACCAGGTTCTCCAGCGGGGGACTGAGGGCCCAGTGGGACCCAGGACGTGCAGGTGCCGGCGCAGGTGACAGCATTGGCAGCCGGCACAGCAAACCCCAGAGAGGGGCAGCCATGAAGACGCCCCTTGGCACATCCACATCCCCATCAGGGTGCCCGGGTTCGAGTCCTGGCTCTGTATCCACTTCCAGCTTCCTGCTAACATGCACCCTGGGGGGCAGCAGAGGATGGCTCAAGTCACTGGGTCCCTACCACCCACATGGGAGACCTGGATAGAGTTTCAGACTCCTGGCTTCAGTCTAGCCCAGCTTCAGCTGTTGTGGGCATCTCTGCCTGTCTCTCCGCCTTTCAAATAAATAACAAATCAGTAAAAATTAACAAACGAACCCCTGGGGGATTCTGACAGTCTGCAATGCTGAGAACTGGGCTGTGCGCTCCTGACTGAGGCCCACGGGCTGTCCCTACTGCCCCTGGGAGAACACGGAACCCATTATCCATATCAGAACCTTTCCTGCCCTCCCTGGCGCCAGTTTTGTCGTCTGTGAAATGGGCCAGCTGTCCTGGGGCCCTGGCTGGCTCTGGGGCTGCTGCTGTGGGGACAGGTGTGCTGACTGCTAGCCCGCGTGTCTGTACAGCCTCCGCTCAGTGGAAGAGGTCCCACGAGTCACCCGAGCCACAGGCAGGGGAAGCAAGTTCCCATCATCTTTCTCCCCTCTTCCCTCTGTCACCGCGCAGGACCCTGATGGTGACTGAAGACGCTGTGGTCTACTACAACTACTCCATCATCGGGACCTTCACGGTGAAGCTCAAGGTGGTGGCCGAGTGGCAGCAAGCCAAGCCGGACGCCACCACGGGCGTCGTGCAGAAGACCGGCGACTTCTCCGCCTCGCTGAAGCTGCAGGGTGGGCCCTGGGCCCCCGGCCCCCGGCCCAGGGAGGGAGTACCCGTGCCCAGTCTTGCTCCAGCTTGGGCAGGGGGGCAGCAGAACTTGGGCAGCTATGGAAGGCTTCCTGGTGCTTGCTAACGGGACGGGGGAGAGGGGGAGGTATTCTCCCAGGCACAGCTCATGGCTCGGTGGCAGTGAGCGTGAGTCGGCCTCTGCCTGCTTCTCCAAGCTTCTCCCTCTAAGTTGGCTGCACACCTGCTGCTGACGGGGCAGGGCAGGACCCAGGGGGTGCCCTGGACCCTCCCCTGAGCGGCGGTCATGTGGCCCAGGCCACCAGCCTGGCCTGACGCAGTTCTCTCTGCCTTTTCAGAAACCCTTCGGGGCATCCAAGTGCTGGGGCCCACCCTGATCCAGACCTTCCAAAAGATGACAGTGACCTTGAACTTCCTGGGGAGGTGAGTGAACCGTCCTGTGGTGCCTGCTCTCTCTCTAACAGATGCCCTGAGCCTGCTGCCATATCCCACAATGAGCCCTAAGTCTGGGGGCTCCTGGGACGACAACTGTGCTCTGGGCAGGAGCATGGATATGTTGGGGTGGTGGGCATTGAGGCAGGGGAAGGGATGGCTCCTGTGTAAAGCCGTCCACGGATGGGGTGGGTCTGTTTTCCAGCCCCCTGGCCTTTGCCTATACAGCTCTCTCCCTCTCTCTCTATCCCTCTCCCTTCCCTGCTCATCCTCAGAAAGTCTGTGCTACCCTCTAGCTTATACAGGGCAGCTAGCAGAGGTTGGTGGAGGGGGCCATTCTAGAAGCTGGAGAGACAGGCGTGGACACCACAGAGCCCCTGCTTCCAAGGGCTATGTGCAGGGTGGGACGGCCCCTGAAGGCGTGGACACAGGGGCCTGTTGCAGGTGCACCTGCTTGGCTGGACCAGCCCAGGCTCTGAGTGAGGTTTGCGGCTGGGTTTTTAGTGATCGCGGAACCAGGGGCACCTGTGTAGAGGTCAGTGGTCAGGGACCAGCCTGCATCGGGCTGTGGGCCCCACCCCCGCACACATGAGAGGAAGCAAGGCCACAGAGGAGAGAAAGAGATGGCAATTTGGGGATCAGAGCTCAGGCTGTGGGGCGTGGGAGGCTGTTTAGGTTTGGCAGATGCCGGTTCTGGGCCTGTGCTTGTGCTGCGCTGATACTCTTGAGTGCCAGCATCAAAAGTCTATGCATCTTGCAAATGCCTCCTCCTCCCAGAAGCCTTCCCTGACTTACCTGTCAGGAATGTGTTTGTTGTTCCCCTCGGTTTCCACGGCACAACACGTGAGCACTCATTATGGCAGTCCAGGCATATTCTTGTTGGCCCTGCCAGCCTGGGATCCCCTTGAGGCCTAGGGCTGTCTCTTCCGCATCACTGTGTTGTTCTGTAGTCTGGATGTACTCAGCTGAGCACAGCCTGGTGCCCACCCGGCCTGCCCTGGGCGTGCTCCGAGGTCATCCTCCTTGGAGAGCTGCTTCTGAAATCCTGTCCACATCGCCCGCAGCCCGCCCCTGACCGTGTGCTGGCGTCTCAAGCCTCAGTGCCTCCCGCTGGAGGAAGGGGAGTGCCACCCTGTGTCCGTGGCCAGCACAGCTTACAACCTGACCCACACCTTCCGGGACCCAGGGGACTACTGCTTCAGCATCCGAGCCGAGAACGTCGTCAGCAGGACGCACCAGTACCACAGAATCCAGGTGTGGCCCTCCAGTAAGTGACACGGGCAGCAAGGAGCTGGCAGTCCTGCCACCACCTCCACCACCAGTGTGCCCCGGTCAACCAGCCCCGACAAAGTCAGCACCAGCCAACCCCAGCGGCAGAGCACCATAGCCTCAGCCAGCCCCAACCACCACCACCAGCACTGACCAGCTCAGCCAGGCCAATGCCACACCAGCACCACACACCAACAACCACTCACTCCCACCATGACCACACACCCATCAACCCTGCCAACACAGCCATACACACCAGAACCACACACCAACAACCACTCACTCCCACCGTGACCACACACCCATCAACTCTGCCAACAGCACCATGGACACCAGTACCACACACCAACAACCACTCACTCCCACCATGACCACACACCTGTCAACTCTGCCAATACCACACCAGCACCACACACCAAAACCACTCATGCCCACCATGATCACACACATCGCTGACCACTCTTCTGGTACTGCCGTCACTCCCAATAGCTAGAATTGCCTCAGCTATCCCTGCCCCCTTCTGTAACCCCTCAGCTGTAACAGCAGATCCTGTGACCATTCCACCAGACCACCAGCTCCTACGCTAACCATCTGGGCAACACCACTGTTGCTGAACTGCTGCCCCCGAGTCACCCTAAATCCACCTCTCTGTCACCAGCATCGTCTCCTCCATGTATCCCGAGACCACGCACATCCCCCTGAGACAGACACCCTCAATGAGCCCTGATCACACGGTTCCCCGCCTGGCCACCATGACAACTGGCGTCCCCCATGGCCCAGCTCCCAGCCTGTGGTGTCCTCCAGGGAGCGAGAGGAGCCCAGCCAGCTCCTTTTGGAAGAGCTTCCCCGAGTCCATCATCAGGCCTGGCTGCTGGCTTATGGTTCTTGGGTCAGCTGATGGCAGAATGATGTTCCACTTCCCAGGGGAACTCTAGGACACGGAACACCATGCCCGTACACAGAGGAGGAAGTCAGACCCCAGACCCCTAAGGGTGGCCTTTCTGATACCCAACCTGTTCTTCCTGTCATGTTACAAAAGGGTAAACGGGGTCAGCACTGTGGCTCACTTGGCTAATCCTCCGCCTGCGGCGCCAGCATCCCATATGGGCACCAGGTTCTAGTCCCAGTTGCTCCTCTTCCAGTCCAGCTCTCTGCTGTGGCCCGGGAGGGCAGTGGGGGATGGCCCAGGTGATTGGGTGCCTGTACCCACGTGGGAGACCAGGAGGAAGCACCCAGCTCCTGGCTTCGGATCGGCGCAGCGTGCCAGCCATAGCAGCCATTTGGGGAGTGAACCAACGGAAGGAAGACTTTTCTCTGTCTCTCTCACTCACTGTCTAATTCTACCTGTCAAATAAGTTAAAAAAAAAAAAAAAGGTAAACGAAGGCACACGGGGGCAACACGACTGGCTGGCAGCTGGAGCCCAAGTCCAGGCTTCCAGGCTGTTGGCCCAGAGCTCTCCTCTGGGGTCTGAGGTCTTCCTGCAGCTCCTAAATTCATGCTAAACCCTGCCGGCTGCACCTGCCCTCCAGGTTGGCCCTGTAGGTGTGTCCAACACTGTCCTTGTCTCCTCCCACCCTCCACAGTCCCTCTCTGAGCAGACGCCGTGCCCCATTCTGGGCCCTGGGTGGCCGTGTGGGCCTCACCGGGGGCCTTGGGCCCTGATGCCTCCAGCACCCCCTGGCACTGAGCCCCGGGGACCCCCTAAATCCAGCAGGAATGCACATTTCCCCACCGCCCGCCGGGCACCAGGCACATGCAGGCCCCTCACTGTATCGCATCTCCAAGGGCCAGCAGACACATCGCGTGGCCTGTCCAGAACCGGCACTGACCGCAGGACCACCTAACTGCCAGTGCTGGCTTCTCCACCCGTCTGCTTCCTAGCAAGAGTCTGGGGTACAGGGGAGGGAGGCTGAGCTGGGAGTGGGAGCTGCCCTCACGGTGGCAGGGGTTGCTCTCACAGTGAGAGCACTCATGAGTAGGAAGCACCTGTGAGTGTTGTGTGGCCTCAACTTGAGCCTTGAACCTGTCACTCCTGCCACCTGCTCTGCGCTGGGAACTGACCATTGACCGAGTCCAGCCCACACTCCAGGGGCAGGGAGTGCAGCTGCCCCTCTTAGAAGTGACCATCCCAAGACTTGTGGACACGCTTCTCTTTTCAAATCCACACACCTCCTCGTTTATTTTGTGTCGAGCCCTGGGCTTGCCTGTTGTGGCTGCCTGGTCAAGATGCACACACGTAAGAGAAAAATACCACCACTAGGAGCTGCTCTGCTCCCCACCACTGTGCCCGAGGACCAGCCTTTCGGCACCAGCTCCCCGCCTCCTTGTTCTAGTTCCCGGGTCTCTCCCTCCCAGGCATCCAGCCGGCCGTCTTTGCTTTTCCGTGCGCCACACTGATCACCGTGATGCTGGCCTTCATCATGTACATGACTCTTCGCAACGCTACCCAGCAAAAGGACATGGTGGAGGTGGGTGTTCCGTGGGTGTTTAGGAAGGGTCCCTGGGGGACCAGGCTAGGATGCCTGGAGGGGGGTGGTCTTGACCTTCGAGCACAGCCCTGGGGCTTGGGCAGATGTGGCCCCAAAGGCGCCATGACCGATCTCCTCGTGTGCGTGGTGCCCGCAAGCAGCTGAGCTCATAAGGCCACCTTCCGCTGACGGCGCTCGTGGTGGGCGGCTCATTGACCCGTGGGGTTTTGTTCATCATAGGTGGCTGATTTTGACTTTTCCCCCATGTCTGACAAGAACCCGGAGCCGCCCTCTGGGGTCAGGTGCTGCTGCCAGATGTGCTGCGGGCCCTTCTTGCTGGAGACCCCGTCCGAGTACCTGGAGATCGTCCGCGAGAACCACGGGCTGCTCCCGCCCCTCTACAAGTCCGTCAAAACTTACACCGTGTGAGCGCCACCGACCCAGAGTTTCGGGCGGGGTGCCGCATGCCCCTGAGTGGTGGGGGTTCACACGTTGTTGTGGGGGGGGGCGTCTGTCTGTACAGGCCAGCGCTTGCCACCCCCTCCAGACCATGTGCCCATCTGTACCACAAGCCCTGCTCAGTCACCCTCAGCCCACCGCCTGCCACAGAGGACCCTGCCACTTGGTGTTGTCCCTGTTCCCAGCCCGCTGGGCCCCACTGCGCCTCACCCATCCCTCTCATACTGGCCTGGCTGTCGTCTGCCCGGAGGACCCGGGGCCTGTGAGCAGAGGTCATTGGCTGTAGGGAGTAGATACATAAGGAAAGACTGCTCACCCCATGAGTGCAGACACACACACACACACACACATACACAGCAACACGCACGCACACATGTCCCACAGGCGTCTCGCTCTGTATCTGCCAGGGCACCTGCTGGTTTGCACCTGAATTGGAACACAATGCAGTCTGACCCTGTCCCCTGTCCCCTGCCTCGGGGCCCCCGGCCCAGCTCCTACCCCCACCCCGTGCATTGTCCCCGCAGCTCCCTGGTTGCCTCTGGAGGCCACCACCTTCCCTGCCTGTTTGCTGGGAGCTAGAGGAGGGCGGGAGGAGACTTTGCGAGTGCAGGGAGCTGTGTGAACATCACCTTGTTTAATTGAGACGCAGTTTCCATTGAGGAAAAGGAGAGGTGGAGTCCCTGGGGACCTGGATCCCGGGGCAGGGGAGCAGGTTGGGGGGTGCGGCAGCCCTGCCTTCCCAGCTGTCCCGGGGCGGTGGTAGGGGAGTCCAGGGACGTGGGGGAGGCCCTGCAGAGGAGAGAGCAGGTGCTAAGGGCGGTGAGGATTGAGTCCCGGTGTGCAGCCTGCACCTGCGGGGCAGGGATGGGCAAGATGGCGGGGGCGGGGCTCTGTGGCTGTCACCGTTTGCTCTCCGATTTTGTGCTAGAACCCACACTGCCGTGCCGTCACTCTCATGAACCACCGCCATTCCTGCTGGATAAAGCTTGTGTGTTCCAGGCACCACCCGTGTGGCCCCATCCTCTGTCACATGTGGATGCTGCAGGGTGGAGGGTGCGGACAGAGTGGGATATCCCCGCGTCAGGCGGGGCTGGACCATAACCCCGATAGCGAGCCCGGGCGGAGTCTGGAATCAGAGCGAGGACGTCGGCCGCTCCTGGAAGGCTGTGGGGGAAGGCAAGCGCTGGGGGCCTCCTCCCTGTGGAAGCAGCACCCCGGGGTGGGGGCAGCTGCCCCTGCCACCTGTTCCCATAAGCTCGCTTGCACCCAGCCCGCCTGGAGGCTGTTCCTCCAGGTGGCGCTGTCACAGCCCAAGGGCCTCAGGCTGTCAGGATCTGGCTCTAGGGTTTGGCCCTAGCTTTTTGGCTGGGGGGCGTGTGGGACCCAGCCCACGCAGCAGGCGTGCCACAGCTTCACAGAGCCCTATGCAGGTGCGGGTGGGTGCCAGCCTCACCCACCCCTGCATCACTGTCCTTTTCTCTTTAAATTGATGTTTTATTGCATCCTCCTATGATGGAATCCAGTAGGATCCCATGGCTATTGTTAGGCACAGAAACACAGACCCCTGGGGCCGGCTTCAGGGCGTAGCTGGTAAAGCCGCCGCCTTTGCAGCACCTGCATCCCACAGGGGCACCAGTTTGAGTCCTGGCTGCTCCACCGCCAATGCAGCTCCCTGCTGATGGCCTGGGAAAGCGGCGGAAGATGGCCCAAGTGCTTGGGCCCCTGTACCCACGTGAGAGACCCCGAAGAAGCTCCTGGCTCCTGGCTTTGGCCTGGCCCAGCCCTGACCATTGTAGCCATGTGGGGAGTGAACCAGCAGATGGAACACGTCTCTGCCTCTCCTTCTCTGTAGCACTGACTTTCAAATAAATACATCTTACACACACACACACACAACCCTGCTAAGTCAGGCTTGTATGACTTGAGCACGGCTCTTTTTTTTTTTTTTTTTTTTGTAATTTAAAAAAATTTATTAAAGTGGCAGAGCAACGGAGAACTTCCACTGCTGGTTTGCTCCTGAAACTCCCCCAGTGCCCACGGCTGGGCCATGGCCACAATCCGGGTCTCCCACGTGGGTCCTGGGGACGCAGTTACAAGAACCATCACCACTGCCATCCAGGGTGTGCCCGAGCAGGAAGCTGGAGTCAGGAGCAGAACCAGAGACCTGAGCCAGGTCTCGCTGCGACCACCCAGGTCCTCACTGTGACCGCTCCACCCATCCCTCCCAGCACTGCTCTCAGTCCATTGTCCTGCTGGCCTGGGCAGCGGCCCGATCTTGCGGACACACAATCGCACTGTTTCTGTCTTTACTTCAAGTTTGCTTCGTCCAGTGAATACGGTTCGTGGCTCTTTGCCTGACTGCAGCTTGGTACGCGTTTCCAGCATCATGACTCGTTTTAACTGACATCGTCACGTTTTCTTTCCACCTTTTTCTGCTCCGAGTGTTCCATGTTCACCTCCACGACGGCCCTGGCTCTCACGTCACCAACCTGAGACATGACTTGCTTCAGTGTGATCTGCCGTTGTGGCATGGGGGCAACTTCGGTGGTGGCCTCCGGATCTCTTTTTCTAAGATTTGTTTTTTATTTATTTGAAAGGCAAAGTTACAGAGAGAATTTTCCATCCGATGGTTCACTCCCCAGATGGCCGCAATAGCCCGAGCTGTGCTGATCTGAAGCCAGGAGCCAAGAGCTTCCTCCAGGTTTCTCACATGGGTGCAGGGGCCCAAAGGACTTAGGCCATCTTCTACTGCTTTCCCAGGCCATAGCAGAGAGCTGGATCGGAAGTGGAGTGACCAGGACTTGAACCAGCACCCATATGGGATGCTGGCGTCACAGGTGGTGGCTTTACCCACCATAGCACCAGTCCAGATCTTGACCAGAGGTGAACTCTCTGAACCCTGCTGCCAGACTTAGCTCTCTCTTGGGGGATGTACAGGGAGCCACGGGGCCATGGCACAGGTCACAGAGCGAGGCCCAAAGCCTTCTGCACGTACTCCTGTGCCCAGCTGTGGGGAGCAGCGGGTCTGGGGGACGGGCTCTCCCAGCCACAGTGCAGCCACCTCCAGTGCCACCGTTGCTGACCAAAGGCATGGCCCAACCTCAGCATCCCTGGCGTGCAGGCACGTGCTGCCACCCCAGGCAGGCCTTGGGACAGGAAGGAACCTGGACGTGGTCAGGGACCCTCATGCCTGCAGCAGCCTTTTTGAGGGTCAAAGCAAATCGTGCAGAAGTGTGTGTATGGGGGGGTACGTTCTCGCCTTGAGCTACTTGAACGTGGACTTAGTGGCCATGGGCCAAGATTCGTGACAGGTCGTCCCCCTATGAAACCATACACAGCTCCCTGCACCACTGTTGCTGCCTTCAGGGGGCCAGCCTAAGATGTAGAAATTTCCAGAGGGGGCAGTGCTGTGGCCTAGCAGGTATAGCTACTGCCTGCAGTGCCGGCATCCCATATGGGTGCTGGTTCGAGACCCAGCTGCTCCACTTCCGATTCAGCTATGGCCTGGGGAAGCAGTAGAAGATGGCCCAGGTCCTTGGGCCCCTGAACCCACGTGGGAAGACCCAGAGGAAGCTCCTGGATCCTGGCTTCAGATCAGCGCAGCTCCAGCCATTGTGGCCAATTGGTGGTGAACCAGTGGATGGAAGACCTCTCTGTCTCTCTCACTCACTCACTCTGCCTCTCCTTCTCTTAGTGTGTAACTCTGACTTTCAAATAAATAAATCTTTAAATAAATTTCCAGGCTGTTCAGACTTGGAGAGGAGCTACAGCTTTGCAAAAAATAGGGGCATTGGGTGTTCATTGTACACAAGGTTTGTTTTAAAGATTTATCTGTATCTATTTATTTGAAGGACAGAGGGAGGGAGGGAAGAAGCGGGGGGAGAGGGAGAGAGAGAAAAGGAGAGAAAGATCAGTCTTCTGCTGGTTCACTCCCCAAATGGCCGCAATGGCCAGGGCTGGGCCAGGCTGAAGCCAGGATCCAGGGTCTCCCACTTGGGTGCAGGGGCCCAGGCACTTGGGCCATCTTCCACTGCCTTCCCAGGTGCGTTAACACAAAGCTGGATTGGAAGTGACGCAACGGGGACTTGAACCGGCGGTCCGCTATGTATTGCTGGCGTTGCAGGCAGTGGCTTCACTCACAATGCCACAGTGCTGGCCCAAGATGAAATCGATGGGGAGGGAATTGGGTGCACGGGGGAAGCTGCTGCGTGGGATGCTGACGCGCCGTGTCAGAGTGCCTGGTCCACGTCCCGACTCCGCTTCCACTTCCGGGTTCCTGCTAACGGGCACCCTGAGAAGCAGCAGGCTCTCTGCCACACACGCGGCAGACCCAGGGTGGGTTCCGAGTTCCTGGCTTTGGCCTGGCCCCGCTCTGGCAGTTGTGGGCACACTGAAACAGGAGAGAAACCTCTGTCTCTTTCTGCCTCTCAGAACAACAGAAAAGTAAACAAATAATTGTTTTAGAAAGAAGAGAGACATTCTTTTGGGTATAGCCACAAACACAGGGTGGCTGGCAGCCCCTAGACCATGCACCGCTGCACCTCACTGTGACACGCGCTGTGAACACCTGCTCTCCCCGGCTGTGACAGTGTGCCGAGGTTAGAGCGCGGGCAGGCAGGGCGGCTACAGCCCTGAGTGGTAGCCTGGAGGAAGCTGATCTCCACTGCCTAGGGGGTCTCCCATCACGAGGGGCGTCCTTACTGAGTGACTTCCACCTCACCAAGTGCCCAGGTGACCGCCACAGGGAGCCGGGAGCGGGGAGGGGGGATGCTCCTTCAGGTGTGTGCTATGACCTCATGATGTGTGCTATTTAGGAAAGAGAAGACGGCAGTAGGGAAAGGAGTCTCTCAATATCTCTGAGTCAGAAGCCCCAGGGTTTGGTGCCATCTGGGCATCAGGGTACACCTGTGCCTTGGAGGGAGGCACCCCGTCTGCCTGCTGGAGGGGCTCTCTAGGCATGGCTTTCTGTCCCTGTCAGTAGAGCGGAGCACAGTGGGCTAGGTCCAACCAGAGGCCTCCTTCTGTGTCGGGGGCAGGGCTGGAAAAAAGACCACCTAGGGGCTGTAAGGGACACAGGTGCCAGGTTCCACGGGCATCTGCCTGCAGTGCCCAGTGCTTCCAGCAGGTGGCAGCATCTTCCAACCATGCTCCTTGTAGGTTCCCTCCCAGCCTTGGCCAGGTGCACCTAGCCCACAGCCATGGCACCTGCAGACATGCACAGGCGTGAACACCCATGCACACGCATGTGCACTCATACAGGTGTAGCAGCAGATCTTGGGAGTCAGTTTCCAGAATGTTTGGCCCCTTCAAGGACAGAAGGCAACCCCAGGGGCACTGGTTCTTTTCAGGAGAGGAGGCTCCCGCCATTCTGCCTCTTCTTGTTCTTACTGTGTCACTGTTCCGAGGCCCCTACAGGGCAGCCCGAGCCAGCAGCTCCAGGCACAAAGCAGTCTTAGTGGTGCCTGAGTGAGTAGGTGGAGGGCCAAGTCGCAGCCTGGCTCCGTGATCTTGGGCACAAACCATATGCCTGAGCTTCTGTTTTGTCACATTGCACGGTGAGTACAAAGAGTGGAGCCACCAGTCAGCAACCCACAGCGAGCCAAGGGGCAGAAAGGGAATGCCATGATAGTCTTAGAATTGTACCTACGAACTATACTGAATCTGTAAAAAACGGATTCAAAATTAAAATATGTACAAATAAATAAATATGTACAAAAAAGAAAAGAAAAAAACAAAAAACAGCCAGGGGCCAGTGCTGTAGTGCAGTAGGTTAAGCCACTGCCCTCAATACCCCCATCCCAAATAAAAGCGCTGGTTCAAGTCCCAGCTGCCCCACTTCCCATCCAGCTCTCTGCTAATGCTCCTGGGAAAGCAGCAGAAGATGGCCCAAGTGCTTGGGTCCCTGCACCCATGTGGGAGACCCAGATGGAGTTCCCAGCTCCTAGCTTTGGCCTGGCCCAGCACTGGCTGTTGCAGCCATTTGGGGAGTGAATCGGGGATGG